TAAATGACATGCCCAGCTGGCAATCTGTGGCCTAATCGCCAGCCGAGCGGACAAAAAAAAGTGGGGGCTACAGCAGCTAGCTATTGTCACTGCCCACCTTTGTATGTGTGTTGTGTGTGTGTGTGTGTGTGTGTGTGTGTGCATAAAGGATAATTGCAAGGCACGCGCTTAGGGGGCGAGACAGAATGAGATGGCAACAACGGCAAGCGTACGCTAATGTCATTAAATCCAGCTTTTGTCTGTGCGTCTGTGTCTGTGTGTGTGTGTGTGTGTGTGTGTGTGTGTTTATTATGAGTGTGTGGCAAGCACGAAACAAAAGGCAAACGACGACAAGATGGAAAATGCAAAACCACAGAAAATAATGACACAAAATGGCTTCAACAGGCAGCACAAGCAACAGCAAGTGTTGTGTGCCCGAAGGGGGAGGAAGGAGGGATGGCTAAGGGCACTAGCAAGCGGAGGGGCCGTGAGGCAGTGGGTGAGGCAGGCAGATCCTGGACAGCAGCAGCAGCAGCAGCGGCAGCGGCAGCAGCGGCCAAGCGGAAATGAAAGTTTTTGCACGGCCATAACGTGTGTGCTTACAGTGTGTGTGTGTGCGTGAGTGTATGTGTGTGTGTGTGTGTGCTGTATTTAGTTAATGGACTAGTTTTCTCATGTGTCTCTAGACGAGAGGCTGCAGCCACAGAACCACTTACGCGCTGCTCACACAAAACCAAAATACGAATTCCAAAAAGAAATTAAAACGAGAACCAAACGCAAAACCAAATCCATATCAATCAACCAATCCCACATTCCACTTAAGGTGCAGGGCGGAGAAGGCGTTGCAGGAGCAGGAGCACTCCTCTGCCAGTTGACCAAAGACAGAGAGAGAGAGAGAGAGATAGAGAGCCCGCACTTGGGGCAGCTCATCAATCATCAGTAGCGGCAGCAGCCGGCGACATTTCAACTGAGCTATCACATTGTGGAGCCCCTCCCCCCCCCCCCCCCCCGCTTCTCACCCGTGGCGCATCCAGCAGTTTCATCTCTTTAATTAATGATGAATTTATTGTAATTAAAATGGTTGCGGTATATTTTATTATTGTTGTTTGTTTTCGGTTTTTTGTTTTCTTTTGTTTTTTTTTTTTTGGCGGATTACTTCAAATCAAATTCGCATTAATTACACTGACTGTTGACTGGCCTTTGACTTGGGCTTTACTCGTGACATTTGAACAACATTCAACATTCATGTTCATGTTTATACTCGTGTCGTGTCGTGTCATGCGAAATACAGCTAACACACACATCAAGTTTCTTTTGTTTGTTTGCCGAGCTTAAGAAGCGACATGCCACAGCTAACTCTGGCTAACTCTGATGATAGCTACATCCACATAAATATTCTACACAGTACTGAAACTATGGAGTTTAAAAAAAAATAGTCTAAAGCACAAGATTATTGATATTAAAGTTCAACTAGTTCTCAAATTCCCAACAAAACCAGGAAACCACATTTCACAGTATAACTATTCTTATTACTAAAATTAGGAAAGCTTATGCACTGCGCCCTATATTTAGCTACTTCCACATAAATATTCTACAATATCAAACTGCACTTAAACTATGCAGTCACAAAAAAAATACTAGCCTTATCAAAAATCTTCGTAGAGCGCTTTCAGCCACATTAATATTTGTGAGAACACATACGAAGTTTGTTAGCTGCTGTGCATTCAGGTGGAGAGTGCTAAAAGAGAACTCTTTCTATTGTAGACTATACATTAAAGTCTCTATCCTGGTCATCTCTGCATGTATGTGGCCCATGTACAGTTCATTTGGCAGCAACTCCACCTGGATCAATGTGGTGCCACCTGCCGCCTCATTGGGTCTTTAAAAGAAATCGGTTCTGTCAAATGACCCAAAACAAATTGCAAAACTCGGCCAGCCATCAGCCATTGAATGGCATTAGCTGTAGTGTACTATAGTATACAGAATATATATAGTATAATGTAGTCTCGTGTGTAGTTTTATGGTGCAGCCACGCCCCAATATGTCCGCCCACAAAAAGCAGTCCACTTTGCACTTGTCCACTCTACGAGTGGCAGTTGATACAGTAAAGCGTAGTGACGTTGACATAATGGCAAAAGCAAACACTCACAAATACTGTCTGCTAGGCGAGAGGAGGTCGATACGCCTTCAGGTTTATGTGGGTGACTGAGCGCCCCCATAAAAATAAACATGCTCGAATGCAAAGCTTTACGGCTAGAGATGAGCTCGTTGTCAGCAGTATTCAGCACGCCCTCGATTCGTGACACGAATTCGAGAACTCAAGGATCAAATTTTGAAAACAACTACGATTAAGCCTTGTAAAAATAAATTGAATAAATTTGTTCACCGGTGAGTTTCTAAATATTTATTTGGATTTGCATATTATACAGATTTTAGATATATCTTATCAGTATTTGTGTTCTAGGCCTTAACCATTTCGTTAACATTTCATTTGTAATCTTTAGTGTAAATAGAAAAATGCGTTTGTCTCTTTGTTGTGATATATTTCATTATTTCTTTATTTCTTAAATTAACTTATCTTTTTTGCATAACTCTCAGCTAGCTTCACGCGGCTGAGTGCCTCTTTAAGCTTAATAGTTTTATGGAGTGGCGGTTTAAGTTAAGGCTTTATAAGTTAGGCGAGTATACCGAGCCAGGCCAATATGCTGCTAACCTGAAAATTATATAAAAGTCAAGTCACAAATCGATGCATTCAGAAAAAAATCGCACTGAAATTTAGCAAGTCGCATTAAAACGAAAATCGAAGGTTTTTCTTATTTTCGAAAATAATTTCTAAATATTTGAAAAGAAATCGAATTTCTTAAAATTAAAAATGCTTTATTTCATTCATTTCTCAAAAATATATATGCTAAAATTATAGAAAATATTTCGAAAAACTAAAATTGCAAATTCTTATTTTTAGAAAAACTACTTTTTGAAATGTTAAAACACAACACAATCGGGGGCGTGGAAAGCAGGGCGGCAACTGTTGACACTATAAAGTAGCAGCTGCTGTTGTTGTTGTTGTTATTGTTGTAGTTGTACTTGTTGTCCTTACAGCCGTTGTAAAAATGCAAGCGTGAATTCAGCCAAATCAAAGTTTGAGTGCAGGTCTGTTGGTTTTTGTGTCAGTGTATGTCTGTGTGTGTGTGTGTGTGTGCATCATATAAATATGCATTTGCCCATTTGCTGACTACGAGCGATTGCATGTGCAGAACATATATTTTTATACTCACACTCACAGACTCGTATCCATTGGTTGTAAGCGTGAATTGTGAATGTGGAAATTCAAATCTGTTTGTATGTGGGTTAGTGTGTTGCCTGTTGTGTCCGCTTGGCATGCAAGTCACCATGCTCACGGCATAAAGTACACTTTAACCCCATATCCACATCCATATCCATATCCATTCCCATACCTCTGGCCAGTGCCAAGCATAAAATGTATTTAAATATAAAGTTGATATCCAACGTCAACTTATTTTCAACTGTCGCATGTCGAAATATTGCAATTTACTGCTGTCGCAACCGTTCCCAGTGATTCATTTCACGAACTACACTATTTTCAATTCATTTATTGAGTTGAGTCTGCAATCGATCTTTACTGATTTCTTGTTCCTCCTCCAATGATAGGCTATACTTTTTACCTGTAGTTTGTCAGTTTAAGATCGAGAAATATATAGAAAATAAAATCCCAAGTTTTTATTATTTTATTTATCTACTTACAAACTTATTCCCACTCAACTTAGTCAAAAATATTTGTTCAAGTGTTATTTTTATGACACATCAAAGACTGTAACTGAACGCTTGTCGAACCGTTTGCAATGTGATGTGATATTTTTGGAACTACCGACGAGTATTTGCACTCAAAATTAGCTCGCATGTATTTGCAACAGAGTGCGTGTGAGTGCCACTGCAATTACTTGCAATAGCAACAACAACCAAAAAGTCACTTTTTGCCAAAGGCAAACAAAAAGTCAGGCAATGCCATTTTGGATGCCATGCGATGCCAGCGCGTGGTTTACTTACTCGTACATATGTTCCATGTGTAGCAAGTACCATGTGCCATGTTACCTGACTCCCTCCGCCCCTCCCCCTCAATCGCCTAGCCACCAACAACAACAATCACATGACTGGGCCAATAGCAACCGCCATTAGTCTGACTGACTGAGCCAAACCAAATAGGGCTTCAAAGGGAGCTGCGCCATCAAATGGCATTTTATTATGAATGACAACATTTGAAATGTAGCAATTACGCGCAAATATTTTGATAGATGCGCCGTCTTGCTTTACTAAATAACTGACTGACTGACTAACTGACAAACTGACAAGTTGACACACTGATCGGCTCAGCCGTCAACAAAAGCATAGCGCAACGTTGCCCTTAACAGATATCGGCCAATTTAGATAATTATCGAAAGTGACACTTGCGCCCAGTAATAGGCAATTCCAGCATGGATAATGTGATAAGCGATTTGTGTGAATCAACATCCAGCATCTGCTGTCATAGCTGTTGTTGTTGTTGTTGTTGTTGTTGTTGTTGTTGTTGTTGCCTATAGAATGGATGACGAGGAGCAATTGGCCGCCTTTTGTGACTGTTTTTCACATTTTGCACAATCTGATTATCATATATTTCGAAGATAGCAACACACTTAGACTTAATAACAATTTGTCCTAAGCTAGAGTTGTGGAACAAGAATTTTTCGCCCATTTTCTTATGCAAAACAATTTTCAGCACGGCTAAAGTTAACGAAACATCTTCAGGAAAGACGCTAGATATTGATCTGTGTCAAAGGCCTATAAACAAAATTATAAACAATTACTCGTAATTTGTATACGCCTCTTTCTTGTGGCAAATGTAGAAAATACTTTAATCTAAGCTAACCACAAATTTGTTTCAGTTATGGATAAAAAGTTCGTGATACTAACTCTAACTCATGCTCTTTCTCTCTCTCTCTCTCTCTCTCTCTCTCTGTCTCTTGCAGCGGATAGCTCGTTTTTATTGGCCAACGCACAAATCGTCGATTTCCCGATCGTCTACTGCAATGAGTCCTTCTGCAAGATTAGCGGCTACAACCGTGCCGAGGTCATGCAGAAGTCGTGCAGGTATGTGTACGTATTGCCCGATTTATACTCACTCGCTCTGTTGCGCTCTCTTACTCAATATACTTTTTTATTCTTTTATTATATATATATATATATATATATATATATATATATATATATATATATGCTATACGTGCTTTTTATATTTACATATATTTATGCATATATGTATCGACATAGCCTAAGTATTGTACTACATGCAGTTCCCGCGCTCCACAGCCGCCAGCGCTCTCTCTCTCTCTCTCTCTCACTATCTCTCTCTCTCTATCTCTCTCTGTATCTTCTTACTCACACAGCAAAAGCAGAGAGTCGTTCTTATAACCATTCCCTCATTCTTACATCAAATGTAGCTTTTCTTCATGTTGCATATTTCGTAGTACTCGTTTTGCATGTCTTTTATTTTTCTTACAGCTTGCCATAAATATATGATACAATTATAGATCAAACATTATTAAGATTTGAATAGAATGGGACTGCTTCGGTTTTTATGCAGTCGGCTAATAAGTCCTAAGCAAATATTGATTTCATCCCTATAAAAACAACCAGAATTATAAGCGAATTGCCATTAGCCAAATCAGTTAAGTAATAAGGATGCTTAAGAGAAATGAACAACTGCACTTTTAATCACACTTTTAATGTTGTTTACATCAGTTTAGGCTGTTTATTTACACACAACTGCTGCCAAAGTTACCCAAATGTCAGTGAAGCTGAAACTGTGAGCTGGACTTATGCGCATTGTCTGACTGAAACCATAGTCGATTGTCAGAGCACTATGAACACTCAAAAGTCAAAAGACAGCTTTAGTCTTTGCACGACCGGACTCCATTTATCCATTTATCAAAGCATTAAGCACGCATTAAAAGCAAAAGCAAGCCGCCAGAGTTCCGGTTAACTATGCCCTTCCGCTGGGCAAAATTCACTGCCAGCTGCATGCAAGAATGGAATACCATTAAAAAAATAATAATAATAAAAAAAAACATGTGGCCACTGTTAATGCGCTTCTCAGACTTTTAGCAACTTATTGTATAATGGAATGAATGTTTGTCTCCGGCGCCACAAAGTATGCTACAGGAAAGCAGCTGCGAGGCTAAAAGCATAATGGCGAAATCGATGCGATGCGATGGACGTTTTGTGTTGTTTTTGGCTTATGTACATATGGATATTAAAAGTATATGTAAGCTGGCAAGCGGGTCCTAAATGGGAGACAAATTGTTATGACAGTAGTCGCAGCAGGGCAGCAACAGTCGCGCTGCCAGCTCAAGTGGCCGTCAAACTGTAACAGAGGCCAACATTGAAATTCTCCAGCGAATTGTTTATAATTTGCGAACAAAACTAGCCACAGCGGTTGGCCAAACAAAAAAGCGTATGCATAACATGCACGAACCTCTCCCTCTCCCCCGCCCTCTGCCTCACCCTTTCATTCAGAAGCACACCCTTCCCTAGCGACGTCCTGTTCGCTGTTCTTATTTCTATGCTTCTTTTGGGCCAGGCTAAACTTTTATAATGCCAATCTACCGTTTAGTTGCGCGCTCTTCCCTCTCCCTCCCTTTCCCTCTCTCTCTCTCTCACTCTCTCTCCCTGTCTTTCTTTCTTTCCTTCATTCTGTCTCTGTCGGTGTCTCTTTTGCTCTTGTGAGTATTATTTATTGTTGCGCTTTGACCTACTTTGTGACTGTGTGTGTGTGCCTGTTTGTGTGTATCTATGTATGTGTGTATGTGTGTCTGTGGCCGCATGCAAAAAGAAAAGCCAAGCAAAAGGTTGACCAAAAAAAGAAAATCTCTACTTTTCCCATTTTCTCTCTGTTTGTTTGTTTATTGCTGTTGCTGTTGCTGTTGCTGTTGGCGTCGTTGTTGCTGTTTGCTTAACTGCGCGCACTTTCTTTCAATTTGCCATTATAGCAGTTTGTGGCGCCCTTTAGCTGCACCCCCCCGCCCAGTTACTCGACCACACTGCTGTTAGTTTAGACTCTATTGAGTGGAGCCTAAATCAGCGCCTTCTTGGCTAAGCCCCCTCCTCCTCTCGTCGAAACCTATTCTGGCTTTTGTGTTGCCTGCCTTGTAACCCAAATTGTATGCTTGTCGATGCCTAGACACAAATCCAAGTGCACACACACACACCTAAACGTACAGTGAATGCTCGAAAACTGAAAACTATAACTTGCTGAAGTTCGATTAATTTTGTTGTACGATTCTTAAATTAGAATACTTTAAAAATCAGAATCATTCATTCCTAATCATAATCAATTATTAATGCAGCTTTACGAATATCATATAGGATACTATATCGTTGTCGCTTGCGAGCCACCACTGTATATATATAGATTTATATAGGCAAATATGTGTATGTATACTCATATGAATATTCAACTGTATAGAGATACTCTTGTGCATCAAAACTATTCAATGCACAAAATGGCCGGCGGAGCGGAAATGAGTCGCTTTGCGTTTTTACTTGTGACGTTGTTGGCCGCTTTAACAGCGTCGCCGTCGCCGTTGCCGTTGATGTTGTCGTCACAGTTTGTTGAACCTTTGTCATGGCATAAATAAATACAAACAAGCACAAACACACGCACACACACACACACGCACACACACACAAACACCGAAAAATAAAAAAAAATAAACTATTCGTCGAACTGCAACAGGAACGAGCGAACAACAACAACAACAACAACTACTACAACAGCAACAGCAACAATGGCGGTCGCCAAACACAAATTAACAGTTTTTATTGTGTCTTCTCTTGCATTCACATTCACATTCGCATTCACATTCGCATTCACATTCGCATTCACATTCACATTCGCATTCACCTCCATCCATTTGCCGACTGCTGACGTCATTGCAATTGATGCGCTCTTGCACTCTCTTCCACATCTCTTGTTACATTCGCTCTCATTTACATTTTGAGCGCTTGGCCACTTTTGCATATTTTCGCGCGCGCCCTAAAAGCATGCAACACATTTTTTTATTTCTCTTCGCACGTGCGCTGCCTTGACAACGCTTCTATTTTTTATTTCACTTTATATTTCTCCTTGGTCTCGCTCCAGCTCTGGCTGGCTGTCAACTTATTTTTGCTTGTGCATTTGTGCCTGTGCCTGTGCCTGTGACAGAAGCCAGTAGGCAGTAGGCAGTAGCCAGTAGCCCATAGCCCATAGCTTAAAGATGTGCCATACGATATGGTAATTTCCATCATCACTCGTGCTTGCCAGCACTGCCATGGTCGGTGTCAACGTGGCCAAAATTAATGGCAAGCTGGCAGGCAGGTAGGCAACTTTGGCATATTACCTGACATTGCAAAGGAGTGGCCACTTTGAGTACTTTGATCTGTTATCTGTCATACACATACATACATACACGGGCTGGGCCCTATGCAAAACTCAATTATTATATTAAAGAAAATGATTTCGAGGAATTCATTAGATTTTTTAATTTATGTGATGCATTCTATTCTATGGATTCACTGCCTTTAAATTATTTTGCTTATTCGATTTTCTACATTAACTTCCCAAATTCAACTGATTAATGGAGAACATCCAAGAATTTATTGCATTTAAATTCACTTTGCTTTTATAATTCCTGAAAATCATAAATAATTTGGTTTTATTTTAAGTTTAATCTATTAGAGAACGGTTTCTATGGCATCCAATTAAAGCCAGATATAAATCAGAAATCAGTCCATTTACAAACTTAACTCAGCATAAATGCATTTCTAGGAGCATGTTTGTAAAAGCTCAACTAATTGCATTCGAAGAATTGACTTCAGCTTGCAGTGAAATGAAACAACTGCTAGAGGACATGACTAGAATATAATCTCTCTTCTCTAACAAGGGCCATTCAGAAATTATTTTCTCGGAAGGCAAATGTCAATACATAAGCAGCTTGAGTTTTTATAGCTAAGAATAGTTTTTTATAAATAGCTTTGTTCAAGGTTTCCAGTATATCCGGGTTAAACATTACCATTATAGTTTCCACCACTCTGGGGCGGGCATCGCGAAATTCCTAGAAATCTATTTGGAATAGAAAGTTAATTTGAGGGCTCTTCAAATTTTGCGTTAATTTCCGAGAAATCACTTGGCTTGCATTGCTTATTATAATATGACATAATCATTAGCAAAAGCAGCCAATATCTGGTATCCAAAGAGAAGCTTCTGGGAATTTGCATCATTAGCTTTCGACATGCTCGTTTAACTAAGTATGCAGCACCAAATGGATGCTTATTTTAATTTCTGAGAATGTTTGGCTAGCTCACCCTTGCAGCTATGCAAAATGCAAATCAGGTAAGAGAAGCGAGACACTAGATATACTTATCGCAATAGAATTACAAAATTACACTTTGAATTAGCAAAGCTATGAAATGACTTCTTATTTAACAATCTGAAATATTTCGTTGAAAATTGCATGACATGAATGGATGACAAATAAAAACTATCATTTTATAAACGTTGACAAGATTTCCTCGGTATTTAATTTTTATTCAAATCGAATATATATTTTTATTTTATGAATGTGCAGTAAAAAAAGTGAAAACCTTAAGCAAAAATAGTAGTTACGCGATTTCTGAGTATGCCAGTGAAATATATAAACACAAACACTCATTATTCAAACTGGATCGAGAACAATTTTTGGAATAATGTCACTCGCCTTCTTCACACTTTGATTAGATTATATAGTTATTTGGCAAGTCTTAGATCTTTAGTTAATGTTCTTAGCTGACTTTAAGAAACGTAAACCGATAGAGATTTAAAAAGCATCGCCAAAAAGAGAAGTCATGCTCTTACAGCTTAGGCCTAATTCTCATCCCCATTCAGGTAAGAAGGCGTCTGCAACTTGCTCCCCAAACCATTTAATTGTGTTTTTTGGTCTCCTTTGCATGCTCTAATTATATTATTTATAATCATTATGTATATATGTAATATAATATGTATTTATGTGTGAGTTGTTGTGCGTGTCTGTGTGTGTATTTAATATGCCTCTGTCTACAGATTGAAACTAATCAAGAATAATACCTCGTATATGTGCGATATTCTGCTCTTATGTCATCCACACCTTCCCCCACCCATCCAAAAAAAAAACAACAAAAAAATATATAAATAAAATACAGATGCGGCTTCATGTACGGCGAGCTGACAGACAAGGAGACGGTGGGACGACTGGAATACACACTGGAAAATCAGCAGCAGGATCAATTCGAAATATTGCTCTACAAAAAGAACAGTGAGTATATATTTTGGAGAAGGCACAAATATGTTTATATATGTGTATTTATCTCTTACGCTACCTATAGCTGCCTGTATATTATTAAAGTGTACTACATATATTAGCACAATCAGTTAGCATAGCTTGACTATGTTTAATCGTTGGAGTGTCATGGAGCGGACAGTTACCCAACTCAAAGTAGCCGTCAGTTCTCGGTTTCGGTTGGGGTTGATTAGGATTTATGCAAAGTCCCTTACCCCATAATAAATTGTTGCACTTTGCGTGTGGCCAGCCAACATACCTATCCCAACTGCAAGCCATATAATTCATGCCATGCTTATCCCACTCCGCTAGTCGTTACTCGCCACTCGCTACTATATATTCGCTACCTGCTTTTAATTTGTTGCCAGCGTCAGCCGTTGCCATTGTATAATGCAAACAAATTGAGGTAGCGCAACAATTTTGAGTGGCGCCCATCAATCAAGCAGACCCTCAACTCACTCTCACTCTTACTCTCACCCTCATCATCAGCCCCAATCCACAGCTCAGCAACCCTATGTGCCAGGTGATGTAATTGAAACTGTTGCTAGTTGAAATTGGCTCGAAACTCAATTCGCTGCTGAATCGTGCAATTATAATGGATTAACGCCTTCGGGTATCAATTTACAGATGTACAATGTGGCTGCGCCCTATCGCAGTTTGGCAAGGCACAAACCCAAGGTACTAACTTTAATGGTTATAGCAAATCTGCATATATATATATACTCGTATATATATATATATATAACTGAAGCATCTCGTCTGTGTATTTGTTGTGGCCAGCTTTAACCACTGGATGGCATCATCATCTAATATGCATAAATCAATTTCAATATGTTTATGTGTGCTTATGAGCGAGTGCGTGTTTGTATGTGTGTGTGTGTGTGTGTGTGTGTATATGTATGTGTATGTGTGCGAAACAATTTCACTAAAGTTGTAGGCGTGTAACAATCAATGTTCTTGCATTATGCATGGACCGAATCAAAAGACTCCCAAGTTTCAATTATCTAATCAGCTTCAACTAATCAATTTGAATTTTACATCGCATAAATTATCCAGTCGCCAAAAATGACTAATTAGAGTAGAGTAGGTTTCTCGAATTACTATCGACATTAAAAAGAACCCAAAAGTATGCAATAAGCAAATGCTTCTACAACAAAATGCTGTTGACAAACCCAAAGGCATTCAATGAAGTGATGCCAGATAAGCACAAAAGGCTAAGAAGATTTAATTTGTAGCATTGGATGAGATTAAAGCCATGATTTATTGTGCTTAGTAGAGTAGGACGAGGTTGATCTTAGAATTAACTAAACTCGATAAAAGTTATAGCCGTGATAATTATATTATTTGAAATGATAAGCAAGAAGCGTGAATCGATGAATCTCCGTCCAACTAAGGTTTTCACTATAGCTGACTCATATTTTTTTGCTACTTACTTTCCTTTTTTTCTGAGAGGGTGGGGGAAGGGGGGGGGTTGTAGGGTAGTTGGCTGCTGCTGCTTGTCATTTTTCATTTCTATTAGCTGCTTTTCCGTTTTCTTTTGCTATTCTGACCTAGTGCCGGGATAAGCGAGGAAACTGTGCGGCCACGTTGCGCAAAGAAGATTGCCACAAAAGGTGGCTAGGTGGCAAGGCGGCAGGTTGTTAGGGAGGCTGGAAGGCGCCATGTGGCGGCAATTCGATATTGGGGCAAATTGAATTGGCTGACAGGTGTCTCTGGGGCGCCCTGGATAAGTTTACTATTGCTGTTTATGCCAACAGCTGCCAAAAATAACATATTTTCAAGCATACATATGTATGGCATAATATGGATAATAGTCTGTTTTTTTAGCATGGTTAGACTAAAGAGAGAGCGGAAACGGAAGCGGAATTACCAGCGGAAATGCTAACAAACTGCGCATAAAATTAGTCAATAATTATGCTTTCAAAATGGCAGCCATGCGCGAACAATCCGCTGGCTGGCAGAACAACAATTGCGCATACGCCACGTGGGTCAGCGGTGTTGCAAATGCAAATTGAATTGCAATTATTGTTAATTGAACAGACAGGCAGACAGAAAGGGGATGACTATGGTATATGTGTGTGTGTGTGTGTGTGTGTGTGTGTGTGTGTGTGTGTGTGTGCTGTGTATCTGCGAGTGATTATGTGTGTGTGTGTGTGTGCGTTTAATTTGCCATAGCACATTTTGCAGCTGGGAGGGGGCGAAGCAACACTGTAACGGCTCGCGTAATTTCCGTAATTGCAATGCGCCAAACTGTACTCATGCGTGTTTTGCCTCTGTCTCTGTCTCTATCTCTGTCTGTCAGTCTGCCTGTCTGCCTGTCTGTCTGCCTATCCGACTGTGTACGCTGACCTCAATACATTGCAATTGCAACTACAATTCGATTATCGTTGCGTGAATTGCAGCGCTGAACCAGCACTTGGGTCACATAGAGGCACATAAATTGCATAGTGATGCAGAGTTTTCAGATAAGGTCTTTTGACATGTTGCATTATCATTATCATTAATTATGAACAAAGCTCTACAGCTGTATAATCAATTCGATTCGAATATTATTTCGCATTGAATGCCTTTAAATGCATTAAAAAGCCTTTCAAACTTATTTATACAACTGATACAACTGATTCGTAAGGGGATTTAGATTAAGATCCATGTAAGATCATGTGAATTAGTTGACTCACTCTATGGCAGAAAGAGACTCTTAAGTTAGGAAATCCCAGTCAGAAAAAGCAATTAACGAAGCAATTCAATTCAACAATTTAAATGATTGCAAGAAGTTTTGCAAAATTGCATTTATATAAGGATAAGGAGAGACAAACTAATAACAAGGAAACAAAATGCTTTTAAATCACTTTTAAATACTATGAGTCAAATGAATATATTGCTTTAAGTATTGATTATCAGCGACGAGTAGTTTTATCAACAAGAGGAGAAAAAGTAATTGAAAAACGAAACTTAAGTAAAAGTTAGATACATTCATAAACTTCCTTCTCATTCTGTGCCGTTCTCTGGCGCACATCCACTCTGTATCTCTCTCTCTCTCTCTCTCTCTATCGGTCTCTTTCTCGCTAGCGATAAGAATGCAATAAAAAAGCCACTTTGCTGTCAGAATAACATTTTTATTCACCACAATCTGTTTTTATGATTATGCGGTCTTATTGCATGTACTCTTCGAAGTTATAAAACACTTCTGGAGCCATTTTATATATGTTTAGCTTCTAACCAAGGAAACAACTTTCTAGAACTTTTAGGTACATTTGAATTATTGAGCGGTACAAGGTATAACTAAGTGTTTTATGATCTTGTGTACTCTCACTAATGATTATCTTTCTACATTTCTTCCACTCTCTCTCTCTCTCTCTCTCTCTCTCTATCTCTCTCTATCTATCTATTTCTCTGTTACACTTTCTCTTTCTATAATTATCTCGTCCAAATTTTTAACGCTCAGAAACGCCGCTATGGCTGCTGCTTCAGGTGGCGCCCATTCGCAACGAAAGGGATTTGGTTGTGTTATTTTTGTTGACGTTTCGGGATATAACGGCCCTAAAGCAGCCCATCGACAGCGAGGATACCAAAGGTGGTAAGTAGCGCCAGTCCTGTGCTCCACACACACAGCCCCACACTGTCCCTGTACCCTATCACTATTTCTCTATATGTACATATATGTCTTTATATATATAGCAATGATCATATCGCTAACCCAGCAAAACTGCCAACTCCAATTCTCCAAATTGATTGAAATCATCAAATCAACGAATTGGCTACACCCGACCACACACACACACACACACATATGCACAACACTCCCTACCCCTTTACGCCCTCTTTCTGTCTCTCTCTCTCTCTCTCTCTGTCTCGTTAAATTTGCCTATCTCTTTCTCTCTGTCTCGTTTGTGTTAATATTTTACCAAACTGTACATCACTCTACTGTTTTACTCTCTCTCTCTCTCTCTCTCTCTCTCTTTCTCTTTTGTCTCTGTTTCTCCCCACATACTCCCGTTATCCAACAAAATGCACACACGCACACACGCTTACGCATTGTATAATTCTCGTATATATATCCCATATATGTACTTGAACTGATCGCACAAATACTCCTTATATATATGTATGTGTCTCATTCAATAATTTATGGCTTGCCTCTTTGTATCTTTTGCCGTTTACTTGTGGATATTGTTAATTGTCTCTCTATTCTATTTCTATTTCTATTTTTTCTTGTTTTTTTTTTTTTTTGTTTTCTTTGTCTCTTGTCTTTCGTCTTTCGTTCCTTACTGTGCGTGTCCATTCATATCGTAGCAGTTAATCTATTCCTTCCAGTTTTAGGTCTCTCCAAATTCGCCAAACTGGCCCGATCCGTAACACGCAGCCGCCAGTTCAGCGCCCATTTGCCCACGCTCAAGGATCCAACGAAGCAGTCGAATCTGGCGCATGTAAGATTTCTAATAGACCCGAACTACTCTGCCCTAACTACTAAAAACCCACTTAACATTCATCTATCTGAATCCATTTGTTTAGATGATGTCACTGAGTGCGGATATTATGCCACAGTATAGACAGGAAGCGCCAAAGACGCCGCCACACATACTCTTGCATTATTGTGCATTTAAAGCAATTTGGGACTGGGTTATATTGTGTTTAACATTTTATACCGCCATCATGGTAAGTTGAGCTTTACCTTCAAATAATCAAATCCAAGATGTGTTCAAAGGATATAATAGTTTTGTGCAAAAGTGCGTAATAGACAAAAAGAAGCATTAGATATTTACATATATATATATATATATATATATATATTCTTAATCAGCCGAGTCGATATATCGATATAATGTACGTTGCACCAAGATCGTATTCTCATCTGGATTTCATTACTATCAACAGGCGGAAACCTTTCCTGTGTGCGTACATAAATAGTTAGTATAGCAGAGGCAACGGAGGTTCTGTTATTGATTAGTAAAGGCATTCAAAACCATGTATAAAGATCAACTTTATTTGCACACATTTTACATTTTGTCACAAGAAGTGGATGAGGAGAGGGACATTTATCAACTCAGTCACCGGCAGACAGAGTCTGTTGCTTCCTTTCTTGGGGCCTGAGCATAATCCCGTTGCCAGCTCGTTTGTTTTTCTGGAACGACGATATGGGTCTGCTCTGGCTACTTTGCCGTAACCACACACATGCCACATACTACATGCTACATGCCACATGCTACATGCCGCACACCGCAAAGCAGGGCAGCTGTTGTCTCGTCGGTTGTCTACTCGAATTGTGCCTATTTCCGTCAACAAGATGTTAACATTTCGCTTAAATTGCGCTCAGCACAGCTTACCTCACACACAAACATCCATCAGAAAACACACACACACACACACACACACATACACACTGTGTGTGTATGTGTGTATGTGCTGCATCCTCCAGAGAGTTTGGACCGAAAGTTGTTCTTTTGCTGTGTTAGTTTGCTCATTGTTGCTGTTGTTACGCAATCGGTTTTCATTGCTTTTGTTATTCTTTAATGCAATTCGGCCTCATCGCATTTTGTTGCCGTTTACCAACTTTGGCGCCAACTGCGCCCAACTTTGCCACCGCACAGCGCCGACCACTTTTATGCCATCAAACTGATACAAACTGTTTGGCAGGCAGACGAGTTCAATTTCACTTACATTTAATCGCCAATTCAGTCAGTTGCAGCCAGTTTGTGAGACCAGATACTCTACTTTCAACGACTCGTATTCTGACGTATACAACTCCTACGTATTTTCGGCTGTGTAAAAAAATAATTGCCTTTGAAGTTGTTTTAATATATTTCAAAAAGATATATGCCAAGTGTCAACAAGACAGCACAAACACTTATCAAAAACATGGGTGCAAAAAAATGAGAGCTGCTACACAGTCGGACATGGCTATATTGACTCGGCTAGTGGCTGCTCACGAATATATAAACGGGATGACAAATTTCTCCTTTAATCAGTTACAAACTTCACCACAAATTGTAATACCCTTTGCAGGCTTATTAGTAGTTCCACCAGGAGCAGGAAGCAAAGGCGTCTTTTCACTCCATCGTTAGCCGTCTGCTTTATGGCAACTAATTGCTTTAACTTATGTTTGCCAGCCAACTTACACATTTAAACATTTGCTTATAAGTCGATTGATAGAACACATGAAAGGTGAAAGATGCCAGCAAAGATGTTTCCATATTGAACTCCCAGTGGGAGTCACTTATTCCCACTTCAATGAGCAACATTAACAACGACAATAAAATAAATGGAAAAAAATAATTTCTGCAGAAATTTAAATGTTTGCCACATCCGTGTGGCAATCATGTGAATTGGCCTCGTTAGGCCACTTTCGTTGATACTTGTTGCTGTTGCACGCCCGACCATAACAAGCCCCAACAAGCCGACGTTTTGTTGAAGGTGGGGATTGCATTAAGTGCTCTTCACCCATTCGCCAGATAAAAGCAAGTACAAGTCAAGAAATCAGATAATAGTCTCGTCTCACTGACACTTACATGGCCTGCCACAAGTGCTCACATTTACATGGCAAAGTGCCTAGATGGGTGGGATTGGGGGCGTCTTTGGAGGGAGGGATGTAGGTCTGCTGGCAGGTCTCAGAGGTCTGGGGTCCTAGGGTTTCCATCTACACGTCTATGTTTGCGTCTATGTCTGCTTCTATGTCTGCCAGACGGTGGTTATATGTTTTATGTGCTTAAATTAATATTCGCCAAGAGGTGGAGATGGAAATGAGCATGAAGATGGAAGGTAGAAGGCGGAAGATGGAAGATGGAAGGTGGCAGGAAGGAAGAAAGAGTCTGGTCTGGGGCAGAACGCTTGCAGCGTGCCACTTGAGAGGGAAGCAACGTTAAGGATTAAAGGCAACACAATAATAGCAGCAAAACGTTGGCTGGCCAAACTGTTGCACAGACAACAATAACTAAGCCGCTTACTTTTGGCCACTGACTGACAAAGGACCTGAAGGTCTTACGTAGCTGGAACTGGAACTGAATCTGCAATTGCTTATCAGTTGGTAGTTGATGTGACTAATGCTGATTGCTTGTGTCGCTTTACAGGTGCCATACAATGTAGCGTTTAAAAATAAAACTTCAGAGGATGTTTCCCTGCTCGTTGTGGACTCAATTGTGGATGTTATCTTCTTTATAGATATTGGTAAGAGTCAAACTAAGCTAACACACATGCATATATTCTTAGGTCTGCCTATTATTTTCAAGTGTTGAACTTTCACACCACTTTTGTGGGCCCCGGCGGTGAGGTGGTCAGTGATCCGAAGGTTATACGCATGAACTATCTGAAATCGTGGTTCATCATCGATCTGCTCAGCTGCCTGCCCTACGATGTCTTCAATGCATTCGATCGCGACGAGGATGGCATCGGTTCGCTGTTCAGCGCCCTGAAAGTAGTGCGTCTGCTGCGCCTGGGCCGAGTGGTGCGCAAACTGGATCGCTATCTGGAGTATGGTGCGGCCATGTTGATACTCCTGCTCTGTTTCTATATGCTGGTTGCACACTGGCTCGCCTGCATCTGGTATTCGATTGGGCGCAGCGATGCGGATAATGGGGTAAGCTCGGAAACTTCTACAGTTTCCAAAATTCTGGCCGCTTAACGTTGCCTGATTCCCTTTAGATCCAATATAGCTGGCTGTGGAAGCTGGCAAATGTGACACAGTCACCATATTCATACATATGGAGTAATGATACGGGCCCCGAGCTCGTCAACGGTCCCTCCAGGAAGAGCATGTATGTGACGGCCCTCTACTTTACAATGACTTGCATGACTTCGGTAAGTTGGGGCCAGCGAAGGGCCGCAGAAAGTTGATAAAAAAAAAAAATAAAAAAACATTGATAGTTCAATTCAAGCAATTCATGTGCAAATTTTACTCTTGTTTTTCACAGGTGGGCTTCGGCAATGTCGCAGCGGAGACAGACAACGAGAAGGTGTTCACCATCTGCATGATGATCATTGCAGGTGCTGTGTCCAAACACGTTCCGTTGCCGCGTCCAAAGTTTCTCAAAACTCACGCCCCCGCAACGCTTTTGAATACTCTGTCATTGAAAAGCTAGACACAAATTGAGTGCCGCTAGAACTAATAACTGCTGGAATTGGTTTAGCCAACAGACAAAGACATAAGACAATCACAATTAGCCGCAATCGAATTGACCCACTCATCTACATATATATATGATAGCGCCATTATACAGATTCCCCACTACACCCACAGCAGCCTCCCCGAGCAAAAAGCAAAACGATTTATGATAGTTAACACTTATTATTCTTTATATATATTTTTTTATTCGTATACCCCGAATACTTGAAAACGCTCCTAGTTGCACAGTTCGTCGCCATGTGTGAGTTCTAATTGATGTTATGTTAATTTTTGTTGTTCTCTTTTTTTGTTATCGGTGTTTAAGTGTTCAATAATTGTAACAACTGCAAACAATAAACACAAAATACAACACACACACATACACACAAAATTCCCATACTCCTCATCCATTTCGCCCCACTATAAACTCATGAGACAAATTTCAAAGGTATATTGCGCATACGCACCATCAACACTACAAAGACCAGTGCTTGAGCCTCACAGCCCAAAATTACTGCGTGCGTTTGCATAATGTACAAAAGCCATTTGTCTCTCTCTCTCTCTCTCTCCCTCTCGCTCTCTTGCTCTCACTCCCTCCCTCTCTGTCACTCTCGCTTTCGCTGTGTCTCTTCACTCGCTCGCGCTCTCTTTGTATGTCGCTCGTCCAATTCGTCGCATTTATTACCGTTCTAGCTGCGCACTTGCGCGTTTCATCTGCAGCGATTATAAATTTCTGACACGCTCTCTTAAAAACCAACAACATCATAGCCATTGTCTGAACTAGTTGGCATATTGTAAGCGTTACTCTCAGACCCATACACAGACACACACACACACTTACAGCTACAGCCACAGCTACAGCTGCGACACAACGACACAAAACATAACGAGTACACTTGTCTCGCTACTTCTGCGTGTCCAAATGTGTAACGAATCTTTTGCCACAACTCGTTCGCTTATTTTCAATGCCAAACTCTCTCTCCCTACATATATAGCTCTGCTGTACGGGACGATCCTTCGGTCATGTGACGACCATCATACAACAAATGACATCGGCCACCGCCAAGTACCACGACATGCTCAACAATGTGCGAGAGTTCATGAAGCTGCACGAGGTGCCCAAGGCGCTAAGTGAGCGCGTTATGGACTATGTCGTCTCCACATGGGCCATGACCAAGGGTCTCGATACCGAGAAGGTAAGTGCGGCCAGTAATTGGTCCTCGTACGTAAGTGTATATGGATTAACTGTAAGCTGGGACTTGGGTACTTGAAATCGTCCATCAAAGAAATGAATATATATCCAAAAACCAACGAGTACCTCGCAACTAGTTAGTTCTTGTAGTGAATTTACCTAATGGTTGTGAATTTCTCAAACGAATTCACTTACATGTAAGAGTACAAATACATCTGTATTACTCTTTGGCACTTAACAATATTAAAACCACAATTACAATCGATCCATCTAATCGTTCATACTCTCATTGTTCGCGAGGTGAGAATATTAAATAATTATTGATTTGCATTACCAAATCAGCTGGTTAAGTCAAAAGGGTAACAAACATTTACAAATCCTTAAGCTATATTTTTGTAGCAACGAGAGCGGACTACTCATTAGCAGCCACTCGCTAGTCAATCATTAATTTTTTAACACAAACGATGTTGGGTCACACACAGAGCAAGTCTGTGGATCTTTACTCGTTACTCGCTGTATACACCATCTAGCAATCACTTGAAATCATCATCAGTCATTAGCCTTAGTTTAATATTAACGAGAGTTGCTTACCACTCGGACTGCTTCGCTATTCGCACTTAACTAACAAAACATTATCTGCCATCATGCTCAGGTTTATATCTAAATGCTAACCAAATTATTGACTATTCTCTCGCTACTCTAACATTATCCATCACTCGCCATTCCCGCCACTAACAAGCGCAAAATGATGCCCGGCTCTGGCTCACAGTTGTTGTACTTCAAGACCAAGGCTTTCATTCGCACACAAATAAACACAGCCAAACAGACACACACATACACATATACACACACAAGCACACACACACATACATATACACCCGAACGTACAGCAAAGTTCGTCACATTTCTCAAGTACGTTTCAAAATGAAAATGGCAAAATAGCTTTTGCCAATTTCCCATTTGCCACTGCTCGCTGCTGTTTGCTTTGTTTTTCCTGTTATGTTCAAATCGCTTCTCGCATCTACAGCAAACGCTCAACTTAAATCAAACGCTTTCACAAATAAAATAACAAAAACAAAATCAACCTAAAAATAAACAAAGTCCAAAATAATAAGCAACGACAACATTTTGTTGCCAACTTAGAAGTAGTTAAGAATACCACGCAACCAAATACCAGAAATATCAAAATTTCAAGCTAATGTGAGAACCGAGAGCTATGTGAACATGAAGATGAAATGCAATGCTCCGGGTTCAACCGAAAAGTACAGGAACAGGTCCAGCTCAAGGTCCAACGACAGCAAGTGGCCCAAGTCCAAGTTGAGCTCCAAGTCGAGGTCAAGGTCGAGGTAAGCTCTCTCTCTCTCTCTCTGTGTGTAAATATCTGTGGCAGTTCTGCCGGGACGCATCTCTTATATAAGCAAAAAAAAAAAAAAAAAATACGAAACTAACAAAAAAAAAAACATCTTATTTAAAACAACAACTATTCTGTGTTTCTCAACTATGTGTTTTCCATTTGTTTTTTCAAATTTGTACCGTTCTTCTCTCCATGTCGATGCGTCATGCGCGTGAGCTAAATCCGTGCCAAAACGAAAAGCGTCCGTCAAATTCATGCCTTTAGATGAACCTAAACCAAACACCAAACACCGAACGCCAAACACCGTTCACCGTTTGAAATGTTTGAAATATCAAAATGTTTGGTTTACAATAGATAATGTAAAACTATCATATTTTACATAAACAATTCATGAATTGCCCGCGCTCAAGCCGATGCAATAATACCTGACCTTTATACCTATTTCGTTGACTGTAGTTTGTGCCGCAATTCGAGAAAAATCTAAAAACAGAGAACAAGAAACAAGAAAGAACAGCCAACTTCGGCACGTCGAAGTTTAATACCCTTGCAGACGTACTATTATTTTTTAATCAAATTGCTTTCAACTTGTCAGTTGGATTGGCTCAACATTTAAATCAAACCAAAAGTCAAAATTAAAGTTGCTTATTTTTTCAGTCATTCGTTCTTCTGACAAATTATATATGAAATATTAAGATATATTAAAAGGATTCTATATAAAACTCAGGCATAATAATAAAATTATCAGGTATTTCTTATATTTTAATATGATTTTGTTCACGTATAAGAAATTTGTTAGCAATAAAGTTGTTCCACAATAAAGTCGCTTATTGTTATCGGTAATTTAAGACTTATATACCAAATTATACTAAATGAACTAAAAATGAACTGAGAATCTAACTCAGATATGCCGTTTATTTGACTTAATATCCTTATGTAAGAGTCCTTTCACATTTGGGAATCAGAAAAGCAAGTTCTCTTTAACAATCTAATTTCGGTTTCCAAGGCACTAGTACTTGATGCTAGGATTGGGCCGTGTACTTATGCGTCTGTAACGGTTTGAGCTATTTGGTGCCTTAACCACACCACACACACAGACACACACACACAGACACACACAGACGTACAAAGAGCCAATTTGCACACTTAGACACCCACACACATAGAATATAGTCGCCAAAATACACACACCCAGACAGAAACCAGACACACCCAGGTCTTTTTTACACTGTTCAATGTTGTATATGTGTTTTAGTGTATGTGTGCGTGTGTGTGTCTCTCTCTCTCTCTCTCTCTCTCACTCTCTTTCTCTCTATATATATTGTTTGTTACTCAACTATTTATCATCCAGAGCCCACAGGCAATGTCCGTACTTGTCCATTAGCTAGCACTCACGTTGCATTCAAAGAAATCCCGAAATCCAATCCCCGATACCCAAAGAACCCCAAAATCCTAGATCCTAAAAAAAAGGGGTTTTGGGAGCTAAGAAGGGTTGCAATTCCGATGTGATTGCGGGTTACTGGTGACGATACAACAACAACAACAACAACAAAAAAGAGTATAGCAGAGCACACAACGCAACTCGCAACTCATTCACAATTCGCAGGTACTAAACTATTGTCCGAAAGATATGAAGGCTGACATATGTGTTCATCTAAATCGCAAAGTATTTAACGAGCATCCAGCATTTCGTCTGGCCTCGGATGGTTGTCTGCGCGCCTTAGCGATGCACTTCATGATGTCCCACTCGGCGCCGGGGGACCTGCTCTATCATACTGGCGAGAGTATCGATAGTTTGTGCTTCATTGTGACAGGTAGTCTGGAGGTCATACAGGATGACGAGGTTGTGGCAATATTGGGTAAGTTGAATATCAAGTATTAAATGTGTCATATTGAAATTCATATTTTTGATTTATTAATTATATGTATGCTAAGGCAAAGGCGACGTCTTCGGCGATCAATTCTGGAAGGACTCGGCCGTTGGCCAGAGTGCCGCCAATGTGCGTGCGCTGACCTATTGTGATTTGCATGCCATCAAACGTGATAAATTGCTCGAAGTCCTCGATTTCTATTCGGCATTTGCGAATAGCTTTGCACGCAATCTGGTGCTCACCTACAATCTCAGACATCGACTGATTTTTCGCAAGGTGGCCGATGTGAAGCGCGAAAAAGAATTGGCCGAACGGCGTAAGAACGAGCCACAATTGCCCCAGAATCAGGATCATCTCGTTCGCAAGATCTTCTCCAAATTCAGGCGGACGCCCCAAGTGCAGGCCGGCAGCAAGGAGCTGGTCGGCTCCGGTCAAAGTGATGTCGAGAAAGGGGATGGCGAGGTCGAGCGCACCAAGGTTAGTTCAGCTGAGTCATTCCGCTTGTTCCAGTTCCATGCGTTATGTGTTTTCGTGTTCCGATTCCGTTTGTTTGATGTGCAATGCATTTGTGTGTGTTTCAATGCCATTTTATATGTTTTTATCATGCTCAACTCTTGATTCATTTTCGTTTTCATTTTCCGTTTTTGTTTTTACCGATGACCGATGACAGCGCACACAAAACGGCAGCTCTTCAAGAGTGAGTCTATTGAATCTGTCCCAAGATCTTTTATTTACTACCCTTGTGACTCAGACACAATTAGTATCGTCGTTTTGTGTGACGCCTTCGACGATTGAGCTTCAATTCGAATTTGTATTGAATTCGATTTCGAATACGATCGCTTTTTAGTTTTAACTATGATTTTATTTAACATTCCATTTTTTATTATTTATTTCCATGTGTATTAGTGTGTAATTGCGTAAGAGTTAGTGTGTGTGTGTATATCTGCCGCATTTAATGTAAACAATGTATTTGAACTAACCTTATATTTTTTTGAAGCATTATCGTTACTTATCCACTCACTGCCACAGCTCAGCCACAGCCACAGCTCAGGTTTGTTGGGCCGTGTGGCCAAAGCTGGCACCCTTAAGCGTTTACCGTTACCGTTATCGTTACCGTTAACTGTTCAACATTTGAATATATAGTGTATATTATTGTTATATCAAATGCATACAAATGACTTATGCTCGTTGTATATCTTTCTTTGTCTTCCATTAACATGCTTACGCTCTAAACGACCAAATACAAATACTGCATATAAAACTCTCTCTCTCTCTCTCTATATATATATATATATATATAAATATATATATATGTATATCTCTTTCTCTTCCACGCTTCCATTCACACATACTTATGCTCGTCTCACTCAATCACGCTCGTTATCGTTATCGTTATTGTTATCGATATCAATGGTTCATATTTTCTTTTCTGCTCAACTCCCATTATCACCAAAACACATTTCACAAATAAAACCATTTCACTCCATCTCTATATCTCTCTCTCTCTCTCTCTCTCTCTCTCTCTCTCTCTCTATCTATCTGTCTCTGTCTTTCTTTCTTGCTCTGTTATTCACATACGTTTTTTTTTTTGCTATTGCTGTACATAAAATTGTTGTAAATTTGGCCATATTGACAATCTAAATTTAAACAAAATTACTAACGAAAAATTTGTAAATTATTTTCCCCCCAACCATAAATCACTTACAAAATATACAACACTGAAACCTTATTGAAAAAATCTACAACCTTCCACAATTGCCTCCCACACGAATTCTTACTCAAATGCTCCCAATTTACCAATTCCGGCTCCGTGTCTTAATATCTAACTGTCCGTACCCGCTCTCCTTACCACACCACCCGACACACTCTCTTTTCTTTCTTTCCATTTTTGTCTCTCTCTCTCCCTCTCTCTCTTTCTCTCTATCTATTTTTCTCTCTCCCGAAAACCTGCTGTCTTGTGCCCACCAAACTTAATTAAAAAACCTCCAATTGCTCGCTAATAATAAACCAAAAAAAAAAAAAACAAACAAACAAAACCTATCCAAGAAGCTACCCGCTAAACTAACATTAACCGAGGACTCACGCATTTTAACAACCGCCGCCGTACCTTCACCATCGCCATCACCCTCGCCCTCATCGGGTCCACCATCTGCACGTAGTACCCGTGCTAGCAAATGGGGACGCCTTCTGGGCAGTTCAAGTGTCGATTCAGCTAGCGATACTAGCGCCAAGGTAGCCGTCTCGAGAAGTTTGAGCGCCCGCGAAAGTCTGCGTGAGAGCACTGCCCAAGCGAGGCAGAGTAGTACTTCGAGTAGCAATGGTGGACAAGGCAATAAAGTAATTACCGTTAACCAATTAAAAACAAAACAAACAAAAAAACGCAATACAATACAAACAATAATCATAATCAAATTAATAAATACAAATAGTCAAAAGCAAGCTAGCAAAAATTAGTACAAGAAACTGAAAACAAACAAAGAAAAGACGAAAAAAAGGAGAAAAAAATGAAAAATTTAAATGCAACTGATTTCTTGTATAGATTTTTGTCTCACATTTTTTTACAACATACTTTAGCAGAGAGTTTTAATGCTCACCTGTTTATCGTTTTTGTTCTTTCTTCTCGATGCCAACTCTTCGTCATTTTGCTTTCATTTCGTTCTTTCGATTTGTTATCGACTTTTACGTTCGAAAGCATTTACAATTAAGCAAAGTAAGTTTTGATCGATCATTTTGCTGTTTAACTGCTATTAGAACACGCAAACATATATATTTACATATATGTATGTATGTATGTATGTATATTTAGTTGCTCACCCTCCCACGAATCACACTACGTTTATCGCTATCGGTAGCCACATATCGATATGTGTATAGCCACAAACACACACACATACACACACACACACACACATACACACACATATAAATACTTACACATGCATACACATAAACATATACTCACAGATACATATGGACACCGGCCAGAACAGCGATGCATTTGACTAGTGTGTTGTTGTGTGTCAATCGCATTTTGCATAATCAGAGCATTCCCTTGGTATGCCTATCGATGTTTTTGGTCGTGTCATCGATACATCGCCGTTCTGTGCCCGTGTTTAGTCGAAGATATACTTTAGCGCGCTGCTCAATCCGCATACACACACGCACACACACAACAGCTCACGCGCGCGCGCTCACACAGACACAGACACACACACGCACACGCACACACGCGCATGTGTACCAAAATGTGTGCTCGCGTATGTATGCACTGAACACGATAGCAAAAATGCTTATTAGAGTTTTATTTATGCAATAACTAAACAAATTGATTGATATGTTTCTACTTTTTGCTCTTGTACAAAAACAAAAAAAAAAAAAACACTCTGAAAATCAACAACGAATATAATCGAAAAACAAAACATTGCTTGCCTTGCCACTATAAAATACAACAACAACAACAACAACAACAATACGGACAATTTGAATTCGATGCTGAAACCAAAAATTAATGCTGCAAAAACAAATACCGATTGGAAACCCAACTGCACTGATCACCTTTGCCTGCACCTTTTGCAACCAACCAATCAACCACCCAATCAATCTTTCAACAACTACACTTGACACAATCAATGAATGAATGCGCAACAACAATATTAACAACAACAACAACCAATCCAACTTAACTGTAAACCCAACAAACAACCAACAACTTTTCTTAATTTCTCTTATCCTTCTGTACTGTTCTGTCAAATCTATTAACTGAACGAAACCAATGCAAACCCAAACAACCTGCCTGCCATTTAATGCCATCGATCGATCTGTCACCACCAACAACACCACCACCACCTCCACCAACTTCTATCAACCTGTCCAACCTGTCAATTCGCCAATTCTTCAAACCCGCCAATTGCCTCTGCATCCCGCCCAATGCATCCATTACAAAAAAAAAAAAAAAAAAAAAAAAAAAAAAAATCGAAAACGTCACCCTCCCAGGTATTCCCCAAAGCGCCCAAGCTACAAGCTAGCCAGGCAACACTCGCCCGCCAGGACACCATCGATGAGGGCGGCGAGGTTGACTCCTCGCCACCTAGTCGGGACAGTCGGGTGGTCATCGATGGCGCTGCTGCCACTTCAACAACAACAACAACAACAGCGCCGACTTCAACTATAGCCTCAGGTGCTATTACAGCTGGAGGAGGAGGAGCAGGAGGCGGAGGATTAGCAACAGTAGCAGCAGCATCAGCTGGAGGAGGAGCAGGTACTGTAGCTGCAACTGTTGGTGGCGCCGCCACTGCAGGTAGTGGCGTCAAGGATCGCAATCTGGCGATGGAGCGCGAACGTCAAATAGAGATGGCCAGTTCGCGGGCAACCACATCGGATACGTACGATACGGGACTGAGGGAGACGCCGCCCACGCTGGCACAGCGCGATCTCATTGCCACCGTGCTGGACATGAAGGTGGATGTGCGGCTCGAGCTGCAGCGCATGCAGCAGCGCATTGGACGCATCGAGGATCTGCTCGGTGAGCTGTGCAAGCGTCTGGCACCAGCGACACTGGATAGCAGTGGCCAGACAACGCCTGGCGACGAGATCTGTGCGGGTTGCGGCGCGGGCGGCGGCGGCATCGTTATCGTTACGCCGACAACAGCTACAGCATCAGCGGGCTTGGCAATGGGAACGGCCACAACGCCAGTGGACACTGTGATAACCATCTCATCGCCGACAGCCGACAGTGGCACATCAGCAGCAGCAGCAGCAGCAGCAACAACAACAGCAATTGCAACAGGATCAGCGAACGCTGGCGCTGGCAGCGGTCTACTAAATCCATGCGTCCAAGTCGTGTCGAGCGCGGGAGGCAACGGCCTGGGGCCGCTGATGCTCAAAAAGCGACGCTCGAAGAGCAGGAAAGCACCGGCGCCTCCTAAGCAGGCAACTGTGACTGGATCTGGTATGACAAGCGTGACAGCGTCAGCGAGTCCAGCAACAGCTGCCGCTGCGGCTGAGCTGCTACATCTCCGTTTGCTCGAGGAGGACTTCAGCGCCGCACAGTTAAGCGGCAGTGTGGCCGGCACGCCAACAACAGCAGCAGCAACAGCAGCAGCAGCAGCTGTAGCAACAACGGCGAGCACAACGCCGCCAACGACGCCGACAACAGCAGCAGGAGCAAGTGGAGCAGCACCAGCATCTGCAGCAGCAACAACAACAGCAACAAGCGCAACAACAACGCCAACGGGCAGCGGGCGAAGCGTAAGAAGAGAGTTCCTCTAGCCCAAGATAATGGTGCGCCATCAGTCGGCGGATAGCAGCAGCTTCGAGCAATAATAATAACAATACTCGGCCAGACTGAGCCGCGTCAAGGCTGAGCGTCAAGGCCAAGGCCATTCTGAGTAACGACTACACATACACGCTTAGCTAGTCTATCTACAGATATATATATATAAGTACTTATATATATGCGTATATATGTATGTATGTATGTGTATACACTGTACATGCAATTGTAACTAATTTAAGCTATACATACGCTCTCTCCCTCCCTCTCTCTCTGTCTTTCTCTATATATGTATATATATATATATATATATATATACGCTATTTACAAAACTACACGCTACCTTGACTCTATCTCGCTTTCTTCGTCTTGTCCATACAAACAGCCTCTCTCTCTCTCTCTCTCTCTCTCTCTTTCTCTTTCTCTCCTTATATATATCTCGTTCTTTTTATAACGATAACCATTGAAGCTACCCTCTCTATCTCTTTCTCTCTCTCTCTCTGTCTCTGTCTCTGTCTCTACCATCAACTCTGTGTGTCCCTGTTTACCGGGCAACATTTGCCAACGGTACAAAGTTTCAAGCACTCAATGTATTTTGTAGAAAAGGAGCCCATTCGCGGAAGGCTCGGATATGATTATGATTAAGGCATACAACATACTGCTTACGAATTTGCTATTTAATGCAATTATTTACCTTTATATACGAACAATATTATACATAGATCAACTGAGACAAACTAACTAGATATTTCTATACACACACACACACACGCATACATATGTAAATGAAGATTTTTGTGATAAAACACTAAGGAGGCAGGAGCAGAAACCAAAGCAGTTAAAGCCAGTGAATTTTACATACTCCTACTCTAGTAGTAGAAAAATAAGACAGGAGAAAAAGAGATGAGCCGAAAAGTCAGCTCCATTTAGAGCCGATCCCAGCTGAATCTTTTTTTTATAGTGTGCATACCAAAGTTAATAAAAAACTACTACATTTTCAATTCCATTTCAAAATCCATGCCACAGAAATAATCGAATAGTCTACCTGAAGTAAAATCGAGTGAAGCAGATTATTTGTAGAATACTTTTAGGAGCATCATATTTAAAAAAGTACAGCGTTCATGGGATTCTTTATTTGTATGAATTGTTTTCACAATGTATTCGATATAGTTTCCAAAAAATTGAATTCTTAATAATTCTTGGGCTACATTTTAAATTTAAAATCAATCGATTAGCTTGTTTTTTAGGCTGACAATGCACTGATATGGTAATGAGAGTTGCGAAGCCTGTACTTGAGCGATCTAGTTATAAATTCGATGATTACTCATCGGCAGGAGGTTTTCTTTTCTATTCACATAGTCCCATGGAGCCATAGGAAGTAGTGTTCGATGCTTGGGCTTAGTTAGTTGGTTAGTTCGGTGCCCACGTCGCTTGGTGCATATACATACATATATATGTATAGTCATAAAACCCGTCCTGTCCTAACATATACTGCTTGAGCACTAGCTATACTTTAAGTAGACAGCAGCAGCAAACTAAACAAACTACAAACATATACGAAGATCCCAGCCACAATAGCAAAATACGAGACAAAGACACCAAAATGATGCCGCAAAACAAAACGACAATCGACATACCTTAAAAAACAAAAAAAAAAACAAAAAATACAACAGAGAAAAAATTTATTTAACAGCAATTATGTATAACGAGATACAATTGTATATATATACAAAGTACTTGTGTATGTCTACATACTTATATACATGTGTACATATTTATACCTAAAACAAAAAACACAAATGACAAAAAAAAACGCTGTAAATATATTTAAATTAAATTCAAAAGGCAGGCAAATTAAATTTATGAAATACGAATAAGTGTTATTTAAAATTCCAATTGTTTAACACACCTACACACACCTACACACATGCAAAACATACTTTGTGATAAAAAAAGAGAAATAATAATTTTATAGCTTATAATATTATTTAGGCTCGCATCAAATAAAAGGCTTGCAACTGCATATAGTTTATGAAATACATTCAGTAGCTAATTATGAACCCAATGCTGAACCCCGTTTGAAAAAGTTACAAAATAAATATATGTATATATGGATGTATGTATGGACAACATTTATTTATTATATACTCAAAACATGCATATATACATATGTAAATATAAAATACATAAAACATGTACATATATATCGCAAAGGTTTCATTAAAATTTAAGTCGCTTGCGAACAAAGTTTTGTTTGCCCACTTGATTGATTCATTATTATTATTAAATCGAGTACTTAATTTAGTTCATTTCTAGTTAGATCGTTATTAGACAGTGGCTAGGAAACTCCTTAACCACACACACAAAAATACAACACATACAGATGTGTATATGTAAAGCAATACAAACTATTGTCTTCCCGGAACAAACTACTCACTCGAGATATGTGTGGGATTCGCAGAGAGTTAGTTTTACTTAGTTGTACTTTGTACTTGATCTGGCTCACAAAATACTATTAACACATCAGAGAGCTGCATCGATCATGAACGATCAACACTCGGACACTCACGTGTCGAGCGGATACGAGTAGGATTGTAAATCGATATCGATAAGCGAATACCGAGTTATCGTTGCAAATCTCTGTTATACATAGCTCAAGTTCTTGTTGAGATTCTTTGTTTGGCTAATCTATCCATCGCAAGCACCGCTATCAACTATAGACTAGCAAACTTTGGTTCGCCAGCAAACCGAAAAGCAATTCAAGTGGTATTATCACAACATGATGTTAATTATTTATGTACATAACATATACATATACATAGATTTGAATTATTCACACACACACACACAGGCACACTCACACTCCCACTCACATAACGATATATTCCTTCGAAAGTTTTGATAATAATGATATAAAATAACGAAATAGTTACAAAAATTTGTTGCATATGTTTAGAATATATATAGTATATATGACATAATATATATATACATATATATATACATAGAGAAGCTAGCAGCAGGCTCATTGTACATAGTGAAGGAATTAAGAAGTATAGTTCTAGTTATACGTTTTTTTTCATAGTAGGTACTTCAAATTGAACAAAACTACGCGTTTAGCTTAGGGGGCACAGTCAAATGGCAAATTGAATGACTCAACTAACTATAAAGCATAATTATAATAATAATAATAATAATAATAATAATAATAGTTTACATTATACATGTAGTATTTGGCATATGCGAGATAATACCAAACGATACGAGTTTGAGTATAGAGCGAGTGCTTACCTACCTTTATATAGTATATATACATACATATATGTATGAGGCATATGACTAGCGGTACTAGAGTTAACTGTTTGATAGTTTTCAAAACTTTGTTCAACTGACTTTTGCATACAATATGATGGAAAACAAAAAGAAAAACAACAAAAAAAAAAACACAAAAAAAAACCAAAATATTAATGATAAACAAAGAATAAAGACATTAAGTAAGATTAACAGTGTTCGCCCCACGCTTCCGCTTTCAGCCCATTACTCGCAGCGGAACGAATTTTAAATGATCGATTATGGTTTTTTTATGATGTTAAATTTTTTTGAATTGGTTGTTGTCATCTTTTGTAGACTTTAGTGCTAACTACACAGAGCCTTATACATTTTCGAATGAACAAATAACCAAATACACGAATTACAAATAATAAAAAAAATTATTACCTACAAACAAAAAATTAAAAAAAAGGTGCAATTACAATTTATAGGTCTAGCTAAATGAGAGCGACAATTAGTCAAAATTTATATGGATAAGAAAATTTATATTGATAAGATATTTATATATACTTATATATATAGCAGCAAAAATACGGAGGAATTGCGAATTTCACAAACAAAACGAATAACTCAAAGTCGAAGAATCATTGTCAGGCTTAAGCCCAACTAAATACTCATAAAAACTAAAACTAGTACAGCAGCATAGCGTATGCGATGCCTATGATGAATTTTTGCCAGAGATCGAATGTATATATGTACACACACATTATACACAGCTATATATATACAATACATACATATTTATGTATAAATATATTTAGATTTAGCTGCTTCAATCGCTTAGAAGCACCAAACTGAAAATAAAATACTTAATATACCACATACAAATGAACACATTAAAGCTTAAACCGACAAACACAATACATTAAAAACCAAAAATCAAGGAAAATAACTTAAAAAGCTTTTATACGCCAGATTTTTTTTTATAAGCAAAATCATAAAATACTAAAAAAAAAAACACATACAAATATTAATCTGATAAACAAATACAAAACAAAAAGGCAATTAACAAGTACTAAAAAAAAAAAAAAAAAAAATTAAACACGCCACTTAATTCATAAATATGTATACAAAAACTAAATGAATTGTAATTAAATTATTCAGATATACAAATTACAAAAAAAAAAAGCCTTAAACACTTGAGTACCAAATACACGCCCCATTTTTTGTAAAGCCCACTGCAAAACACTTTTGGCAAGCAAAGCTAAAAAGCTACAAAATAAACAAAAATAGAAAGAAAATACTCAAAATACCAAGCGTTATGCTCTAGATACTAGTTTCTAGTCTCTAGACAAAAAAGAACCAAAATTTTACAAAAACCAAAAAAAAAAAAACAAAATCAAAAACCAAAAATAAATAAAAGCAAAACCGCAACTTAAAATGAAAACCAAACCAATGAAAACAATATTTAACATTTTCCACCAATTTGAGGAGCATAGTTGAGATATATATATATGTATATATTTATATATATATATATGTATATATACAACACTATATACAAAAATTTGTACAACGGATTCATGCAAATGATCTCGAACACACACCCTTTGTTTTCCAATTTCAAAATGCTGCCCATTTATATACTTACGAGCTAATTAACAGCAAACAATAAGCAAATTATTACACAGAAGTGCTCGTATAGAGAGTACACGACTAGAAGATACCCTGTACCCAGTCCTAACAAACATACTTTAGGTCTGCCAGAATGCACTCAAAATTGCATATAAATTTAATTGAATGAGTTATGTCGAACTGGCCCTGAAGCGAACAGACCCGAATGCCACAGAAAGTAGAATTTACTTGACTGAAATGCCAACATTTGTATGTGGGTGGGCAGAAAGAAGGCGGCATTCCTGATTTTTTATACGCCACATGAAAAGCCCTTCTTTGAGTCATTTTTGTACAGTTCTAATGACTTTTCTATGATTATTATTATTGCAGTTTTTCGAATGCACGTTGTAATCCCTTAGACACAAGGAAAATATTTAGGGTCAAATTTCTATGCTGATTATCATCGCCAGGCTTTGAGCTCCTTTTGACCATTTAAAACAGAAATCAGGTCAAAGCCAATTACTCGGCGATTTTATCATTAATTGAACACAACTTGAGCACTATTATTTTATAAGTTCGAGGCTAATTAACTTACCATGAGTTGAAAACGACGAGGCATACTGATTTTAAGACCCACGTCAAATTATTACTAATGCTCTCCCGAGCTACTCTCAGCAGTTGTATTATTTATTATTTATCATTACGTCTATTCGCAATGCTTATGTACATTGGCGTGAAAATGTACTTACCTATGGATTTATTTACACTGTATAAAAGATATTACGGAATTTGTGATCTACTAAATGCATTTGTTTGTTTCCCTATTTATTTGTTGCCTTGTGCTCTTCTTGGCAGTGCAATAAAAGCAGTTAGCAGCCAAGTTGTTATTTTCTTTTTGCCTTTTCAACCATTTCAGCTCACTTAATGCTTTGCTGTATCCGTTTATTTCAATCAGTTCCGTATGTTCAGACGGACGGACAGACGGTTATTGTTCGCCTGTTATGCTGATTTATAGGATCGGAATTACTTCCTGTTGCCTGTTACATACATTTGCACAACTTCGTATTACCGATTTTAGCAAATTTTTAATGGGTACAGGGTATAGAAAAGGTACATTTCAAAAATAGTTCATTCATATAATAAATTTTGTTTTTTTTTTTCGTTCATTGGCCCAGAAACTGGCAAAACAAAAAATATATATATATTTACAGCTACATATTTAGGTAGTCGATAAACCGCAAAATGCTTGAACCGATCAAAGCTGAACTTATGAAACACTGATTAAAAAATACATCTGTTATTCAAAAATAGAAAAACAAAAATACCAAAAATTAAAAGACCCTTTATAAAATATAGTTGTAAAATTTATTTGAAAAAAAAAACTCAATTAAATATTGCTGTAATTAATGTGTATAGTAAACTAATTATTATGACATTGATATTAACACACAAAAAAACATTCATGTTAAAGAGTCTTTGACTATGTTGGAAAAGATAAAAGATACTACTGCATTCATATGGAGAAATATTAAAACACATTTATCACAGCAAAAAATATGCAGAGCAAGTCTAAAATGATGCAAATGATTTGATTAAAGAAAAAAAAAACAAAGCAAAACATAAAAAAGAATACAATGACAAAATAAAAAAAAAATACAGAATACATACATGTTTTTAAGAACAATTTCGTTTTTTATTGCTCAAAAGTTTGGGAGGTTCTTTCTACTTGGTACGTTAGTATTTTTTTCAGAATTCAATCTTTTTGGTAAAAACTAATCGAATTGAGTTTCAGGGTGATTCTAAATGAAACAAATATCGTAAATAAGTTTTGTCTAACATTTGAGTTCCTTAATTTTTTATTAGCATAATGAAGAAAAAAAGATATAATTAAAACATTTATAGTAATTTGTGTGATTGCATTTTTATATTTATTGTTTTATTAAATTACATTTGGGTCTTTATTTACCTCCTTTGGGATGTTTTTTTTGTTTTTTTTTGTTTTGGTGTTGTCACATTTATAATAAATAAATAATTTAGGTACAATAATTTTTCGAGTATTACAAATAATATTGCATATATGTATGTAGATAATTGTCACATTTCAATAATATCAATCAATTCACATCTAGAATAAATGCGATCATTTTCCGCAACCTTTATTTTCAATCCTACTTAAAAGTACGTGACTGTATGTGTGTGTGTGTGTGTGAGTGTGTGTGTGAATATATTAATATTTATGACAGTGTGTTTTGTATGAATGTGTACAATTAACTTTATAAAAAAATTAAACAAATGCTGATTAGATTACAATTACAATTACAATAAATAAATAAGTTCATTTCACACACACATATAGCTAAAATTGCATCTTTCGAATTACACATATAATATTTAAAAAAAAAAAAGTGAATTTACATACATACATATGTATATATATATATATTTATTTAATGTCTAATTGTGGAAAGCTTTCCATATATATATATATATATACATATAAATATATATATATATGCAAATGGGTCTACGGGTCGTTCGGCTGCCACTCGGCACCATCCCCGACGCTGCGCTGCGCCGCCTCCACATCACCGGTTGCCGACTGCAGTTCCGTTGGCGATTCTCGATCCTCGATCGGTAGTTTCACTTCCAACTGTTGCTAAAAGGTTTGGGCATTGCGACAGACGCCACAGCCCAAAGCGAACTCCTCACCGGTGGGCGGATGCATTACGTGCAGCGGACACTCGTCGCCCAGCAGTTGCTTGGCCTTCGGTCCGGCGGGGCATTGGGGCAGCTTTGTCTTCGGTATGTTCGTCAGCCGTTGAAAATCATCGTGGCACGTGTCACAAAAGTGCGTGGTGCCAAAGCAAAAAAATACTGCCACCGAGCAGCAGTAACGGCATTTGTACTCGAGGAAATCGGTACCATGCTTGGGGCACATCTGGGCGCGCGCCACATCCGAACATCCGCCGCAGACGAGCTCCTCGGGATCAAACTTTTCACCAATTTCCGCATCGCAGCGCGCCTCGCCGCCATAGTAGGCCTTCTGGCATTTGAAGCACACATAATACGCATAGCGATCCATCGCCAGCTGTGTGACATCCTTGCTACTATCAGTGTCCTTGACCACGCCCTCATACTTGATACTGTTGGAAATAAATACTCTCTTTAAAGGATGTATATATATTATAGAAACTTAAAACTTACCGCATGAGCGCTTTGCGTTTGACATCTTGCTTGAGTCCATTGATGGGTTCCAGTATTTCGGCCAGCAGCGGATGCTGTATGTCTGCCTTGCAAATGGGGCACAGCGAGAAGCCGAAGGTGATGCGCGGTCCGCTCCAGCGTTTCTCCAGCACCGCCTTGCAGCAGTGATAATGAAACACATGACCGCACTCCAGCTGAGCAAATAAAGAGAGAGAGAGAGAGAGATGGATAGAGATTCATCTATTCAAATGTGACCAGACGCATCTTACGTGTATGGCTGGGGCACAGGAAACAGCCTCTACGAAACAGATCATGCACATGTCGTCGGCATCCTGGGTGAGCTTCGGATCGCGCAGCTCCTCGGCCAGCTCGTTCTCGCGCACATGACAGACATGTTGCAGACACGGCAGACATTTGCGCTCGCCGGTGACACCGCCGCAGGCATGGCCGCAGGGCTTTGTTTTGAGGCACGAGTTGGAGGCATACTCTTGGCACTGTGCATCGGCGCACACATTTCCAATCTCCAGCAGGCCCGAGTTGCCGGTGAGGCCACAAAAGCGACAGCGGCCTACAGCCTCCTGTGGTCCCGAAATAATAGTGTGGCTGCCATCGCGAAACTCCACCATGGCCTTCAGCGTCTTCGAATCGGCCAAGGCAAGAAGCCAAAAGAGTTTAGTGCGTCCGCAGGACTCGTGCAACTCCACACGTATGGCCTCCTCCTCTTCCTTGCACACCTTTAAAAGAAACCAAAAGGAAAATGATTGATTGAATTAACAGGTCGGTTGATTGATACAGTTTAATTAATTGTTCATTTTGATATTGACTGGTTGATTGAGTGAGTGAATAATAGACTCTTTGGTTGTAAGATTGATGATTTTTGTATGTTGGATTGATTGATTAACTAATTGATTGATTAACTAATTGATTGATCAACTAATTCGTTTGACTATTATTGGTTAATAGAATAATTAACCTATTGATAAAAAGAGTTTTGATGATTGATTAACTCGCTAGAGATGCATTAAGTGATTGATTGAATAGCTGCGTTGGCAGCAGCCAAAGTGTTTGATTGAGTGATTGAATAGCAGACTCATCGATATATTAATTAAATGACTGGTTGCTTGATTGATTGATTAAGTAAGTGATTGATCAACCGCTTATTATGATTATAACAGGCTACTCTGTCTGAGTTTTTGTTGATTGATTGTTAGACTAACTGCTGAATTGACTAACTGGCTCTGGATAGATTAGTACTTAAGTTAAAATTAAACGACTGATAAATGAATTAGTTGACTGATTGTTATATTTGCGTATTGACTTACCGTACGCTTGTGTGAGCGCGTCTTGCGATTGAGATGCAAAAAGCGATCGCAATCGCCACAGAGTGAACCGCATGTCTCGCATTGAATGATGGCCGCTGTTTCGCCATCGTCATGATTGGTGCACATGGGTCGTGTGTCGCAGAGTTTCGACCATTGCCCAGAGGAGAGCTTCTCAACATGATCCCGTTCCAGCACACAGAGACTAGCCAGCGCCAACCAGAGTGTCGCCGTCTTTGTACAATGCTCCGGCGTGCGATAGATCTCCTCGAGTCGTGTCAGATTCAGCACAGATTCAGCGATAGCAGCCTTGGTGATCTGTGACCACTTGTCACTCAGCTTGCCCTGCACACATGAAATTTGATTAGTTTACTTTAGTGAGTGATCGTATTCAACGACTTACGCTTGCCAGATCCCGTATGAGACCAATGATGCTCTCTGCCTGTTTGGTGGAGATAAGCCCGTTGAGGAACCAGCGCTGGTTCAGATTCCGTTTGGTCGTCTCCTTCTTCGGGGGCACTGGGTCAAAGCGAAAGGGATCATTCCCTATAATCGCTGCCGATCCATGCTCCGTTGTCATCGGCCGCGATCGCAGCAGCTGCACGGACAAATCCAGCGAGCTGCAGAGTCGAACAAAGGCGGGTGTTTTCTCCACCTGTCCGGACTTGGCCCCGCCACTTCCGGTGGCTGTATTCGCCGTGTTTGTCTTTACCTTGACCTGCAACTGCAGCGACTTGGCAATGACGGCCAGAAAGATGTCCAACAGTCCCAATCGACTCATATCAAAGTCACTGGCGCTCTGATGTGCAATGCTGTAATCGGCTGGCGGCAGCCGTTGTACGCCCAACAAGTCGGCAAAGCTCTCCGGCGTGATTTCGGGTAGAATGCGACGCAACAGTGCCGTCACCTGACGCTGAACACGATCGCTACCCGTATGCAGCAGTCCGAGCAGATCCCGCAGCAGGCCATGCTGCTGCGACAGATAGGAACGACCAACAACGCTGCCCGACAGCGCCAGCACCATGCTGAGCATCTCAAAGCAATAGGTGTCCGGTGCACGATTGCGTTCCGAGCTACTCTCGCCGGACGTGGCAACCGTCGCCGTTGTCGTCGATGTTGTTGGGATGACAACCGACGCTGTTGTCGTCGCTGTTGTTGCTGCTGTTGATGCGGGCGGTGATGCTTGATGCTTGAGCACATGCGTCAGATTGGCTAGTTCCCACTCCTCTTTGGCGCGCTGCGCCTCCTTCTTGATAGCGTGCACAATGTGGACAATCACCTGCTTCTGCAGATGCGACAATTTGCTGCGTGAGAACAAAATGCCGACCATGTGCTCGCGCAGATCCAGCGAATCGGCTAACATCGAATTGGCCGCATCCTGTGATGCAGATCCAGAGCCAGGTGCGCCCGTTGATGCGACAGTATCGCTCACATTGCTGATGAGCTTGCCAAAGACCTGTCCGGTGATCAGACGAAAGACGCGCAACGTTTCCGCCTCGCAGATTTGCTGTTGGATGCGTGCGGCATGCGCCAGACGCAAATTGGAACGTTGATGCTCAGCATGCTGTTGCTCCTCATTGCCAATACCGATACCGATGCCGATGCCAATGCCGATGCCCTGCTGATAGCTTGGCAGTCCAAGCAGTTTGATTTGACGCACACGCAGCGTATTCTCCGGTCCGTGCATTTCGAGGCGAAAGTGCGTGCAGCTCTCGTCGCTGATTTTGGCTGCAATCCAAATGCACGCCTTGGGATCCACATCCACAGATTTGATTAGATTCGTGTCGCCCAGGGATTGGCCCGCATAGAACACCACATTCAGCACCTTGTTCTGCAATTCAAATAAGACTTATGCTGTGAGCAAACAAATTCACCAACTTATCAAAACAAGTTCATGTCTATAGATAGTTATAGAGTAGGATAGATGGGCTACTTTCATTATCATCTGGCAACGTCTATACAGTTGATCAATTATTAATCTAGAAGAGCAGTAAACTTGAATCATGCAAATTATAGATGTACTTTTTCTTTGTGGATCTTCTTAAATAATTAACTATAATCATTTAATAATGTTAATTATTTTGATTACATCAAGTTAATTACAATTTAATTATTTATAAATTGGCAATAATCTAAAGTAAACTGCAAATTATGGATATACTGGAAAATATGTGCTCAAAAAATAATTCATTTTACTTTGTGGATCTTCTTAAATAATTAATAATCAATTAATAATTAATTATCCTTCCTCGGTGATTATCGCAATGAGCTAAACAACTTTATACAAATAAATTGTTACGATAGTTGACACAAATTACAAGTAAATCCAAATGCAAATCTGCTGATTTTTCATATAACAATTCCTATTTTCTCCTGAAAGTGTTAGCCCAATTTTTGTTACGCTTTGCAAATAGAAACTGAAAGATTTGACCGGCAAAATGTCGACCTAATTAACTGGTTACCCACCTGAATGTCGCGGCTATTGTCGATGTGAACGAGCACAAATTTGCAGGCATAGGTCAGCTTGCTCATGGACAGCTCAATGATCTTGCACTTGTTGCGATCCTCCTCGTCGCTCTCCCAGAATGTCTCCGTTGAGTTGTCCGTGAGAGATTCGGCCATGGCGGGTCGTGATGAGACGGTTACCTCGAACATGCCGGCTAGATCCGTGTAGGAGATGACCTTGCCACCAGGTGCGCTGCTGCCTGCGGCAATTTGATGCTGATTGCTGGCAGTTGCTATATTGTGCTCGGCATCGCAATGGGTCTCGCCAGCGGCGGCGGCAGCCAGCATTGTTGAGACGGCCATGGCATCATTTTGCTCATCCGACTTGGACAATATCTTGGAGATGTTGCCAAAGACATGCGAGCTATGCAGAAATTGATGGTCCGCCTGACGGAATCGAATGCCAAAGCACTGAATGGCCACACGCTGCAGCGGCGAACCGAGCGGCAAGTGCAACGTCAAATCAGCGACCGACTGCAGCAACACATGCAGCGACTGGGTAATCAAATGGGCGAAACGTCCACTGATCTGTGTATAGGCCACCGGATGTTCCAGCGCCGGTTCGCCGGCATCCTCATATTTGCCATCGATCAACTCGGCGCTGCCCTGCGCCAATGAGCTGACAAACCACCACATCAGATCGTGCAGACAAATGCCTTGGGTGACGCTGCGCAGCAGCCAGTTGAGCGCCTGCAGTGCATAGATGCGGCAGGTGGCAATCCGCAGGCTGCGACGCATTGCACCACGCAATCGTTCCAGCTCGTGCTTCTGCGTGATGAACGCCATCGCCGGTCGGGTGAGCAGTGCGCTATTCGGATCCGGTACGGGACTTCCGCTAATAGCTGACTGCTCCTTGTTGGAATCAGTGCCAGCGGCTGCGGCTGCGGCTGCTGATTTGGACTGCGGCTCATTTGCATTAGTTGTGTTGGTGGCATGCAGCACGGCAACGCTGGCGAGCAGCTTCTGTGGCACCAGGCGTCGCAGATGCTCCGACGGATAGCAAATGAGCAAGGAGCCATCGCCTTCGCTGGTCGAATTGTTCCGTCTCCGATAGACAACTTTCGGCTGTGCCTCCAATGGCAACACAACTACCGCTGATGCACCAGTTGCCGTTGTTTGGTGTTGCTGTTGTTGCTGCTGCTGCTGTTGTTGTTGTTGTTGGTGTTGATGTTGTTGTTGTGCCACAGCTGCCCAGCCTTGGCCCATGGAGTAGCTGCGATGGAACTTGGACAGTGTGCCGCCAGTGACAGTTGGCGCATTCGCCACCGATCCGGACATCATTTCATAGTTGTTCGGATCACATGACTCGTACGAGATCTCCGAAAGCGGCTGTTCGAATTCACAAATTACAAACAATAATCACAATTAGTAATAAATCTATTTTAAGGCATTCAATGCAATAATCTCAATAAATAAGATGTGATTTAACATTCAATTCATTCAATAAACAAGTATATTGAATGAAACGTGTAAAAAATATATTTATCCCTGCCCGCAATCAGGTACAGTGTTCAAATTGGCCGGCTGTGAAAGCGATAACATCGATTAATGTATATCGATAAAAACAATTGATGAACTGATGAACAACAGATTAATCTTTGCTATGAAAGCTGTTGGATATACATCTGTACTGCCAATGTTTATGCCAAGTTTCATCAGAATAGCTTCAAAATTGAAGGACTACTTTGAATAGGAATGGATAAGGGGACAAAGGGCGACTACTTTTAGGCGCCGGAGACGCCTCTTTTTTCGAATGAAGTTGTTTGTATTTGTGAAATCTTAAAATGGTAATGCTTAAAATAATAATTTAAGTAACAAAGAAGCTAATATAAGAAAACTTTTAAATAAATTTTAAGAAATACAAGCTTTGGTTTTTCGAAAGCGACAACATTCAATTTAAGAAAATTTCCTTTCTCAATCATAAAGTGAGGAACCCTTGGCGAATTTCTAATATTTACCACAATTTTTACTGTGAGTAGACGCCAGCTAATTGACTGGAAATTGCTGAAAACTTACCCGATCGAATCCATTCTCGTTGGCATTGGCGCCCAGGCCGAGCATCTCGTAGGGCAGATCCTCGTGGGCGGCGGTGCCGAGGCACTCGAGGCAGGCGAAGCTGTCGGGCGCCAGCCAAACGTTATCTGGCGTTGCCGGCGGCACGCCCACAAAGCTCTTGCGAAAGGGCGTAAACTTGCCGCTTAGACGACCAATGCGACTGCTCCGGGCAGACTCTGCCCGACTGGTGCTCGGCTTGCTGCTCAAATTGAGATCTTGCATGCCCAAATGCTGATGCTCGATAACCACCGGCATCGCCATCGATACCTGGTGCTGTTGCTGTTGCGGCGATCGCTTCTGGCTGCCAATGTTGCCAGCGGACTGCAGGCTGCTCGCCGACGTGGATGAGGAGGAGCACAGCTCCAGCAAAAAGGTCGCATTCTCTCGCATGGTCGTATAGACCTCCGAGTTGGCTATCAGCGTTGTCGTCTTCACACCAAACAGGTTCATTTCCGCTGCTGCAAGAGGGCACAAATCAAGTTTACAATTAAATTAAAAACAATCAAGTAAGAATCTAATAGTCGAGAGTGCTCGACTGGGGCAACTCTTGAATATACGATTTTCTTCTCTTCTCCAGTTTCTTAACCGATCTTGATGAAATTAAAAGCTATGTGGCTTTTATTGCCACCAATAAACGATTTATACAGATACCTATCTCGATTTTTATCAAAAATAAATACATATTCTTTATGGGATCGGAGATGATTCCTTCTGCATAAAAATAAATAAAACCTTAACATTTGTTTGCAATTATATATTCTAATCAGATTAATTATATGGCTTACATTGAAAGTTAAAATCAATTTATTCATGTCAAATTCTTCAATTTATTCATTTAAAAATTCCGACTCAAATCCAGATCTCGTGTCCATATCAATTATGTTTGGATATGGTAAAAACTCATTGACATTATTGAAATCAATCTATATATACATATATTTATATCGCTTGCTTATCGCTATTTTATCATTTAGCAGAAGAAAGAAAAGGGTCTGCAAGGGTCTGTAATCTTCGGCGTCTAATCTAAGCGTTCCTTCTTGCTTATCTGCTTGTCTGGCAAGCAATCCGCGATTGTAACAATTGCAAGAGGGTGAGGAAAAAAGGAGGTACTAGGAGGAGGTACTAGGAATGCATACCTGCATTGGCGGCTTGTTGAGCGACGCTGTTAATATTGTTGGCACTGCGACTGCTGGCGAGATACTTGTCGCGACAGGCGTCGCACATGAGGAACCAGCTGGAGGCGCCCTTGCCGCCCTCACCGCAATTGCCGGCCCAGCCCTCGCAGAAGATGCCCACCGAGTTGTAGCCCTTGCCCTTGGCGGACTTGCCGCAGCCGGGATGGGCGATTCGCATGTGATATGTGACGGGCATGGGCAGAAAGAGTTCACAGATTTCGCACCAGCTGCCGTCATCCTTTTTCTTGCGCTTGCACTTCTTGCTGGGATCCTTGGTGTCCGCACCAAGTTCACCAGACTTGCACTCCTTGCCATCGAGATCACCGTTGGCGTCACGACCACCTGGCGACAACAGACGCTGCTCCCGATGCTCGAGAGCATTCGATTGGACAATGTGAACGCAGCCGGCACAGATTTGCTCCCACAGATAAACCAAACAGCGCAACGCCGGCGGCAACACGCTAACCAGCTCCGGCAACGCGTGAAGCTTTTGCTGCTGCTGCTGCTGCTGTTGCTGCGATTGATCCTCGCCAGCAGCAGCAGCAGTGTGTGGTGCATTCTTACGATGCTTGCTGCGATTGTGCAGCGAGCTGTTGCCGCTCTTGGTGAGCGTTTCCAGCGTCGATGGACGTATATTGAGATAGTGACCGGCATTGGCCACCTCAACGGAATGGCGCTGTTGTGCCTTTTGTTCGCGGGACAGCTGCAATCGGCTGGCATCGTTTGCATCGCGTCGTGTCATCACAGTGGCGCCCTCCTTGGGCAACCCGGGATGAAACTTGAGGAAACTGGCACAGGCCATCGCATCGTGTACGACACCCTCATGCCAGAGGAGCGCTGCAAATACGGCACGTATGCTCTCCGCAAACGATGGCGGCATCGCTCGCTTTATGGGACCCATCATTGTGCTGCTGCTGCTGCTCCGTTTCGATGCGGCGCCACCAGTTGACGCCCCCGTTGCTGCCGAACTGCTGCCGGCCAAACTAACGCCAATTTGCAGTTCACTTTGCGTTTCGCTGCCGGCTGCTGTTGTGGTCGTTGTCGTTGTCGTTATTATCTGCAGCATACTGAGATCATCCTCCAACTGTGCCAGCTGCGACGATGCCGGCGGCGCTGGCAACGATGATTCCTGTGCACAGCCAAGTGCAGCATTGCGTCGCGGCGTATGCTTTGGTGTTGAAAGCAACGCTGCCGTCTGACTGGCCGTATAATTCATGCGTCGCAGACTGGCCACATCAAAGTCGGACTCGGCGGCGGCGGCGGCGACGGCGGCAGTGACGGCACTGCTCGTTTCCTGTTCGCGACTGTTGCCATTGCCGCGTGGCAGCGGCGACGCTTGCTCCTGAACGGCACCCATAACGCGCACCAAATCACGCACAGACACCGAGGCGGCGGACTGCGAGGCCGTTGCTGGAGCCGTGGCGGCTGCTGATGCTGCTGCTCCTGCTGCTGCTGCTGGCTGGGTGGCCGGATCGAGGGCATCGCCCTTGAACCACTTTTGCAACGCCTGCAATTTGATGGCGCCGCCGCCCACAACGCCCGCAATGGCCGAGCCCAAATTGCCGGGCAACAATTCGGCGGTGGACGCCAGCGAACTATCCGCCTCTGGTTGCAATTCGACGGATTTAATGGGCAGCAGAAACGGATTTGTGGATGCAGATGCGGTTGCTGAAACTGCTCCTGCTGCTGCTGCTGCAGCTCCAGCTCCAGCTGCTGCTCCTGGTCCTGGTCCCGCTACTCCTGCTGCGGGCAACTCAAAGATTTTGCGCTCTGTGGGCGATTTGACGTATTTACTGGGACTGCTGGGACCGGGACTGGTGGCGGGACTGTCGGCAGCACTGCCGCAGGGACTCGTCGCTGATGGCGCCGCATCCAACGGTTCACCGGCACCAGCACCAGTAGCAACACCAGCACCAGCAGCAGCAGCAGCTGCCTTGGCGCGTGCCTTGCTACCATTTTCCGTCACCGGCTGGAGGAGAGTGCGAGCGAGATGCTGATTGAATTGCAGGCACCAGGCTTCCGTTGGATACCAGCCCATGGTGCAGTGCTGGCGTATGGATTCCGTGGACAGACGCAGCCAGATGCCGTCATCGTTCTCGATCTCATCGATGAACGTTATGATGCCGCCCAGCCGCACAACGCCCACCTGCTCCGATTGCAGTGTCGGATGCGAGCGTATCCGCAGTCCGGCACTGTGGCGTGCCTGAAAGCGGCGCAACTTGCTCGGCGCCTGCGGACGACGTGCCGCATTCGAGCGTTGGGTGGGTGGCGGTAGGACGCCCTCTTTGACCTCGACGCGATAGACCTCCTCGAGTGGTATGCCATCGATGGTAACGGCCAGACAATAGCTGCCCACCGAATTGGGCGTCCAGTGGACACTGAATGTGCCATCCTCCATGTCCTGGGCGTGAAGCGTTTCCGTCGTTCGCGTCTGGATGGGACTGCTGAAGCGCAGCTCCTCGAACGAATAATTGGTGTAGGGCTTCATGAATGTGATCGCCTTGAAGCACATTTTCTCCTTGGTGGTCGCCTCATAGTTGAGACGTGGCGGCGGCGCCATTCCACCGAGCTGGGCGCCCAAACCATGTCCGAACGTCGTATGGCTGCCAGCACTCTCCTCCGCATACGAGGTGCGTCGCATCTTTAGATTGCCGCCACCGTGAGAAACGCCACTGCGATCCGGGCCGGTGGGTATCGCCTTGATCTCCACCTTTAGCTCCGGCACCAGCACAGCATCGCCATACTGATCCCGTATGGTGACAGTCACCTGTGTGGGCCAACCATAGCGCAACGGTTCCGTTATCGTGTTCAGCTCACATCTGCAATTAAATACAAAACATAGCCGACTGAGTATCGATGCCCATCTAAGAATGCTACTGTCGAGAGAGCTCGACACGATTCTCTTCCGATCTGGATGTCATTTTTCAGTTGATCAATCTTATTTTTGGGTATATCCAACTAAAAACGACGTGCCTTTGAATCGATAGTTATCGATAAAGTAAAATTAACTTTATATTGAACTTGAATTCGAACTATCAATGACAGATATTTGTGGAATGAAAAACTTGATTTGTTTGATGTGCAAATCATTTGTAAGTAATACATAAATACTTTGAAGTTCTGAAACTAAGAACTAGCTGATTTAGCATATCTGGTTATTGTTGAATAACATTTATGGGAAATTTGTAAATCAAAAATGTTCAATTCTCATTGCTATTTTCAAAACTCTGCTGGGGTCTCTAAAGGAATAGTTATTATAATAAGTTGAATTTGGCTTACTTATTGGGATCGAGTCGCGACTCCGGCTGCAGCCAGGCGGCCAAGCGAGCTCCCGATGAGCCCGGTGCCCCGCTAATGAAATCCTTGAGAAACTGTCGTTCATTCGACTGCGAACTGCAAGGAGAAGAAAATAACCATAAATTAATCAATTTAAAAAAAAATGTTTAACGAATAGAAATCGAGCTTGAAAGAATGCATTGCTTAAAAATTGATATTTATTGCAATTTTAGAGCAATCGATGATTCAACAAACTTATCCAAATTATGGCTTAGCAAAGCACAAGTTCATATTCAATTTTGAGTCTATTACTTTTATAATCTCTTATATCGATTCAAGAATATTATATATATATATATGAATATGTATAAATTGTGAGCATGACTGGGTTGGGTGGGTATCTGTAAGGAAGGGGGACACCAGGAAGCGAAGTCGACTCCTTCCAGAGAAGATATAGTTGAAGCATAATAAAACTTGTAACGAGTGATATGCAGATATCTTGGTAAATAATAATAAACAAGGGATATATATATATATATATATATACGTTATAGAGTCGGAGACGTGTCCTTCAATGCGTTAAACACGTCACGGCAAAATTATAATGCTCTCTGCAAGGTTATTAAAAACAAACCAAAAAAAGACCTGAGCCCTTCCACCCTCAATAATCGGATCAGATCTAATTTAAAACGAACTGTGTGAAGTCCAATCAGAGAGCATCAAGCAGCATCAAAGGCTGCCCGACACGTCTGTTCCGGTTCTCGCTCTGACTGTCTCTCTGTCTCTCTCTCTCTCTCTCTCACACACACAGTCGCACACTTTCCCACACTCCTGGCCCAGAGGGTTTGACCAAAGGTCACGTCCGAGCGTTTAAGTTGTGGGTCAGGCAACGGGATGGGCAGGCGGAAAGAGCACGTACCGGTCCCTTTTTCACAGCAGGTGACTAAGCCCGCAGCTTTTCTTGCTCTCGCTCTCGCTCTCTCTCTCTCTCTCTCTCTCTCCCTCTCTCTCTCTGTCTGTCCCTCGCTCTCTGTCTCCCTCTCGCGCATGTTTAAATTAGCTGCAGACAAGCACGCACGTGTAGCACTTAGTAGAAAGATAACACACACGATTTTGGAAACAAACATGTGGTAGATACGGCAAATGATGATATATTCACTTAGGGGTTTTCCGATTTAAATTACATACATACATACATACATACATACATATATATGTATGAATAAGCATATATGTATGAATAAGCAGACTCCGCTATTTGCCAAAATCGTAGACTAAATAAACAATAAGTTTGTTCGACTTTCAATCGGAATCTCAAATCTGTACACCTGAAAACTTAAGGCAATTTTTGTAATTGCTGGTAGAGATTTTTTATGCAGTCGATAATTCTATAACCTAGAAAATGTGTCCAACAACAAGAATTAACAATAAATATTCCATTTTTTTCATTTTTGACATTTGTAATTGTTTTGAAGTTTTGATTTCCGTGGTATTGTGAACATATTTAGATATACTTAATCATAAATATATCTACAATGAACGTGTGTGTGTGTGTGTGTGTGTGTGTGTGGGGAGGCAACAGTGAAGTGTGTGTCAAAGTGAAGGGCGCGCAGAGTGGCAGAGTGGCAGAGACAGAGGCAGGGACAGGGGCAGGCGCACTAATGACGGCTCTTACCCACAACTCAGGCCAAATGCTTTGCTGTATGAAAGGGGGCAAAAACTGGGAAAGCAAACAAACCGCGTACATTTACATAAAAAGCAAATAAAACAATACCAAAAACGAAATGAAAATGAAAATGCGAATGAGAATGAGAATAAGAATAAAAGAATCTACTTTTCCAGTGAAATGAGCAGCTACACACAAAAAGGTAAGCCACACGTCTGTCTGTGTGTGTGTGTGTGTGGTATGTGTGTATGTGTGTGCGACCCCCTTGCCCCAAAAAACGCAAAGCGGCAAACACGTAAACAAAACAATAACAGCAACCAACTGTGGCGAGTATTTACCTGTGTGTGTCTCTGTGTGTGTGCCTGCCTCTGTGTGTGTGTGTGTGCTACCTGTGGGAAACACGTTTACACTCATACATACATACATATAGAGATATATATGTATTTACTTCCATTGAACGCAATGCGCGTGGAGCTAGACTCAGACTCAGACTCAGACTCGGACCCAGACCCAGACCGAGACCCAGACCCGGACATGGACCCTAAGCCACAGTTGCAGTTACCTCAAGCCCGACCCCCGGGGATCCAGATCCGAAGCCCAAATGACGCGCTGTCGTGCAGCAGCAGTGAAGCAAAAACAAAAAAACAAAAAACACATAGCAACAAAAAAAAATAATGAAACCAAGAACAGCAAGTTGCAGGTTGCCACAACTCATTCATTCATTCATTCAACATACTGCGGCAGAAACAATACCCAGCTGAACTTGACAGCATGACGAGTAGCACCACAAAATCATGAACTTTTCGACTATGATTCCCAAATGAATGCTTTACATAAATATATAAATATTTTATGTGTATTTATTTAAATTATTTAATTATTGAAAATTTAAATTTAAATTAAGAAAATAATAAATATTTATAAGATTTCAGGGAATAGTTAAATGCAAAATAGTTCAACATTTGTTGCCTGTACTGTAGGAAAATCCCAGTAAAACATAATCAGTCCAAAACTATTATTTGTTATCTTCTATTGCCAAATTGCTGCTTGCCTCTTTGTTCATAGGAATATAATAAATAAGAAATTTATTTATTATATCTTTTATGAGTCTGCCTGACGAATGAAATTATGCTTAATTCGTTACTGATTTCATGCCTTCTTTCATATGACTGACTAACGCTGCGATGCCCCCCCCAAATAAGTTAAGTGTGTGTGAGTGTGTGTGTGTGTGTGTGTGTACATAAGATATCAATGCATTTATCGCACAATAAACTTTAGAAGTGAAATGGGGCAATAGCTGCAATGAACAATTGAAACGCTTGGTAACCAAAAATCACCGATTCAACGATCTAATAATTGATCAGTCCAGGCATACGCACACATACAGATACACATACTAGAATAGAGTGGGGGAGAAAAATAGGAACGGGGGGGCAGGGAAACAGCCCGCATTGACAGTTGGTACACTGGTGTATTTACACACGAGAGGGGGTGGAAGGGTCGCTCTACATCCGCTGCATCCATCGGGCATCGTGTGTCGTGTGTCGGATGGAAATGGAACGCAAATTGATTGCAAGTCGGACGCCCGACGACGCTCCACTTACCGCGGTGCAGTGAAGATGAGGATGGCAATGAGTCTCCTCTCTCGCTGTCTTTCACTGTCTCTAATAGCGGTAATTAAGTTAGAGGCGGGCATGTCACCCAATTGAAATAGCCACTCAAGCTACCCAAGAGCAACCCCAGGCTGTATTCATTCATTCATTCATTCATTCATTCATGGCATGCGTCGTTAAATCCTAAAAATAATACCGATTTATCTATTTGAACAATGGCATCGTGAACAGGCTGAAGTTGAAGCAAATTGTATACACTTCGACAATATATTGCTGAATTTAGATTGACAGCAAGAGCCAGAGCAATCACATTGAGAGCGAAAGAGAAAGAGAGAACGAGTGACTTTAAAAGGGTTTCAAAATTGTGGATAAATCAATATTTATACATATACATATACAAGTAAAATAGCATGCAATAGTTAAGAAAAAATATAAGTAGATCTAGAGTAAGTCACATTGTCAGCTCTAACAATATATATACATATATATGTACATATGTATATATGAACATATTCGTACATAGAACTGTACCTAATTGGGCTTTTGTCGGAGACAAACGAGTTCGAGGAGAGATACATATGTGCATGCATGTGCAAACATATGCATACATACATACATACATATATACATATACATATGTGCCTATGCAATTATTTTGTAACATAGCATGGCCATAAAACCTAGTTATTTGAATGCCAAATTTGCATATATGGATTAATAATATAAATACATATTTTTTATTTTATTTTTAAATTTACATTTAATTTCTATTTTTTACTTTCTGTATCTTGTTTTTGTGTTGACTGACTTTAGTTGACATTAAATAAATAAAGAAATAATACATACAAACATCTCAAAGCATTACATACATAAAAAAAAATACACACACATACATACATATGTATTCAAGTACATATATGTACATGCCAATCTCTTTAATTTCCCTGCAAAGAGCAAACTTCTGCACTGAATCATTTTATTTATTCGCCTTACGATGACGTATTAAGTTTCTGTTTCCAAATTCAAATGGATGTATCTTCGCCAATAATTGTCAGAAGTTAGAATTTCTTTCAACATTATGAAGCCCTTTTTATATATTTTGATTCTGCATCAAAAGCTGAAAATTTGTACTTGTTGATTTTCTTCTTATTATGAAGAACCAGACTGCTTTCAGCTGATAGTTGATAGAGAGTATGAATGAAGAGCAGGAACAAAAGTTAGAAAGCGAGAGAACGGGAGAGCAAACTAAATGAGATCAGCTGTGAAAAGTAAAAGAACAGTGAAGCTACACTGTACAAAAACCTTATCACACATATGTTTGTCGAATATATATTGAAATGAAAAAATCCAAAAAAAAAACAGTATGTACTAATGTTTGTACTATTTCAAACAGATGCTTCGAAACACATCCAGATATGTTTGTATATAAGTCAATTTCTAATTCTACCATGTTCGTTCTGTTTGCATTGTTATTTTCAGTTATAGAATAAAAAGAGAGCGACGAGAGAGTGCGAGAGCAATGACTAAAAGCATGCACACACACACATAGATAGGCATGCATATGGACGTGACAGGCCAGCCAAGAAACTAGACAAGGTTAACAAGCACGCAAGCGAAAGAGAGAAAAACGCCAAAGAGAGAGAGAGCATGAATCAACAGCGTTAAAAGAGCGCAAAGTAATGCTCAATTGAGTAATGCCGATCGCCGCAGCCAGTTCAGTCACAATTTACAAGCGCTAGCGTTTGGTCGTTGGCAGATTTTGTTTTGCTGGTTGTCGTTTCGCTCCGTTTTTGAGTTTCTGTTGAGGAAAATACTTTTTGTTTTTGTTTGTTGAACTTGTGTATAAAATATTTCTGTTGATGACGCCTAACAACATTAATATGTATAATATTTGCGGCTAGCGAAGCATTAAGCAAAATAAGATTTCGACTCTGGTAAAATTTTTACGTATGCCCATTGTGAATGTATGCGTAGTAGAAAGTGGCAACGGATCGGATCGTGGCCGGACTCCAACGATTTGTCGCCTTTAATTGAACCAGCGGAAGTGCAAATCAAAAAAACAAAAACCCTACAACATCGAATTTTATCAACTCCCAGCCCCAGAGCCCAAACCCAACAACACATCCCAAACCACACACAAACACACACACAAAGTAAAAAATCCAAAACAAAAGACAAATTCTCGACAAAAGATTCAGTTGCGTTTGACGTAAAGCTCCACCTCCATCTCCACCACCTTCATCTTCATCTCATCGTGCCCAGCACAGCTGCTATCATGTGGCATTTGGTTGTGTGTCTACTTGTGGCTGCCACAATCGGTACCCAGGCCCCCTCAGCCACCGCGTGGCCGCTTAACGATAATGCCGATCCGAAGCCGGAGAGCATCTGCACACATTGCTATTGTAATCGACTGACGGTGATCTGTGATTTTGCGCATAATAAAACGGTAAGTATCTTGGAATCAAATTAAAAATCATTTAATGTTCTTAAGTTGTCATCTGACGCAGGCTTAAGTTGCCACATTTGCCACAGATTTCAGATTCAGAGAACATTCACTTTTCTCTCTCTCTCTCTTTAAAATAAAGAACAGATAACAATATTTCTTTTGTGGCACACGTTGTATTGTGGCAGAGTTAAGCACATGCATAATATTTGATCAGAAATGTGTCTTGCTGCTGTTAATTTGACCCTTGCACCTACGATTTAACTGCTCTCGTCTAACTGTGCTCAACAACAACTCATTCGAATCGAGTCGGAATGATTCGAAAATAATTAAAAAAAATTTGCAAATGTGCCATTTTTCTTTCTTGGAGGCCATATTCAATTTTTGCGCTATTTATAAATACCTCCATGTGTGTGTGTGTGTGTGTGTGTGTGTGTGTGTGTGTGTGTGTGTGTGTGCGTGTGTGTGTGTAGGTATGCATATGTGTGTGCAGCTAATAAGAGATACGAGTTAGGATCTCGTTCACTTAACTGATATATTAATTGACTCCAAAGTCTGGAGGCACATACGAGACAGAGACAGAGACGCAGATAAATCATATAGATAGAGATAGAGACTGAGATACAGATACAGATAGATATAGATATAAAGATATAGAGACAGAGATAGATATAGATATAGAAACATAAGCGAAATGCTCTCAATTTATTGCGGCAAAAAAGAAAGAAAAAGAAAATCTGCAGGCTACAAAACCCTTTGATGAACTACAATTTAACAACAAATTCGAGAGAAAAAATTGCTCTTTGCAGAATGCCAAAAACAATTATTGAAAAAAAAAAAACAAACAACAAATAACTCTTAATAAAAATAGTTCATATTACTAATTCTATGCACTTTTCATACAAACCAAAGAAAAAAATATGATTTAACAATAATTCAATGATCATAATCATAATGAGTGTAAAAGTGGTTATCAAAATAGAAAAATACGAAGCAGTCAAGATTCCATAAAACTTGTTTATATATTGTATGTGTCTTTCACCGGTTGTTGTTCTTTTCTTTCCAAATTCCAAAAATGTATCAGGCAGCTAATACGCAGATAACATGTGCAAGTGTGTGCGTGTGTATATGGGTAATTAATGTACTTATGAGTACGCAATTCGTCATTGAATCAAAAGGTAAACAAAACGCGCAGCTGAGGCGCCAATTTGCAACAACAGAAACAGCAGCAGCAGCAACGCGAAATGAACCAGCTCATGAGCCACCGACCCGTTCAACTGGTTATGCTAATGAATCAGGTGTACTATATACACATGTGTGTGTGTGTCGAGTGTGTGTGTGTGTGTGTCGAGTGTGTGTGTGTGTGTGTCGAGTGTTTAGTTTTAAATTCGGCTGGCGCTCAAAAGAAGTTCTTATTGCTTTTTTTGCTGTTGCTGTTGATGTTGCTGTTGTTGTTTCCGCACGCATTTTGCTGATAACTGTCACTGTTACTGCGTTACTGCATTTAACTACATATATATTTAACTAAACGCACAGTGTCTAAGCCTATGGGCGTTCGACCGGATGTGGGCGTGCCGGCAGCAGCAGCAGCCAATTGTAATTTGCTGTCGCTGTCGCTCTCGCTGAGATGACGTGACAAGTGTGATTATGTTTGTTCTTAATAGTTGTTGTTGTTGTTGTAGCTCGAACACAACAATAAAAGCTGTAAGTTGTGTGTGTGTGTTGCTACAGTAAAGACATTTTTCAGCTATCTATAAGATGCCGACACACACACACACACACAAAACAAGAGCAACACCCACGCTCTGACCAAAGCACCCTCTCTCCCCCCCCCCCTTCGGCCCCCTTCCACTCACCCCCTCACTTTGCGGGCAATGTGCGAAGTTGACGAATCAAGTAAAAATGCGACTGCGATCGAGTGTACTTGACTAGCAGATACCCTTTAAATATAGCATGCACTTTCGGTTGCAACTACAATATTATATGTACACAAAAATATATATATGAGAATGGAGTTTGTAAATTATAATTTAGAATTATTATAGATAGAAAAGGCTGAACATAACTCGGAGATCGAATAATTTTTAGCGAAGATTATATTACTATAATTATAAAATTCCTCGAAATGTATCAGAAAACTGTAGTTTCAAGTTTTACTGTAGAATTAAGATCATTAAGTCTATATACATATATATATATATATATATATATATATATATATATATATATATATTCAATTAAAAAAAAAACAATTTTTTCCTATAAAATTGAAAATGGCATTTTTGTCACGAGCCTGTCTTGAATGGGGAATTCCGCGAGAAGCATGCTCAATTTTAAGAGTGATAAGCACATTTAGTGGACTTTAAATTCTGTAGATGATATTTGTGGGAGAAAACTTTTAAGATTTGGCTTTCGGCAAACTTTTTTGCCAGAGAATACACCCAAATCCTAACCTGGAGTCCAAAAAGTTAATTCTTATTTTGCATATTTCAATTTGGCAGCTCACTATTTTTTTGCAAATAAGTTTTCAAAGATTTCTGCTACTGTTCAAAATGTGATTCTTTTTTCTGTCCATGTTTATTTAATAGAGCTGAAAATTTTGAAAAGTTCTGTTTCGATTTTTGTAATATCGCGAAGTTGATGAGGATACGCCTTACACACATGTGTGCAGGGTATATTGGACGGCAAATGCTGAAAATATAAAACTATAAACGATCTTTCGACATTTTCACAATTTCCAATGCAGCTCGTGTGCATTCCTCGACGAGATATAAACATGCAACACACTCAAACATACTCAACAATAGATTAAGCGAACCAAAAAGGGAACGAGAATGACAACGAGAGAGAGAGAGAGACACAGAAAACGCGTGTGTGTGTGTGTGTGTGTATGTGTTTGTTTGTTTTAGAAATGACTATTTAAATACCATTCAAATGGCTACTAAAACTACTTAAGCCGAATGCGAATGGAAATGGGAATTTCGAATTGGGTATGAGTGATACTAAAATCCATCAAGTGGCAAACGAGTCTCCCTTCCTCTCTCTCTCTCTCTCTCTCTCTCTCTCTCTCTCTCTCTTTCTCTCTCTCTCTCTCTCTCTCTCTCTCTCTCTCTCTCTCTCTCTCTCTCTCTCTGTCTTTCTCGCTCACACACAATATGCAACAACACGGCAGGAGGTGCAACAAAATGTGAGTGGCCACAATGGTTTATAAGTGGGTCTCCAGATGTTTCATTTGGATCGATATCATCGATCGATATACAGTATACAATATATACGTACTTATCGCATAGTTAAAGATACTTTTATTTGTATATTCGAAAGCCATTTTCTTCAACACTGGCAAAGGAACAAATGTGTAAACAAATCTGTACATAAAATACTTGACTTGTATAACACATTTTATTTATTATCTGTTCAGTCAGATCGACGAGGATATGCGCATAATAAAATCAAAGTTTATTAAAACATAATTCTGGATAAGTTTCCATTAATTAAACAACTCTTTGTTTTCCGGCCATTTGTGCGTCATCTGAGAAACTATTTTCGATTGATCTGAATACCATTTGAATTATGTAGTTGTTGTTGCAGTCTTTTTTCATGTCTGCTTATATTTGTGTAGACTCTGAGTAAGTGTTCAATATTCTGCACATTAGATACCCTGTACGAGTCAGTGAATTTGTCATCTCCGCATTTACCAGCTGGCCTTTGTCTAGGATTACATATATATTTGCACTTCATTGCCACTGCAGAAGCGAAATGAGCTAGCAAATTCCAAACTAGAAATTCTTATCAACAACTCGATATCATAACCTTTTCGATTGCGGATTAATGAGTAATCCTTATCTAATTACTGAGTTGTATACAAAATATGCAAGACGACAGTCAGAAAGAAAGATAGAGAAACAGAGAGAGAGAGAGAGGTAGTGGAGAAATTGATAGACAGATAGATAGAAAGAGAGAGTTAGATTGAAATATTGGAAAACTACAAACTGTTTGCTGGACATTGCAATATGTCTGTGTCCGTGTGTGTGTCTGTGTGTGTGTGTGTGTGTGTGTGTGTGTGTGTGTGTGTGTGTGTGTGTGTGTGTGTGTGTGTGTGTCTGTGTGTCTGTGTGTGTGTGTCTGTGTGTGTGTGTGTGTGTGTGTGTGTGTGTGTGTGTGTGTGTGTGTGTGTGTGTGTGTGTGTGTGTGTGTGTGTGTGTGTGTGTGTGTGTGTGTGTGTGTGTGTGTGTGTGTGTGTGTGTGTGTGTGTGTGTGTGTGTCTGTGTGTGTGTGTGTGTGTGTGTGTGTGTGTGGAGACAGATACATTGTGCCAAGCGAACGCCACGTAGACTTGTAGATACAATCGTAGCTCTCAGATACGTGCACGTGAGCAGAAAAAAGGCGAGTTTCTCGCTGTTGGAAAATCCTGCCCAGCCATGCGGCTCACATATGTTTCTCTCTCTCTCTCTCTCTCTCTCTCTCTCTCTCTCTCTCTCTCTCTCTCTCTCTCTCTCTCTCTCTCTCTCTCTCTCTGTGTTTGTGTGCCCAAGATCGAAGAAAAATTACAAATAAAAATAAAAACAATAAAAAGGAAAGAGAAAAAATATTCTCACCATGTGCCGCAAAATCTTCAACGCAAATGCACATCATAATTTATTTTTAATTGGATTTCAGTTTGGCTTATTTATACATGCATGCACACATACACACACACACACACGCACACACATAAATCAGCCAAACGTCGTCTGCTATTTCCGCCTATTTCAGCACCCTCCCCCACCCGGACACCTATACACCATGCCCTTAAGTCCATCATCTCTGATTTTTCAGTTAGGCTCTCTAAAAATAAATTCGACGGCGACAAAAATGCGACGGAAAATGGGCAGCGGAATCTGGAGAAAAGTGCAGTCCGTCTTAAAAAGTATGAAAAAAGCACGCATAGAAACACAAACACAAATACAAATACACTTACAAATACACACACACACATACGTCGTAAGCACTCTAAATATAGCCAATATATATATTGTAGATATAAATCTATATAGCTATAGCTATCTATAGTTTATTATGTCGATTCGCTTCAGTTTTGGCCCCTAAAAAGTTCATAAAGTAAAACAGCTGTGTGTTGCCCTCTCTTTCTCTCGCTCTCTCTCTCTCTCTCTCTCTCTGATGCTCTCTCACTTAATTTTGTTTTTGGCATTCTATAAACTTATACGTCACGCTGAGTGGGGCCAGGCGGGGTGGAGCGAGGCAAAGTAAAGTTAAAAACAACAAAGACAACGTAATTGAGATTTCCGCTTTAGCCAGCAACAACGAACACAGATCAAGGCAAAGAAAAACAAAACAGAAAGAAACAAAAAAAAAACAAAAACTGGAGCAATTGTAAGAAATTGCGCCCAATACTTATGCATATATGTATATGGATTTGTGTGTGGGGACGAACTCGACATACATACATACTTATCAAAAGCAAAACCAATTGCAAACTTATGCACTACAACAACAACAACAGCAGCAGCAGCAGCAACAGCAGTCGAACAACAGTCAACTGACAGCAGTCAGACAGACAGCGAAGAGAGTATAGGAGACAAGAAAAGAAGAATAACAATAATAATAAACAGCAAATGTCTGAGAAAATCTGTGCAGAAAGATGTTAGGGAGCTCTCGCTCTCCTTCTCGTTCGCACTCGCGCTCTTGCGAGTGAAGAGCGAGGGAAGAGTAATAACAACAAGTGCGTCTCAAGAAATTGTTGCAGCTGGGCGTAGAGCAAACGGTAAACCATTGAACCTCAGAGATGATGCGCTACAACAAAGATGAGCGCGTGACACGAGTCAGAAGCATACACAAAGAGTGAATGCACAAGTATTAGTTATATTTCACTGTTTCAGTTGCTGCAACATACATGTATATAAGATAAGATTTAAAGAGCTTCGATATACACAATAATGTGTGTTATAAAATGTGAATGGATTCGCTATCGAGTAAATAAGATAAGCAATTATGTTTTTGGTTCACTTAATCAGCCGTTTCAAATTGCCGTTTAAAATATAAAAACAAAATAATTTGCACTTAACGGTTAAAAAGAAACTGGACAGATTGGACAGTCGATGTCAGGTGCCAGCTGCCACCTAACTCACAATAGACTTCCCCACCCCCACATACACGAATTTTTTCGAACATATTGTGAACCAAATATGGAGCGGGCGGTCGACTCACTGTTGTTGCTGATGAATTCACGACAATTATGCGGAAGCCAAGCAGACACTCAGCCCAGCACGTAGACCTGCTCTGCTCCTCCTCCAAGTGTATTTCGATAACGATAACTTTATGAAAGTACGCTCACATTGTCTCATGTATATGCAGACACACACACACACACACGCACACGCACACACACGCACACACACTTGAAAAAAAACACATGAACAGTTGCTGGGCTGCAGTTGTTGTTGTAGATTATATAATGTGCAGTAATTGCACTTGAAAGCGATGCTAAGTTGATCGCAACTGATCACGAAGTAAGCTGGCGAAAATAAAGTGATGTTTATTTTCTTTTTCACATGAGAAGTGAGAAAAAGAATGTTCCAGCAACTAGAATCGAGTTATGATTTCCAGAGAATTCTAAGCTCTTAACTACAACTGTTAGCTGACATCAATTGTGGCAACGCTTTATTTTAGCTTTGTTGTTAGCTTTAAGGCACTATTGCAAGTTAACGGTTGATCACAAATCGGAATATATACTTATTTATATAGAAACCGATAATATGATAATATCGGGTCTCAATATTTGTATTCTACACATGGAGGGCCACCATTTACGCCCGACCACAAAATACTTCTCCATTTATCCAGTGGAAAATTCAAATGATTTTTGTTTGTTTGTTGAATGTTACAAATTTTCGATTTGTTTCCATACTCGATGCAAGTTTTTTTCAGATAACGGGAAAAAGGTTTTGCCTCAGGCTGGAGATACATAAGTTTGCGACTTTTGAGCAGTACAAAAGCATGCCACACCCAAAAATGTGCACTCCCTGAAAAGCTGAACATAAATATAATAAAAAACAAAATTAAATTGAAATTGAAAATATGAATAATAATAAATAAAAGTTTAAATTATTATTATCTAATAAAAATAAAGTTTGAGAAGAATTTACTAATAAATAATACCAAAATACTCAGACCAATCTTGATGAAATTGTTTTTCTCACAATTTCTCCTAAATTTCAATATTTTGATCGTTACCAATATTCTGATCGCTGACTGTATAGCCACCACTGTAACATGGAGACTGAGGCGCACAATCAACATCAACACAAACCCCGACAAATCGACAGTAGCCAGCCCAATTGTGCTGTTGTTGTAGTTGTTGTCACCCCAGTACTTGGGAGTCAAACTATTTTCTTTTAATTTAATGAGAAAATTGCTCGCAAGCACACACACACACACACACACACATAAACCGCGACTGGGGGCTGGAGCAATGAACGTCGCGGTCAACTTGCCGTTGTCTGCAGCATTGCTGCAATTGTTGCTGCTTCTGCTGCTGTTGGTGTTGTTGTTGTTGTTTGTATTGTTGTTTGTATTGTTGTTATTGCTGCTGCAGTTGCTCTTGTCGCGACAACAGACATTTAAAAATAATACCAAGTGCCGGGCACAGAAATGTAAGTCAAGCGTCACAGCAACAACAGATCAGCACACACACACACACACACATAGAAGCAACTACAAGCCAAAAGAAGGGAAACAAAAGAAAACCAATGACAAACCTTAAATACCCTTTCCAATGCATCAAGGCCGTCTGTCAATTGATTTCATCTATAATCTTCAACTTGCGTCAATTGTATATAATAATCTATATAATATATTGTTACCAAAAGACAAGGCACTCTTATAAATACCATATACAATGGAGAATATGGCCTTGAACACGATGGGATATTTCCGCAAACCCATCGACAAACTGAAACAAAAAATGTTCTTCAGGAGAACAGTATTTTGCGGCAAACTGTTTTTGTTATTACCATGAAAAAAGGAAATAATATTTTTATTGAAATTAAGCTGGGTGTTAATCAGCGCTAATGGAACAATATTTTTGTTGGCGCTACGAATTAGTAATGGTCAAAAATATTATATGGTTTGACTTAAATTATTATTTTCTTACAAATTTTTGAGTTTTTCGAATGAAACCGGTGCAATTAATTTTCCCAACAAACTATATACTTGTCTGTGCAGTCATCGTCTAGAGTCTGGACATAAATACAAGTGGCAGAAAGTACTAATATAAAACAAGTAAGAGAACGATTTATCCTGAATGCAGCTGTTAAATATATTTGTTTACTCGTATATTGTTTTATTGGCAACTTTCTCTTTAACAAAAAAAAAAAACGAATGCAGCGCATATTTTTATTCCCAAGCCCGAACTGAGCTTAACTGGCTGGCGACAAATGCATGCATCTACATACATATATGTATATATCTCAGCAGAATACACACAAAGACATATTGACGATCGCGTCGATATTTTTGGCATACAGATCAATATTATAATATATTTCCGACCATAACTTGTGTGTTTCTTATACGATCCTGATGAAATTTAAGCAGTTGATCAATAATATTTATTTTAAAATAATTATGTATTAATTAGAAGATTCTCCCTTATAATTGTAACATTTATTGCTATCGGAAATGTAAATGTATCGATAAACGAGAAACGGCGGCAGTTATCGATCAAATAAAGCAAACTTGATCTGCGCTGGGTGTACGAGCACCTATTCTAAAACTTTTGAAATCTCTAGCTCTTGTATCTGATATCCGGGTGTTCATAGAGACAGGCGGACATGGCTATAGCGACTTGACTCGGATCAAGAACATATATACTTTATGCAGCAGAGATGCTACCTTCTGTTTGTTACATACATTTGCACAAAACCATTATACCCATTTTACATATTTTTAATGGGTAACATGAAGACCCGTTCTAGTTAGTGTATCTCATTTGACGACGATGGCGTTGGTATCCGGACAGACGCACCCCTAGCTCCTAGTCTCAAGTCCATAGTGCCATAACCCCCTGTCACATCCCGTCCCGTTCCGTTCCTTTGATTGCCTGGTTTTTGCTGACTCAACTGACTCAAAGATTGTATTCTCTCTCTTCTCTTCACAGCTGTCGCCCATATGGAACAGCACGTACTCTGTTCCGACGAATATCACCGGCATGGAAGTGCAGCTGACGGAGCGCACACAATTTCAACTGCACGGCGGGGTCTTTCGCAAGAACCGTGTCAATCGGTTTGTGATAAAGGGACCAATCGTATCTGAGGGCAACGATCAGGTGGAGCTGGTGCAAAACGCATTTAGCGGCAATCACGCCGGCTATCCGGATATACAGATAATCGGCACGAGCATTGTATTTATACGCAAAAACGCATTCTCAGGTGAGTTTGGCTTTTATTTTTGGAGCTAAGCAAATATTATTTAACATGACAAAATAGTCTAAAAAAAAAAGAAAAGAAAAAATAACTTAAATTTCAAAACATGCTAATAAAATTGAAAGCTAACGTTAGAAAAGCTTTAAGAGCACATTAAAGCTCCAGCGAACTGAATTGTATTGACTGACCACTGATCACTACTGACAAAGTAAGTCCAAAATGTGAATAAATAATTGTGTGTGCTTTTGCCGGGAGACTCTAATTGAATCCACTAAACTTAATTAATCATAATTGAAGCATTTAAGTGCAGACCACAGCAATCAGTTTACATAAATCAACTTGTACTAAATGAATTTAACTTCTTAGGTGGCGAAATCAAGCTGCGTGTGAAGGACTGCGATTCGCTGGTATTGTTCTCCGAAGCATTCACCAACATGAACATGTCCTGCAGTTTTACGAACATTCGCCGACTAGAGATCAATGAGAAGGTCTTCAATCCCAGCACAAATAGCAGTGTCAATGCCCGTGTAAACGTGAGTATTCCATATGGAGCTATCTATTCGAACTGTAAATATTAACACACATATATATACACACACACACTCACTCACTCGTATAGCTGCATATTGAACATTCGAGCATCGATCGAATCAATCGATTCAATGTGTCAATGCACAAGATTGTGTTCGTCAATTGCACCATTGGCAGCGTTCAGAAAGAGGCCTTCGATGTGACCAACATCAATCAGCTGTGCTTTGAGAATTGCCGCATCAAGAAGGTTGAGGCAAGAGCCTTCACCAACAAACTGTTCAGCGAACACGTCTCCATCACAGGTACCCAAATTGGCACCATCGATAGCGAGGCCATCATGGGCAGCGGCATTTCCAAGCTAACGCTCCGAGAGAATACGTAAGTAAACAGCTCCCAATCAAAATAAAAAGAAAATAAACCACAAGAAAAGATAATAAAATTACGGTAGATATAGGGTATATTTGGGGACGGTGCACGTGTACTTACCAATTTTTGCAAGGAAGTTTCGTAACGTTAGATATAGTCTATTTTCGATGGGGCTGAAAAATTGTCTATATTTGGGTTAAGTTCCCAGTAGGCCACCCACCAAGTTCGGTAACTTTAGCTCAACATTTACGGAAGACATAGTCTGGATATTTATATGTTGATCTTTGAAGATATGCGTTTTTATTGATTTACCCTTTTAGATATCTTGATTTTGGCGATTATGGGCTGTGGGTGTGGCAGATGTAGATCTTTGTAGGGGCATTGCCAACAATCCATCAGCGAAATTTGGTGACTCTAATTTTAAAACTTGGTAGATATATTATTTCAATTTGCAGTTATCGACTTTATCGATAATAAAATAATACTATCTAAATTCTAATTGAAACTGTTGAATTTCGTCGTTTTTAGCATTGACACAATCAAGGAGAATGCGATTCAGGTGCACAGCGTGGATGTAATCATCGAAGGGAATCGGATTAAGAACCCGGGCAAGAACTGGCTGCACGTGAGCAATGGCGACCAGATTACGATCAAGAATAATTGGTTCAGCATCTTTGTGCCGATTAATCTGAATCAGGATCAGTCGAAGCGATCGAATTGCAACTTTACCAACAATTGGCTGGGCGATCTGCAGCCGGGTAGCCTCAACTTCAGCATCTGTGTGGTGAGTGCGATCACCGTGGATCGGGTGTGTCGATGTGATGATGAGCGTGAGTGGCTGCCCACAATTACCGATCACGATCTCCGCTCGGAGCTGTACTGTATGCTGGGTGAGCGGATCGATCGATGCTTTAATGCGAGCAAGGTGCATATGCAACGATATGCGAACGAGGCATGTGCCAAGAATCGCAACACGTTGCGCTGCGTCGATGGCAGCACCTTGGAGCGGTACAACGATGGCTTCTACACCAAACAGGAGCGCGAAGAGCAACAGAGGGGCACCACAACGTGGAGTGTGATTGTCTATGGATTCGTTTTTATGGCTTTCATCATTTTGCTCAGTGCCGGTATTGTGTGGATTCGTTTCAAATGCTGTGGACGTCACAATCCGGATCATTATTGTCAGCCATCGCAGGATGACTGTTATACACTGCGTCAGGCTGTTAACGAAATGACCGATACACCCAATCAGCGCCTAATCAAGAAGCTGGTCAGCAAACTGACCAGCGGCAAACTGAAACGCCAGCAATGCCGTGACATCATCTGCGATCTATTGTCGTGCAATGAGCTGCCGGAGAAAGTGAAGAATTTGATTGCCCGGCATCTACAGGAGGCGCACGCCAAATGTGTGCCCCAACCGTCAATCGCTGTTGCGGCCGATGATGCGCAGGGCCCAAATGATGGCTTTTATGCCAGTGCGCCCACCGATCACATCTATTCAGTGCCATTGCTCCCAAGTCAATATGCAAGGCCATCCGATACACAGGATCCTTCGGCAATGCCCGTTTATTCGGAGCCCATCAACTCAGCCAGTAAGTTTCCGGTGCCGGGCTCCGGTTACTTTCAAATTTTTTGCACAACTACAAAAAAATGACAGACGACTCTTGGCTCTTGTTTTCATTTTTTTTTATTATAATTATTTATTTTTATTTATTTGTCCGTTTTTCTACCACTTTTCTATTGGCTGTGAGCGCATATTTTGTATGATTATTTCTATTAACTATGTATTTTGTAGTAGTATGCTCAAAATAATACGCAGAAAGCAGATCGAATTGTAAGACGATTCACAAGCACACACACACCTATATATATATAGTTCCTGTTGTAACAAATGTATGTATTTTAAACATATGCATATATATATATATATATGTATTTAGATATGTATATATTTGCATAAGCACTGACGTAACGAAATGATGCAAAGAGCACAATCAGTTGGCTACTGTTGCTAACTTGATCCAAACTAACACACACTCGACACACACACACAGAGAGACAATATACACAGGTAATAAAGGCAAGCCACATTTATATTTATGGAACGCATTAACCCAAAAAAGGTATACAAATTGAAAAGTATCTCCAGACTTGTAGTTAATATTGGTGACAGTTCTCTTCTCTCTTATCTTATCTCTCTCACTGTCTCTCTCTATCGCTTACTTCTCCTCTGTCTCTCTCCCTGCTTTCTCGGTCGATGATCTTGTCTAGTGTGTCCTTGGTGCTAGTTTTCTGTTAATATAGCAATCGATACTTTCTCTCTCCATCTACCTCTATCTCTAGATTTTTCTCTCTCTCTCCCCCCCTCTCTCTCTCTCTCTCCCTCGCTCTCTCTAACTCTCCCCCCCTCTCTCTCTCTCCCTCGCTCTCTCTAACTCTCCCTCTCTCTCTAACTCTAACTCTCCCTCTCTGTCTCTCTCTCCATTGCTCTCTCTAACTCAACTTCTCTCTCTTTCTCCCTCGCTCTCTCTAACTCTGCCTCTCTTTCTCTCTTTGTTTACAGATGCGGATGATATGCCACCGGCATATGAGTATATGCCACAGTATGCCACACCACTGCGCCACCCCCCGCCACCATCCACACAGCAACAACTGCCGTCCACAAGAGTCGCCGCCGGTCGGGACTGCCAGGAGCAACAAGAACAACAGCAACAGCCACAGCGCGGAAGCAATGTGAGCTATGCGACGCCCGTTTGGCGGCAAACGCCGAATGCCACGCCCATTAGTAAAGCGACAACGATGGCGCCCGACTTGCCGCAGAGGCATGTGCGCGATTTGCGTCAGGATCTCGAGGCGATGCCACAAATTCATCCCAATCAGTTAAACTCGTTACGCAATCAAAATCAGTTGCATTCCCCCTTTCCCAGCAACCTGCGGGGGCCGCCGCCGCCCAGCAAGACGAACATGAATCACAGCAAACGCAGTTTCGAGTATTTGGATGGGGTAGACACAATGTCGGCGATGGAACTAATGGATATGCGGGGTGCGGCCGCATTACCACCGGATTCGGGCTCCGATCATTCCGGCGGCAGCGATGAGACTGTTAAAATTGAAGATATCGAATATGCCGATGGAGATGCCTAAAACTATGCAACACGGCAAGGCGGCCGAATAAAATCATGTGATACACACACACACACACACATACAAACCAACACACACACAAACCAACACACACAAACCAACACACACACACACACACAACCCAACACACATACAAACCAACACACACACAAACCAACACACACACACACAAACACACACACACAAACCAACACACACACACACACAAACCAACACACACACAAACCAATACACACACAACACACACATGTACATATTATAAGACTAGCTCAAAATCATTTATCCCGGCTTTGTAACGGAAGTTACATTCAAAGCCGGTTGAGCCCATCTAGTTTTCAATTAAGTTTTTATAAATAAAAAAATATATATATATATATATACCTATAAATATAGGAAATCCAATATCTCTGGCTATTAACTCCGTGAATGCAAACCTTTAAAATGTTGTCCAATCTGGGAATTGAGATTACTGAATTGATTGTAATATCGTATTAGGAGATTATTATTTACATAGAAAAAGCACGAAAGCAGAATTATCCTTGGCAGAATTTAGAAATATTATTTTGTTTTTGTACGTTTGGAAATATTTACTCCCAGCCGATCTGTACTAATTTTAAGGCACCTGATAATATCGTCTTGACTCATATTGTTCATTTCTCAACTTAGTCGATCCGATCAAATTGAAAATAATTTTGTTGCATGCACAGGCAAACAAAAGTCGCTTCGCGTGTGGCATACTTTTTAATGAGATATTTTTTGTTTTGTTTTTTTTTTTTTTGTCGAAATGCAACAAGTCTGCTGAATTCCGTTGAGCATTTTCCGTTGGCCAATTTGTGGCTGAGCACCCCCGCGCCGGCTAGTTGTGGGGTTATATGATTACTTCTATATGTAATGTATATGTTTGTATATATGGATATGGATATATATACTTATATATGTATTTAGTAAAATGAAATGTTGAATAACTTGATTTGCAAGCGCATTCGGCTTGTTGTTGTTTTCATCTTTGTTTTGAATTTGAATATTTGTTTATATGGCCAGTGAGAATTTAGTATTTGCAACTCAGTAAAAATCTGTTTTTTTTCTCTTTTTTCACTTCAATCATACTGAATAAAAGATTTATGTGATTGTGTACCCATATCTGTTATTCCATATTTGTAGCTCTCATTTCTCACATCTTATTTAACAAATAATCAAGAATTTGATTTGCAAATATTAAGCAAAATTCTTAATTATCTAGAATTGGTTATAACTTAACAAATGAAGTGCATTTTGGTGCAGTTGATTGCAGCAATTTGTTAACATAATGCGACTCTTAATCCTGTCTATTATTTTCTGTCACTGTTGCTGCACATAAACCTTAACAGCCGTAACCCTGTTAAGCTAATTGGGTGCAGTTAACAGCTGCTAGTAAGGAGTTAATTAAAATCAACGTATTGTTGAGTCTATGTTTTACTTATCTTTCAATACGTTTCAATACAGTAGACAGTTGTTTGTTGAACTTTTTAATTTATTTTTCTTTTTTGTTTTGGCAGATTCACTTAAGCTGTGCCATTCATGCTAGCAGTGCAGCCATCCCTAAAACGTCCTCTGACAGTTAACCATTAAAGAATTTGCATTTTATGTTAAGTTCAGTTAACATACAGTGAACATACATATATTATGTATGTGCACAATATATGTATTCTGTTAAGCTTAGCGGTAGTTTTGCTTTGTCTTTGACAGCGTGTCGTATTTGACCACAGCCGCTGGCAGTTAGTCAGCAAGTGATGGATCTCAACAAGTTGTCTAAGTGGCCGCTTGGCCCCAAGGCAGATAAACTTGGGTTTTTTTTTTGCGGGGGCACACGTTACACACTTGCAACAACAACAACAACAACATGCAGCAACAGCAACTGGCAGCAAGTGTCAAGCGATGCGTGTCCGTCTGGCTGTCGCTGGCGTATTCAATTAAACGCGGCGCGAGCAATCAAAGCAACAGGCAGGCAGGCTGGCAGGCAACAAGACCACCGTGCTGGATTGGGGCACACAAAACAGACACAGACACACACACACACACACATAGCAACCCAACAAGCAGAAGAAAACAAATAAACACACAAACGACAAAAGGCAAACAAAACGCAAAACATTCTTAAAGCTTACAAAAGCTGCGCAGCCGCAGCAGCCGCAATGGCGCTGCCTCATGCTTATCGTTTGCAAGAGCGAGATAGTGAGAACGCCATTTAGTGCTGCTCATGCTAGAGCTACAGCTACAGCTGCTGCTGCTAGCGCTGCTGCTGTTGCTGCTGATATCGCGCTGCCGTCGCGACTGTTAGCTGAGACGGCTGTAAATGTTTCGTTGTTCGTTTTGGCGCTCAGTTTGACATTTGCACGCGCTTACGCCGGTCGCGCCAAACGAGAGCTTAGACCCGGCAGCTATTGGTTAGTTGTTGTTTTCGTTGTTATTGTTGTTGTTGTTGTTCTTGATCGTCGCGCGTTTCAAATTTGTGTGCTGATTTCATAGGTTATGCAAATATTTGCGTTTAGTTATTTGCCGTCATATTCCGTTTTATTTTTGATTTTGTTTACACACTCAATAACAAGCTGTGTGCGTGTGTGTGTGTGTGTGTGTGTGTATGTGTATGTGTGTGTCCGTGTGCGGGTGTGTGTTTTAGTGTGTGTGTCGCCCCAAAACCACAATCCACCCAATGGCCAACGGCTAGCGGCCACAAAAAGTTCAAAGCAATAAAAAGTGCAGCAAAGCAGAAATATCTTCTCTTCTCTTCGCTTCTCTTCTTTTTTTTTTTTGTTTGTTTTGCATGCCGACAACAACAACAAGAGCGGGCATGTGAGCGAAAGAGAGGGCGAACGCGTGACAGCGAATAAATAAAACTTAAACAAATAGCCGTGCGCGCTATAAGGCAGCGAGTCGCTGACAGTGCAACAACTGCAGCTGCACAAATGCTTTGCTTGGCTTTGCCTGGCGAATTTATATTTTTTTTGGCAGGATTATGTGCGCACTCGCTGCTCGAACGGTATCGCTGTAACTGTAGTTTCTGTGCTTGTCTTGACTAGGCTTCGACGTTTTTGATCTGTCTGTTCTCGTTCGCGTTACGTAAGTCAGTGTGAACAGAGCGAGAACAGAATGAGAACTGGGAACAACAACCCACGCACCACAAACAAAACAAAACAAAACAAACCAATTCAAAACCATTTGCATATTTCAGTGAGTGAGCGAACTAGGGGGGATTTGTGAGAAGTGCAAAGAAAGGCACAAGCATAAAAAAAAGAAAAAAAAAACAACAACAAATGGCATTTCTGAGCTAATTCGCACACACTCACAATGAATACGTCCCACTCCCCCACACACACAAACACACGCACACATTGATGGTTGTCAAACAAAACGTCGCAAATGGCAGCTTTTCATACTTATTGCTATATTGCCATATCCAAAGCAAATTATTTCGATATTTCAAGGTTACAAGTATGACGAACAAAGTCTGTTTTTAGTTTTTGTTGCTGACATCGTTGCTGTACTGTCTTTGTATTTTTCTGTTGACGGGCTATAAAATTCTAAACAGATTTAATGCGCTTATAAACACAAAACAAAAAACAAAAGCAAAGAACAAATGAACTTAAAACGTTGAAAATCACGAAAATTTTGCCAGCAGCCCCCACAAAGTCAAAGTTATGAAAAGTTCAACGAAATTTGTAGCAACATGCAAAAAGGCAAACAACCACAACAACATGAATAAATCACAACAATGCGAAGCAAAAGAGAGAACTAAAAATGAGGCAGAAGCACATTAACCCGTCAAGTGCTTACCACAACATTGTGTTGTTGCTGTCGTTGAATCTACACTGCAGCCCAGCAGCACATTGGGAATGTTACATTGAATGGGACCAAAAGACGGAGTGCGTCTCGCAAGCGAAACAAAAAGCCTGCTTTAAGGAATAATAGCTATAAAGTTCGCATAATTGCGAGTAATAGTTTTCTAACGGTTTCCGTTGTGTTCTCTTCTGTTCTGTCCGTATATTCCACATAGATTTCTCTCTTACTCTTCCATATTTTGCATATCTAATTGTCACTTTCAGCACATTCCCCATTCCAGCTAATTTCCAATATTCCTCTGGTTCCAGATTCCACTGTTCCGTTACCGTTTCTGCTTCCAGTTCGATATTATATCCTATTATGTCTAACTATTCCCCTGTTCCACTTTATTGTATGATTCAGCAGGAAATGTCGTAAGATCTTCTGTATTCTTTGCTGTCTCGCAATGCTAGCTAATCGATGTTTTCTGCCTCAGATAAGATTACTTCATATTGCGATAAGAAACAAAAACTGGGCGTTTTTGCAAATTGTGCGCAACACAAAAAAAAGTAAATATATTTATATTTATATATACATTATTATAATCTTAATGGACGTGTTTACGAATTTGCAGCGAGTCGAGGCTCGTTTTGCAATTTTGTTATAATCCATGAAATGTGCACATAATTGTCGTCTAATTGAGCTTTACTTGATTGGAGAACAGAAAGAGAGAGAGAGAGAGACAGCAAGAGTTGGAGTGAGGCGTGGGGGGAGTAAATTTGAGGAGGTGTCGCACAGGAAATGCATTTTTGCCTTTATTAAATTTCCTATGCGTCAGTAGCCCATTTAATAACAGAGCTGAACATTTAAAGGGTTCTTCAAGCGCCTGTGGCGCATCCGCTGTTCAGCTAAAAAAAAATATGTGGCAAGCCACATGTGGAAAATAAATCAGTTGAAGTAGTCCCCATCTCTCTTTTTTCTTTCACTTTTCGATGGCAGAAATTGTGAAAGGCTACTTGTTTTCTATACAACTGTCTGTCGATTTAATCGATAATTATCGATAGTAAAGATGGCATTACTAATAATAATCAACCAAATTTTTAACATCTAAATTTCAAATGAAGTGTAGAAATTCGAGCAATAAAGTTAAATGTACACAGAAATCTCAATTTGATTCGAGTCACACATAACTCCACTTAAGCAAAGTTTTTTTCTAAGTTGAATAGAAAATTGATCATAATATAAAAACACTAATATATAATACAAATAGTATATCATCACTGATCAACTGTCGACGTATAATACAAGTCATATATAATTTGACTGAAGCTAATTTCTAGTTTTTTTCTATTTAAATTATGATATATTCAAAAATACAAAATACGTTTATAAAGAAGTATAAACTATTTACGCAGATATATGTATATTTTTAAGAAACTTCATTCTTGAGTTAATTTCAACAAAAGTTACTGTCGAATTGTCCGAATTGTACCAAGAGTTCGAATCTGATGAGTAATGCGCAAATATTGAAACACCTCTTTTACATTATAGTTGAAAATATTGGTTGAGGAGGACACAGAGAGAGAGAAAGAGAGAGAAAGAGAGAGAGAGAGAGAAAGAGAGAAAGAGAGAGAGAAAGAGAGAGAGAGAGAAGGGAGAGGCAGGTCGGCACACACAGCTGTGGCATCGCGGCATATTTGCTTGATGACTACATTTTCTCATTTACTTATTTACGTATAAATTAAGTTCTATAAACAAAGAAAGAAATGACCATAAACAAATACCAAAGCATAATTGATCATGTTTGCTCTCAGGCGACGAATCTGGTGTCTCTATCTAAAGCGTCTCTGTGTGTGTCGACCTCCAAATTCAATTAACAGTCTTTGGCGCTGATTGGAGCCACCAGCTTTTCATGTACATATATATATATATATATAAGTATATATGAGTATGTATGTAAGTATGTATGTACATATGAGTGTGTTCATTTATGAGTACATACTACGGGTAGTCTTGCTTGCAAAATCAAGATCACTGCATAAAGTGGCGTGTTAGAAACTGATTCAATTAGAACCACATGTTAGACGATGATGATGATGATGATGATGGACACTTCTCGTAACGTTTAATGTCTAAACAGTTGTATGTAAATGTGGAAATGTGTAATCGATCATCATTGATCTAAAAAAAAAAACATCACTTGAATTTGCAATCGTTTGAAATGATTATTTTTTATTTAGAAACTAGAATTTCTTTCTAACTTTCATTGAGCTAACTGAAACTGAGAACGCTGCTGAGAACGCTGGCCAACTTAGGTTAGCTTACAGCCAGGGTATGAAAGAGTACAAGCAAATGCTTGTAAGAGTGAAAGAGGATGAATGGCGTTCCTTTTTAGAGCGCAATAAGGACGACCCCTGGGGTCATCAGTGATGTTGACCCGCTCCTGGATAGTGAATTGGAGGTGGCTTTCTCGATGTTAAAGTCGAGGAAATCACCTGGTATGGATGGTTTTACTGGGGAAATGTGTAAGAGTGTCTGGAAGTCAATTCCAGACTATATGAATACAATGTATGGAAAGTGTATGAATGAGGGATATTTCCCCAATGAGTGGAAGTGTGCAAGGGTGATTGTGCTTTTGAAGTCGCCCGATAGGGTCAGGAGCAATCCTCGTTCCTTTCGGGGCATCAGTCTCCTACCAGTGCTGGGTAAAGTGCTGGAAAGAGTCATGGTAGAAAGGCTTCAAGAGAGAGTGAGTAGCCAAATGTCAGATCGGCAATTTGGTTTTAGGAAGGGCAGATGTGTAGAATATGCGTGGAGATTTGTAAGCGACTCCGTTGAGTCCGGCAACTCCAGGCATATTCTAGGCATCTTTGTTGATTTTAAAGGGGCGTTTGACTGCCTGAGTTGGCCGAGTGTGTTGGAGAGGTTGAGCAAATGTGGCTGCCGGGAATTGGCTATTTGGGAGAGCTATTTCTCTGGTAGACGAGCGTGTGCTGTAGGTCGGAATGAAAGTGTAAGCCTGAATATGGTTCGTGGCTGCCCGCAGGGTTCCATCTGTGGTCTATTTATATGGAACCTCACGATGGACACCTTGCTATGGCAGCTCGAGCGTGCATGCAAGTATGCGGACGACCTGCTCATTCTGGTTGAGGGGCAATCGCGAGCGGATGTAGAGGCAAGTGCGGCAACGTACTTGCGAGTTGTGTATGAGTGGGGTCTCAGTGTTGGCGTCAGTCTGGCAATGGACAAGACCGTGACAATGCTGCTTAAGGGCAGATTGTCGCGTAGTCGACCTCCATTGGTTAGGCTAAATGGCGGCAGCCTGAGGTATGTGTCGGAGGTGAAATACCTCGGCATTGTGTTTGGCGAGAGGATGTGCTTCACTCCTCATATCGCATCGCATATCTGAAAGGGCGATTGCTCAGTGTGGTTGGACAAGTGCGTCGGATTTTGAGAAGTGACTGGGGCCTCAGCAGATCTGCTGCTCGCGCCGTATACAATGGTCTATTTGTTGCCTGTGCAACTTATGGATCGTCGGTATGGTGTAAAGTAGTTTCGACTGTTGTAGGCAGAAAGAATGTGCTGGCTTGCCAGCGTGTTATGTTGTTAGGGTGTCTGCCTGTATGCCGCACTGTCTCCATGGAGGCAATGCAGGTGTTGCTAGGAGTAGCCCCTCTGGACTTAGAGATCAGGCGCCGAAGCCTGAGCTATAAGATCAAGAGGCGGTTGCCGTTGCTGCAGAGTGAAGGGTTAGCGGATAGGGATGTGGAGAGTTTAGGGCTTAGTGAGTGCAAGAAATTGCTAAATGAGTGTGTTCTGTCTGACTGGCAGGTCAGATGGGATACTAGCGAGAATGGGAGGGTCACTCATAGGTTTATTCGGGAGGTCACATTTGCTGTTGACCGTCCAGACTTCAGGCTTCACCTGAGTTTTGGACTTTTGTTGACGGGCCACGGGTCGCTGAATGCATTCTTGCATTCAAGACGACTTTGTGATAGCCCGGAATGCCCTTGTGGTTGGGTGGGAGAGACATGGGAACATGTCCTCTGTGAGTGCCCTTTGTATGCAGATCTGCGAGATCTAAGTGTGCTTGGGATAACGCGGGGTATTTATGGGTTTGACGTAAGTCAAGTACTCTCCACTTGTGAAGGGGTAAGGAGAATGAGTGAGTTTGCACGGGCTGCATTTGCCAGACGACGTCTCATACGTGGAGAAGTTGGATGAATGTTGAATGTCTGTTGGGGGTATGAATGTGGGGGTGTGTAAATAGATTGCTGAGTTGCGTTCGGGGGTCACCAGTCCCGGCTTTATGGAGCAAAACTGGAAGTATCCTTGTGGTACGAGTTCTGACCGGAGGACTGATCCGGTACCACGGGCGTTTGGGGTGTTCAGGGGCGGTCTCGGCCCTCGGCTCTCAGCGCTGTTGTTGGCAGCTGGCCGCCTAGCGGTCTGAATTCGTTCAGTTATGAACCTGCGGAACCTAGTTTCCGTCCTGGTTTTTGGTTGCGGCCCTTCGGGGAGTTTCGTGGTGGCTGCGGTTTGACACCCAAATGCGGGTAGAGCTATTGACTCGGCGTGTTGTTGCGCTATACAACAGGGTGCCGTGACCCATAGATCGGAAGTCGCTTTAGATAGGCGGCCCTCCAAACCTAGGTGGAAGTTCACGACCAAACAGTAGTGACTTCAAATTGGTACCTGCGGAATATTAGTTCCAATGGGGCGTTAATTGACGCTTAAATTAATTCCTGTGCTTCGCACCGTGCCATTCCGGCAGGTGCTCACGTTAAACAAATTGACTTTAAACAGTTGTATGTAAATGTGGAAATGTGTAATCGATCATCATTGATCTAAAAAAAAAAAAAACATCACTTGAATTTGCAATCGTTTGAAATGATTATTTTTTATTTAGAAACTAGAATTTCTTTCTAACTTTCATTGAGCTAACTGAAACTTCTGTGGGGAATATTGTCTACAATTTAGTTTCCACAACTAAATTAAAAGCCTTTACTAGTTAGTGGTTCCAAATAGAATGTATATCAGTTCGAGCAGCAGTTCGAGTCGAATGCCTTCTGTTCTTAGGCATTCTGAAATTGCATATGTATTATATATGTATATAAATGTCTACACATTTGATTATTTGAAACGTTATCAAATTCCTGACAAGAGCGGAGCTGAAATTTTATGAGTCAGTGGAAATCGGATGGCAAACAAATATAATCAAAAATTGATGAGACAAACAACTAAATAATAAACTAACTCTAGAAAAGGAAGAAAATTGAGTTTTCAGCTGTGCCTCGCAGTGAGTCAGAACTCATAACTCACAGCGCGTTAAATTACACACTCGCACACACACAACAGGCTAACACACATACACACACACACATACAGACGCACACACAGACGCACAACACTGATAAGCAAAAAGCACCTTCAGCGATAAAAAACGATTTTTTTTTTTGTAATCTTATCAGCGCTTATGAAAAGTTTCAAACGGAACAACGGAAACTGCAACGGGCGAGCAGGCGAGCGAGCGAAGGAGGAGTGACATAGAGAGAGAGAGAGAGAGAAAATGAGCGATGTTAGATTGTAGAATTGAAACGTGAAACGTGAAACTGAAACAGAACACGCGAAATAGCAGTAAACAGGTGCCACTGGAACGCAGGGGCTGAACCAAAACTCACCAGAAACCGGAACGGAACGGAACATTTTTAATTTTGCCAGTACTACTACGACCATTAGTACTACTACTATGCTTAGTTTGCGATAAGTTTGAAAAGCCAGACAGCCAGCCAGCCACAACAACGGATAGCACACAAAATGCGAAATATAATCAAAAATCTGAAGGATCCCACCACCACCAGTGTGGTGCTACTTTATTGGTTGCTCTGGCTGTGCACCACAGCGACGACAGCAACCGCATTGCCAAAGGTCAGCTGCACCGATCACGACACAACAATCACATGCGATTGCAACAACGATGAGCAGGTGAGATAATGCCCCACAAATAATAATAATAAAAATAATAAATAACAAATAATAGCACCACCCAACCAATGTTTACACTGTTTATACACACAGCCGCTGGTATTGCCGCAGTTGCATGGCACCGTTTACCAGGTGAAAATACGCAATTGTCGCGACTTGACCGTGGAGCCAAATGCTTTGGATAACACAGAGGGTCTGCGCAAGATCAGTTTCCAGCATCTTGATAAGCTGGTGCTCAAGAAGAACGCTCTCAGTGTCTCGCGTGAGAGCAACAAGGCTTTAATTGTCGAATTCGAGTTGGTTAATTTTCAGTTAATTGACTCGCATGCGATTAGCGGCAACATTGAGGAGATCTCATTTACCGGTGGACGCATCGAACAGATGCATCCATTTGGATTTACCACCATCAAGGATAGTGCCATATTACTCAAGCTCGACGGTGTTACCATAAATCACATCGAAAGTCAGGTGAGTTGCCCAAAAAGCCTTGTTTAAATTGCGAATGTCTCAAGTGCAACGATCATCTAACAGATACGTGTCAAAGTTAACATCAACTTTAACGCATGCTATTATGTGTAAACAAGAAATAATTACAATCTTAGGCACCACAAAGATTGTAGTAGTCAAATGGCAGACATTTATATACATTTTAAAAATAGAACTTTTGTTCCTATGACAGCTATGTAAAATAGTAATTTTAGGAGCTGAATACGACGCATAACTAGTGAGTTAAGTTGTTGAGTTAGTTTTGTATGACATAATGAATCAATCCGATACCCCATACAAGGCTATATAAATACAATATACGAGTTAAGCACTATGTGACTCACCCTCAACAATCATGAATATTAAAACCTACCTAAAAATTAATATCGTGTCAGTTAGGATATTATCTCTGCGGGTGTTACATAAGTGCTAAAAACTGATTTAAATTCCCAAAAATGAGGGAAGGTTTAATTGCTTAAGAGTTTTCATTTAATTGATTTATGACTCATATTGCAGGCCTTTAAGAAGTTTGCCGTGGAGAAGATGACAATTGTTAATTGCAATTTCATTGGCAATCTGCCGACGCGCGCCTTCTACGAGCTGGAGGTGAGAAATGAGCTGGCGATGCTCAACAATCAGTTCCAGGAGCTGCACTCGCACGCCTTCTCCTTCAAGCGTAAGTTGCAAGTTTCACTTAGTGAATTATAGTTCATAATTTATCAATAATAATAATATATATATATATATTTTTTTTTTGACAGTCATCTCAAAGCTGAGCCTGAACGAGAATCGCTTTGCGGCCGTCGACGGGGAGTGGCTGGAGGCGTACATTCGCGACGCGGTCGCATTGCGTAACAATCAGTTTGGTGCCACCAGCGATATTGCGTTTCGCAGCCTGGGCGTTCATCGCGACTATCAGCTGAGCGAGCGGCTGGAGTTGCGCTTCCACAACAACACCGTGCGCAGCGTACTGCCGCCGTCGAGCAGTGCGCATGGCGCTGACATGGCTGTGGCATCACCACCGCCACAGCCGCTAAGATTTGATGAGCGTTTCGCGCTCAGCATTCGCCAGCTGCACTACGACAACGAATGGGACTGTGAACAGCTGGACATGAGCGCCCAGCCGCCGCAGCCGCGCATCGAATTCTTTCGCCAGCACAGCGAACAGCTGCTCTTCCGAGCAACGGCAACTGCAACTGCAACAGCAACAGATGGTGGAGGAGCTGTTGCTTTTGTGCCGATGCGCCAGCTGATTGTGGATCAGTGTCAGCGTACTAATTATACAGCATATATTGTGTTGGGCAGCCTGCTGTTGGCGCTGCTAATAGTGCTTCTGTTGCTGTTGCTGTGGTGGCGACTCGCACAGCGGCGACGACGTCGCAAACTGGACGTGGTGCAACCGGAACCGCGCACCTACAAGGAGACGCAGATTGTATACCAAATCGAGAATGCTGGCCTGCTCAAGACTGATTTGTAAAGCTACACAAAGCACACACACACAAACACTCACACACAAACTCACACACATACACAAACACTCATATACACACACACACACACAGCCGAAAGACGCTAGCTGAAGCGAAGTGGCATGCAGCAGCAGCACAACCAGCACCACCAAGAAGAACCACCAAGAGTGACCTTTCGTTGTACCAAATTGTTAGCTTACGTTTAGTAATGTCTATGAAGTAATCGTGTAACGTTATCTATCATCGTATCTATAACATTGTATCTATGTTTATCATATAAAGAGAAAACAGGAGAAATGATCTAAGCTGTAAATAAGAACTATGACTCTTGCAAATATTTTGCACTCGTGATTCATCTCTATTCCAAATTAATAGCACATACAATGAATGTTATCTTAAGGAGCAGTGAATCATTTACTTTTGGACCTGCTAGCTTCGATTCACAGCTACATATTCAATTTTAAGCCCAATTATAAACTATGATAATAACTCGAATCGAATCGAATCAATCAAGTTATCCTCGCAATGTAAGGTTTGCTGATGTGTTTCAATCATCTTAGATAATATTAACATTAAGATGCACTTCAATACTTAATGGATTTGAAAACCTAATTGATATGTTAGCAGTTGCAAAATTGGAACAATATGTGCGGATATGCGCATAGTTTTCTCCATATAGTTCCCAAATCGATGTTCGGTAAATGTGAATGAAGATGTGACTTTAATAGTGTGAAAAGGGATGAATTCACAAGTCATTAATTATATATATTGACATACCCAATGGGCAGATATGATTCCAATGCCTGATGAACCGTCAATTGTGGCTCGGAAAGTGCAAAGCCTTTCGAGAGCAGAGCATGATGTGCGCTAATTGTGTCCTCAATGCCGCTTAAGTCGTCCATGTCCTTGTCATCTGCATACGTTAAAAAGGAATAATATCTGTATCAGTATACAACATGAAATTCAAATAACAATCAAGCACCATACCTGGTAAATTGAGATCCTTCTTCATGAGATTCGCACTGCACATGCCGCCCAGATAGGCCAGTTCCTGTTCCAAACGAATCAGACACGAATTGCTTGCATTGATCTGAGCGAGACAGCGATAGATTAGCAATAGACAGAGATGGCATATAATAATTATATGATATAGGGCCATGGCTTACCGCTGTGGGATTGTCATAGCCCACCACCAGGCACTTGAAGCCATAGCGATTATTATGCGGATCCTGAGCATACAGCGAAGCGGTTTCCAGCGAGAACTCAACGCAATTTCCGGGCAAAATGAGAACGTTCTGCAGCCAATGCGCACTGCGGCAAAACAGTTATGTCAGTGAATTCATAAAACATTCTAAAAAAAATAGCTATCTAATCTTTATTTATAAATACAACTGTATCATATAAATTGCTTTTGTGCAATGTGCAAGCCTATTCTATGGCACCTGTTATCAGATCTGACTAATTGATATCAGAATATTTCGCCAGCGATTGGGTGCCACTTTTTGAACATTATCAAAATGATAACTAAGTTTTTCGACTCTTCTAATAACATTCGACCACGAGATCTATAATTCAAATTTTTTGTCTCTTCTCAGAAGTGTATCCTCAAATATAAAACAAAAAGTTATTAAACAAGTTCGATGTGGTAGATACATATAGTGACTCGCTATAGATATCTATCTATCTTGGGTTCTTTCGGCATGTCATCTGCTTTTACACAACTTATTGATCTTTCCCTTTCTCAATGGGTTCAAGACTTACGAATGCGAATCACTTACGTATTAAACTTCTTGACCACAATCCAATCGGGCTCCACTGTTTCCTGAGTGCGTAGTTGTGCTTGTGATGGGTTGCCCGGCGGCCGATTGCAGCTGGTCACGAACAGCTGGGCATTGTGGGCATGTTGTCCGATTATATTGTTATCGAGCATATCAAAGTAATCCTCGCCAGAGGCTGCCGACGCCGCCGCAGTATTTGCCGACTGGCACGGCTGTGGTGCGTTAGACGTGCGCAGTGGTATCGAAAGCAACAGATAATCCTCGAGCTGAGCGGTGCCGCACTGTGAATCAAACTCAATGGTTAGCCATTGGACACAGGGCGGAAACTCGACGCGATAGCAACTGATGCTGGCACTGCGATACGGATGCTCGCTTTCGACCACACAATAGTGATTGCTTGTTGTGCTACTGGCTGGCGTGGGCGGCACAGGTATCGGCTCCGAACGCAACTGCTCCTTGGAGACGTGCAGCTGATTGAGCGCAGCGATATGCGGCAGAATCTCCTTGATCAGGCCGAGTATTTGCACGGAACTCTTTGGATCGCTGCAGGCCAAGTTGGCAATGTGCGCATAGACTAGCGGCAACAGTGTGTGAAACATATTCGATGCAGCCAAATTGAAGACCTCCAGCAGTTGCAGGGCAGCAACACCACCGCCGCCGCCGCCACCGGCACCGCAACCAACAACATGTGCCTCCTCCGAGTCGGAATGGAGCAGCTGCTGTTGCTGTTGTTGTTGCTGCTGCTGTTGCTGTTGCTGTTGCGGTGCCTGCTGCTGTTGCTGTGGCGTATGCAACTGCTGCTGTTGTGCCTGCAACTGTTGCTGTTGCGAGGTCAGCGGCTGTTCCGACGCCAGCTCATACTCAGCCCGCTCGTTACCATTCAGCTTGGCGGCGGCCAATTGTACGTTGGAGAAATTCAGTTCGGCTGTTTCCTCAACACCAATTTCAGTGGCACCAATTTCGATTTCCATTTCGAATGGATTCGTTGAGCGCTTATCGAATTTAAGTGTCTCCATAATGCCCTTGGAGAAGGACTCAATGCGTTTACCCAAATCCCTTGCAGTTGTCGACAGCTGCGGATCAACGGGCAGCGCAGCGGTCCGCGAATTATTCGCCCAATTAATATCCATATGCTCCTCGATGGGCGTTATATTGTGCTCCGAGTCGATGGTCTGTGTGTGATTCGACGACGAGTTGTCTGTGGGCGAACACGATGCAGCCATTGCATTCCGTGCCAGAATAAGCAATTCCGTGCATTTTTTCGTTATATCCGCCGCAATTTGCAGCGCCGTATCGCGTGTTGAGACCTCGTTGCTGTTACTGGTCAGAGCATGTGCAGCATCTGCTGAGCACGTGGCTGTCTCCAATTGATGCTGTTGTTGCTGATGTTGATGTTGCTGCTGCTGCTGTTGTTGTTGTTGTTGCTGATGCAGCTGCTGCTGCTTGATAGGCGTGCTGTAATATAGAACGCTGGGCAGTTGACCGCGTGCGGGCGTTGTGCCATTAAAACTCAAATCGCAGGCATAGAAATGAAAGCTGGTGCCGCAGGGACCACGCACTGTGGGCATGCCCGAATCACCGGAACAGGTGCGTGCACCCTGGGAGCACAGGCGCAGAGCGTAGCGTGCATGCTCCTTAATGTGTACCGGATGCTCGAACTTAATCTCGGCGAGATCGTTGTGCACAGCCTCTGGATCATAGCTGCCAGAGATGGACTCCAATGTCTCCCATTTGTGCTGCGGCTGCAGATCAACAGTGTTGTCATAGAGCAGCTCGAGCTGATAGTCATAGCTGCCCGAACCGGAATAGACCATGGCGCCAGCTATGGCAATACCAGGTCGATCCACAGAGAAGGCAATGGCATCCGGTCCAAAGTTTCCCGTATTCCAGGTGCGACTCAAATCGCATCGAGCAAAGCGTGAACTCGTTGAGTGCAGCGTGCGTGGCGGCAAAAACAGTTTATCGTATTCGCCGAGTGCCGTCTGGTAGACAATTTCGGCCAGGACGCGAGCCAGCAGATGGCAACAGTTGTCGATAAGTCCCTGATTGATGCACTCCTTCAACGCATAGGTGCCACCCAGGCAACGGCTATAAATGACCTCAATGCGCGCCCTAATCGGACTAGCAATGATATCCAGCAGTCGCACCAGCACATCCTTAAACGTCCATGAATTGCTGAGAAAGTCACTCTTCTCCTGCTGCGTGCGATAGATCATCTGTTCCACCAATATGGGATACTGATGCGCCTCCGTTGACGATAGCATCGGCAGACCCGAATTATCGCTCGGACTGATTATCGACTGGCGCTCATTGCCGGCCACATTCAGCAACGAAAATGTCGCACGCAACTTGACACTGGGCGAGCAGAGACCGGCAAGAATTGCGCTCAGCAGGCGGGAATGTAAAGCGCCACGATCCATTTGGGCCAGCAGATCGCAAAGGCAGTTCCATTTGAGTGACGATGTCGGATAGAATGCATCGAAGCATGCTACAAAGCTCAAATGGCACTCGTCTAGGATTTCCAGCACCAAGGCGTACCCTAACAAAAAGTCAAAATTGCATGATTAGTTAGGGGAATCATCAACTACTATATTCATTTATGGCAAACTCACCCTCTTCGGTGGCAATGTCCTTGAAGATGTCATCGCAAAAGATGCCAATGAGAAGGGCACGCACATTTCCAATGCACTCGGCCAACTGAATGTTCTCCAGATTGGTTTTGCGTGCCAGCGGCGTTCCCGAGCCGACAGCGGACAGCGAACTGGGCAGCGCTGCGGTGGCATTGCTCAGCATGCGACTCGGTGTCTTTTCTGTAAGGAGGCGCAATGGATTAGAGATTATGATTGCAGCAGCAGCATGCTGATTGCTGGTGTATTACCCTTGTTATTTGGCTTTTGTTGGAGTTTTGAGAGGGCGGCGGCAATCGCACCACTTCCAATTGAGCCACCCGTAGCAGCTGACGGTTGACTCGAGCGCTGCGGATAGATCTCGTTGGTGTATTTGCGCAGCAGGCGCAGGCACGATTTGTTGACATAGCCCAGATACTGGAGTGTCTGTTGCAGTTGCAGCGGCCTGGTGCGATCGCGTTGCTCGCGCAGCTGCGTCTTGAAACAGTCCCACGACCAGCTGAGCAGCACCACCAGACTCTCGAAGCACTCGCGGCTCACGCTGTTGGCAAAGGCGCGCGAGATGCGCTGAACGGGATCGGCGTCGAGGGGCAACGGCGGCTGCTTGCAGTCCTGTGTGACCAGGCGATACAGTATCGCCGGTATTTGGCCAGAGTTCACATCGGTGCCGTTGTTCGCCTTCTTGCTGGACTTGAATGAGAAGACCACTTGATCCTCGGTGGTCACCGATGCCTGGCCGCACGATCCACAATCAGAGGAGGGGCCAGCGATGCGTGCCCAAACCAGAAACCAGCGACCCGCCGTCGCATTAATCGGCTTCGGCAGCTGAATGTGATGCTTGCTGCGTGCGGCACACTCATATGGCACCTCCTTTGTCTCGCTGATGAGGACACCCTCCTTTTCGTAGCCGCCGCCATCGACGCCCAGATCGAATAGTTTCAGCTTGCAGCTGTACTCGCCACGTCCGCCAAACATGCCAAAGCCGCAGATCACAATGTCCGTGTCCGCCGAGAAGCGCACCGCCTCCACACTGTGCCCGGAATAGCCCCAGCCGCCGCCGAAGTTATCGAAGCGATTCACAACCTGATATTCACCGCTCTGTGCCTCGGCCGCCTGGTGCGGCTGCTGCGTCAGCGTCTGCTCAAAGCAGCCCGGTATATTATCCTGTGCCGATGTCAGTATATCCAAACAGGCAAGCAGATTCAGCGATGCCTGCGAACGCGACACGCGCGCCTCCGCTTTGCTGGGCAGCGATAGTTCCGGCGACAGCAGCGCTCGGTAATTGGCAGCGTTCTGCAAATGATTCAAATTAGTTAAACAATTTGGATTTGTGCATACTTAAACAAAAATCAAGAGGAAACTAATTGATCAAGTGCAACTGACAAAGCTTCCAAACAAATAGTCTTCAGAGAGAGAGAAAAATAAATAATTACTAGCATAATCCGATTGGGACAAACTAAGTTCACAAATGCCCACTACTTGGACAGAAACCTAGATGCAGCCCAAGCATAAATATTAAACATATAACGAAAAGCCGTCCAACTCTCTCACATCAAAGATCTAACGCTTCTCCTTGGACACAGACAAGTTGATGTGCTAGAAACAGACAGAATAACGGATAGACATACAGACGGACGGATGCTTATCAAGAAACTGAAATCTTCCATATATTGTTTGACATGCGTCTGCCATGTCTCTTTGATAATTAGCTTGCGGGTAGCAGGTGGCATGCAGACACCTTCCTTATGTGTCAGTTGCACTCTCTATTTATGTGTGTGTTTTGTGCTTTATTTACCATATTGCTTTCGGCTATTTCGCTGGCGACCACATTGTAACAGCGCAGCCTGCGGGCGACGCCATCGAAGACCCACAGGACATTATAGCTGGGGTCCATGGCAAAGGCAATTTGTGGTGGCGGCGGCTGTTGCTGCTGCTGCTTGTCCGGCGATGCTGGGCATGCGGCGACCGCCTCTTGGCGCGTTCGCACTCGCCGCTGCAATCGTGGCGATGCTGTCAGCGATGCTGGCTGTGCCGTCTCCACCTGCTCCTCGAAGATGTGATTACGCGCCTCGTGCATGCTGCGCGACATTTGCTCATTGATTGGCACACCGGCCGTTGTGGCGCTGGCCAGCGGTTGCTGGTCTACCACCGGTGTCGCAACATCCACGTTACGATTGATCTCCGGCAGACCATGTGGCTGCTGTGTCTGCAGCAACTGTGCAAATTTCGTTTGGCCTCGATAATGTGGCGTGCAGCTGCCGTCGCTGCGATTTATGGATAGCGTGTGAAACGACAGCGGAATGCTGGGAATTAACACTAGAAGAGTGATAAGAGAAATATTTGAATAAAAGTGAGCAAAAAGGTGGATTGAAATGCAAAATGAACATGTTTATCGTAACAATTATGTCAACAATTATGAGTGCAAATTTGTTTATTGGTCTCTGAACCGCTTCAATAATATTTCTAATTTACATAGCCGTAATATTGCCCAGACAGAAATCGTATTAACACTCACGTATGGTCTTTTTGTTGGCCACCACATGCATCTTGGGCAGCATTTGGGCGGTAATTAGTGACTCGTCAATCTTGATGAAGGTCTGGTCGCCATTGGCACCGATCCAGGTAACCTTTTTGCCATAGCTGGGACCCAGACCGCTGTAAAATATCAATTATATAAATATATACATAAATCAGTCAAGTTGGGCTATTTTCAATAAACTTACAAGACGGCGCTGGGCCCACAGTTCCATAAAAATTTCTGACGCTGCGCAATTAAAGCAGCCGTATTGGGCGGTACAAGAATACACTCCTTGGAGCCACCGGGCAGGCAGACTGCTTCCGGTGGAGAATCTGCATCCTCTTGTTGGTGTTGCTGTTGGTGCTGCTGGTGCTGTTGGTCCTGTTGCTGAGCAGCGACGCTTGAGAGGGTTGGCTTCTGACCAAAGTCGCTGGGCAAGCGACCCAGCTGACCCTTCTGATAGTTGCCGAACGTGTAGACCACGCCCTTGTGAGTGAGCAGCACCGTGTGATTGCTGCCGGCAGCCACCTGGCTAATGGCACCCTGCACTTGAACGCGTATTGGTCCGGTGACCGCCTGTAGATCTCCACTGCCCAGCTGGCCGTATTGATTGCTACCAAATGTGAAGACCTCGCCGGAGAGCGTTAGTACCACGGTGTGGTGCAGGCCGCATGCCACTTGCACTACCGGTGAGCTGCTCGGCAGTTGCAGCGACTGTGGCGCCAGCGGTGCCACACGCGGTGGATCCTTCTCCAGATCGGTGGGTGTGCCGCCGCCACCAGTGCAACCAGCGGCACCAGTCTCCAGCTCCGATGGTTTCTTCTCCTTTCGTCGCATAATCAGCGTCTTGGAACGCTGCTGACGCACCAATTCACCTGGTAGCGGTTTCAGCTCCGCTTTGGCATCGGCAGCAACTGCAAAAATTGGATTATGATTAAATAAAGAAAGAGACCGATTTGACCAGATCGTGATTTCCAGTTGGAATATAAATATAAATATATATATGATGTTTGCCCAACTAAATGATACTATTTATATAATAAAATTAGGAATTATAGCGTTAGTATTTAGGCAACTTGAAACTTACTTATTTCGCTCTCCTGCAGCGCGACGCAGGCGGAGCACAGGCCGCACTTGGCACAGCCAGCATCGCCGTGTCCGCAGGGGCAAATGCTGCCGGGCAGACGCTGCTCGAGAGGCACATTGAGAGCGGAGACACAGCTGACATTGTAGCCGGTGCATTCGCGGCACATGATGCAGACGCGACACTGCCCCTGCACCAGATTGTGATCGTCGTAGTCGCACAGCGATGAGAAGTCCACTTTGTGGCGCAGCTTGTCCACATGCATGCTGAGCAGCGCATACGCCGACGACGAGCTTGGCACATCGCGGACGGGCAACATTTTGTTGAAGACACGACCGCATTGACCCTTGTTGTTCAGCCCAAATGTGAACACCTGCCCCTTGGCACTCAGAGCGACGCAGTGCGCCTTGCCCAGCGCCACTTTGGTCACATGCTGATCGAGAAGATCGGTGACAAAGCCCATCGAATCGCAATGGGCCGTATCCTTGCCGTACATTATCAGTTTGCCCGTTTTCGTCACAAAGGCGGAGGTGCCATTGTTACACGCGGCATGCACCACAACATGCCCATCGATTTTGGTCATCTTTTTGGGCTTCACCGGTTTGGGCTGTCGTCGATTCTTGGAACTGTCGCCATCCTCACCGCGTCGCGCCGTGCCCGCAAAGTAGACGGTGCCATCATCGTTGACGAGCAGCGCATGAACGCCATCGTGTCCAACGGCCACATGAACAATATGCGCCGCCTTTGAAACAATCAGTTCGGTCAGTTTCAGCGTGGGAGTGCGACCCACACATTTCAGTCCCAGCGCCGCCGATTTGCCATAGTAGTAAACACGCCCATTGCTGGCACGCACCAGTCCAAAGTCCTTGCCGCAGGCCAGGCCGAGCACATCGGCATCGCGACACGGCGCCGGTAGCTTTGGCTCAAATATATTGTGCGCCGACTGGATGCGCTGGATCTGTTGCTGATTCAGCAGCTCATCCTCGAACGCCGCATAGCCCAGTGTGCGAAACTTTTTGCGTGCCAGCTGCAGCGGCAGCTCAAACGGGGGCGGTTCACTGCTGTAGCTATTGTGGTATAGATTCAGCTTCTTGACCACCAGAGTGTCCTGCAAGGAAAGAGCATTACTGGCTTTGGTTCAACATCAGTTTCCCAGTTTTCTACTTTAACTTCAATTTCTGTCTAAAGGTAGAAAAAAATTCAAAAATTCCTGCTGTTCTCAAATCGAACTTTCTCCTGGAATTTTCTAAATTTCTTCAATTTGTGAACCTCTGGCATTCAAGTTATTGAAATCCTATCAACTAGTTTCCTATATATTATGTAAATTGGAGACATATAATGCAAAGCACTACGACTAGTTGCAGTGAGCTTATTCCACAATGTGCTAAGTAGCCTAGAAATTCCAGCTGGTCTAGCATATGTTTTGAAGATCTTAGAGACTTTAACTCACATCCCGATTACTGCAGATGGCATGTAGTGAATCATCGTCCGTGAAGAGTACGTAGTTAAGTCCCTCGCGCATGGAGAGCATATTGAGGGGATTCATTGATTTCACCGCCAGCGTATCCATGCCCACCAACTGCAGCTGATCGGCGCTTCGCTTGCAATTGCGCCGGAAATACACTTGACCGGCACTGTAACCCAGCCAAGCGTTGCGCTCGCGACTGAAGTCCTCATTCTGTGCATAGATGTGTCCCTTGTAGGAGCCGCCGAAGCCAGTGCCAATCTTTAACAGTGCACCGCAATACAGCACGTAGACAAAGACGCCATCGCAGGCCATTGCTGGCGCCATTTGCTGCTGCGCAGTTGTCATCATTGGCAGCTTCAAAGCGAACTGGAAAACAAATGGGATTATATTAGAGCTTTGTCTAAGATGCTTTTATATATATTTATACGACAATTTTACGGATAGATGGATTGTAGAAATCTACAGAATACAATTAAAAAATTACTCAAGCTGTTGTCGAGATTAAAAAGTAAGTCATTTCAAGTGAACCCGTAAAATATACGCACTTACCTCATCAATCAGTGAATTGTGTGGCACGCCATGACTGTGAAAATCGGGACGCGTTGGTTTATTGAGCGCCGCACTGACGACCGTATGCTGCAGTGCCGCCAGCACAGCGGGCAGCTGAACAATCTGGGCCGATAGCTGCCTGGGCGACATGAGCATGGCGGCAATGGCTTTTAGCATTTTGCCAGTGTCGCCGCGGGCAATGCAGAGGCCAATTAGAGCCGCACAGGCCATCGCCGACCAATTGGCCTCGGCACCGGTTGTGGAGCTTATTGCCGCCGGCATAGTGGCCAGATCGAGCAGTAGATCGTAAAGCGGATTGATAAGGTCTTCCGGTTCAAGCTTAAACGATTCCGGCTGCTGGCCTTGAATAACATCGAGTAGTGCTTTCAGCGCCTTGGTGCACAACAGTGGCTGAATGTGACGTGCGTCCGCGATCAGCTCGAAAAGACTGCGCAGCCCGGCGCCGACAATGAGCGGCACCGTGGCATAGACCGGTTCACGTTCTTCGGGCTCCTCCGTGTCCGAGTCGGCATCGCTATTGGCGCTGTTCGTCGTCCGTTTGTCCGCTGGGCCAGCTGCGCCAGCAACTGCTGCTGCACCGCCAGCGGCACCAGCTGCTCCGGCAGCGCCACCACCGCCGCCGCCACCCATTGCGAGCGGCGCATGGCAGGCACAATCGACCAGGTTGCTGACCATGCAACTGCCGGCGCAAACGAGGCAGCATGAGGAACCCATATTGCCGCTCCATTTCTTGATCGCCGATGCGGCTGACATGGCCGCATGTCCGTTGCCCTCGTGAAAGAGCGCAAAGCGCGTCTCTGCCTCCAGCACAGTGGAGCGTATCGCTGAGAATACGGCAAATTTTGATGCATTCGGATCAAGCTCGATGTGCGCAACGGGAAACGCTGGCATCAGAAGCAGCTGATCCTTAATTAATGGTGGATCCAAGGGATTCACTATGCCAGCACCGGCCCCTCCACCGTTGCCATCCAGCACAGCGGCTGCAGCAACGGCTGCCAATGCCGCTGCCGATTTCTCCTTGCGGCTCTTTCGCTTCGTGAGCGCCTTCCGCTCATTTTGCAACTTTCTGCAATAACAATAACAATAACACAGAAATAGAGAGAGAGAGAGAGAGAGAGAGAGACTGTAAGAGTTGCTTGCAGAAATCGATAATTGAGAGGAGTGTTGCCAACTTTGCTATAATTTGTTTCGTACAAAAACAAAAACATATTTATATTGTACTAATTGCATGTTTGCTAAAAGGTCAAGTTGTATGTTCAAGTATTCTAAGATAGTTTTTGATTTCATAGAATATCAGATATTACTCAATTTGTTTAGCATATTTTTAGGCGGATTTTGGTCATTGGTAGCTGGTAACACTCCTCATTTTTATTCAGATGTAGAAATATTCGCATATTTCAAGTGTTTGGCAGCTTTATCGATTTAACAATAAAAAAATTAATGCAGGTTGTGGTTATCCAGCCGATTGGCAATAAATTCGATCTCTGCTCAGCTGTTATCGATCAGCTGTTCGAGTGCTGCCCACTTGACGTGCAGAAGCAAGCAAGCAAGCGCCAAACTTTCAACCCCGTCAAACAGCAACCGCTGGCTTGCGGCTTCGGCGGCGACCCTTGGCTAGGGGTTGAAGACCTACATACATTTGAACGGCATGCCGATCGATTTTTCAACCCCCACGCAAGGGAGACGTCGCCGCTGCCGCCACCCCGCCGAAATGTCCTTTGTGCTTATTTACATTACCTGCGTGTGTTGCTGGTGTACAATTCATAGAAATGATCGCCATATTTCATTGGATTCAATAGTCCGACCATTGCACCGTTAACAATTTTGCAAAATTTGCCTCCAAATCGATTTTCTGTATGCGCTTACATTTACATATAGTACATGTGTATGTACATACGTGGGCCGTTATTGGGCTATACCGTTACACCGACACTTCTTTTCGTCTCGGCGACGTTGTGCGCGGGCCAACGAGTCGCCTACACTGTATAACTGGACACTTGTCAGTTATGATTTTGGCTAAATATTATTGCACAACAATTTACAAAATAACTAGGAATTAACTAAGTATTCTACTTGCGAACTTAATGCATATTTTTTGTTGTATGATTGCACCACTGTCTTTTGCGAACTGTAAACTTATCGATTAATTGCAGCAGGACATTTTCGTGCCACTCGATAGCAAAGGCTGTAACAAATGATACTATCGGTATTCTACATTTTGCTGTTGACAAATGCAAATTTCTAGATATTTTTATGGAATTTTAGCTGAATACTTATCAACTGCATATCAATTTATTATTTGCAATATTTTTGCAATACAGTTTATTCAAATTTTAACCGTTCTTATCGATAGTTACACAATTGAATTTACTTGCGTGCAGCCCTGCTTGGCAACAGCTGTCAAATGGTTTACAACAACAACAGCTGAACTGACAGCAGCGCCGCAGCCGCAACAACCGAGGAAAAACATTTTACGTAATTTATATTTGTTATTTTGATTGCATTTTGCATGTTGTTTAATGTACATTTTACAACTTGAACAGCATGGGCAACGCTCTGAACCACTACATAAAGCCAGATGTGACGCCCGGGCCGGATGTGGTGCCCAGCTTCGATCCCATGTTGGGCTTTGAGTCGCGCAAGCAGCGCGTAATGATTGCCACCAAAGAACAGATGGAGTCGGCGAAGCTGCCACTCGAGGATCGTGACTATTGCGCTCACAAGCTGCTCGCCTATCAGTCCTGCCGCTCCGACAAGTTCCCCTTCGTCTATCAGTGCGCGCACGAGAAGCACGACTATCTCACCTGCGAATACGAGGATTATGTGCTCCGCATGAAGGAGTTTGAACGCGAGCGTCGGCTGCTCGAGCGCCAGAAGCGCCTCGACAAGCATGCCTAAACCTTGAGCACAGTTCAATAGACAAGCAGAGCAGAAGTTAACGGTGTGCGACCTTTCCAGCGTCAACAGCGGAGCAGCGGAGCAGTCAACAACAAAACAAACAAAAACTCCAAGCGACTCCACACACTGCCCGTCGCAATCGGAAATTTCAATAATAAATACTATGCCTAGTAATAATATGGATCTGTTTTTTTTTTTAGTAAATTAAACGCAAAAAAAAAAAAACTAAAAACTATTTAATCCAAAAAGTGTAATTTTAAGTGTTAATTGGCAAATAACCATCAAATAATTCAATCCCTGAACGCATTTGGAAACCTTCTGTCGTAGAAATGTTGAATCTTCATAAGAAAATACACAAGTAATTGACATCAAAAGATGTTATTTAGCGATCACTTCCGCATAAGCCTCTCTTGATGATCTAGAGTTTCTATATTATTAAATCGCTTCAACAATTCGTTATGCTTTAAATGTTCTTATTTCATATATATGTATATAATTCCAACAGGCGACACAAACACTTTCTGTTATTGCAAAGGTGGGATTTTTTTACACAATTCAATGTTTTATTCAATGAGGATCATTGAAGTAACCTGAATACAATATATTTTGTATAATAAATGCATATATAGACTCACGCACACACGCACAGACAGACACACACACACACACCTAACTAGGGCTACTAACTAACGCTTGTTGAAACTGATAAGTATTTTGTGACTAATATGTACGTAATAATTTGCAACTGGCTGAAATGCCAACTACATCTTTGGTAAACGCTTGAAGTCGCCGCTGCCTCATCAAATGCCCAGCTTACGCCACAAATGATGCATGCGGCCGTGCGTCTCGAAGATGCTGCGCAGCATAAAGACCTGGATGAGGCCGACACCAATCATTGCGCTGATCTGTACGAGCGACCAGTTGTTGACCATTTGGAAGTTGGCCTCAGCCAAATTGCGGTCGCGCGCCTCATGGGAGCGTAGCGCGTCCTGCAACTGGCGAGCCTTGGTCAGCTGCATGCGGATGCGTCCAATGAAGTCCATAATATCCTGCACCTTCATGTCGTAATACTCGTCGGGCGTTAGGCCCGTCAATTCGTTAATCTCCTTCCACTGATCATCGCCATGATGTTGATCGCCTTCGCGCTCCACGATCAGCTCGAAGAAGACGGTTTTGCGATTGAACATGCTGAAGCTGTTGTCGAAACAGAAACGATAGTCGCCCTCCTTCTGCACCTCGTGCTGATGCATATTCTCTGGCTTTTTGTAGTCGCTCACAATGACCAGGCCGATGGGGTCTAGCAGGGCAAAGCTTATGTCCAGATCACCATGGCCGCCATCAATCACCTGATACTCAAAGTCAATTATTTCACCAGCCTTGACGGTGTGGTAGAGGCACTCCTTCTTTCCGGCATCCACATAAACTGTCATCTCTTTGTCATATCCGCTGACCACGGCCGCCGGCCAGAACAGTAGCGCCAGAAAGAGAGCAAGAGACAGCCGGACAGCGAGGCAATTGGTCTGCAAAACAAATGTGTTTAGCTTTTTTAGTGGCATTGCATTTGATTTGCATACGATTCGCTTACCATTTCAATTTGTTTGAATATCAAAGGCAAATGCAAGATGCGTCGACCTGCCTAAAATGGCGATACACCCTATATGGTTGCTGATACTATTTTTAAAAATATCGCAAATCGATTGCTTGCACTGACGAATCAAAAGTTCCCACAACAAAAGCGATACGTCCACAATTGCACGGCAGGGGTACATACCAAGTTTCGATATTTCGATATCGTTAAGAACAATTCTAACAGCATAGATGGCGCCACCTGAGTTGCTATGCCAAATTTCAAATTAACGTATATTTAAAAGCCGATCGTACGTAATGTGAAAGAAAACTATAGATTCATTAATAAGACTGTATTTGTTTTTACCAAATTTGTTTAGAAATAAATTTGTTATTTAATATATTTCAAATTTAATACTGCGCACAAATATAGAACACGGTATACACCATTTCATGTGTAATAAACTAAATTAATTTTCCCGTTTAATGAATACTTGTCGAAAACAAAAACAAACAAAATATATATATTCAATCTGTCAGATATCATTGACGTATTATTTACTTAGCTATCGCGTGTTACGACTAACAAACATCTGCCTCTTACTGTCAGAAAAACTTGTATGCAATAGCAAAATAAAAGTGACTTTAATGGGGGGATCTAAATATAAATTACGAGCTGCCGACAGTGAACATTCAATTGGTCACGTTCCGGAAAACAAAGTCAAGGTTGACAGTATAGATATGAAATTGCAATCTTCATACTTGACCTTGTCTAGCAATGCTAATAAGTTGCGTGTATGCCAGAGCTATGATTAATGTTTTGAGCTTACGGCTTAAGAGAGTTGTTTATTAATCGGCGCAGCCAAAACAAATTTTAGTTATCGATCGCTTAAGAGATGATTAATTAATCCCAAAATGCGAAACGGAACGGCTTACGCTAAGCTGATTGAGACACTTATTCCATGGGCTAAAAGCAAGAGAGGATATTGCAAATACTTTGTTTACAAATTTAAATGAATCTGAACAAAATAAAATCATATTCTTTTAACTAATGTATTTAGGACAGTATGTATTTGAAATTAATCAATCAATCAATCAATCAATCATATATGGAGTTTTCAGTTATCGAAAATGAGAATGGTCATTGAGAAATTTACCAATTAGCTAAAGTACATCGATTATTATATTGAAAATCTATACTTATTGAATATATATCATTTGTTATCGATAAATATCTTAGCAAGTTACATGGAAATGCTGATTCAGAAACAAACGCCGCATTTTACACATTGCAAACACACTTAGCATCTAATTCGATAATGATAATGAAAATGAAAATCCCCAATTCACTCCGTCATAAATAAAAAACTGTCGTGCCGCTGTCCCATTACGCAATGCCAGATTTAAGTTGTGGGTGGGTGACAAATGAAACAAGTCTGTGAATACGTTGATTATGCCACTTGCTGGATTCCAATTGAAGGCAATTGCTGCAGCTCCAAGTCAGTTGCTGCTCAACGTTTGTGATCGTTGGCCGGCATGTATCGGATGCTTCTGCTGCTGACCCTCATTATCATCGCACTGTTCGTGCTGCTGTACGCATTTCTGGTATGGAATTTTGGACATTGGCGTCGACGCGGCATTCGGGAGCCGCGTGCCCTGCCGCTGCTCGGCTCCTTTCCGAATATCGTATGGCCGCGTCGACACTTCTCCAACGATATGCGTGATATCTATATGTGAGCGAGCTCAGATTCCACAAATCCGTTACCAAATTCAAAGATTAGAAATAGAAATTTACCATGGATCCTTTAAGGAAATATCGCGAGACGGACAGCTACGTGGGAACATATCTGCTGAGAGCGCCCAAGTTGCTGCTGTTGGAGCCGAAGCTGATCAATGAGGTGTTCGTGAGTGCCTTTCGGCACTTTGAGAACAACGATGCGTCGCGCATGATTGACACACGAAAGGATCCCCTTGTCGCCTGCAATCCTTTCGTACTCGATGGCGACGAATGGCGAAAGCAGCGTAGCATCTTCTCCCCCCTGCTAACCAGTGGACGCATACGAAATGCATACGGAAATATGAAACGCATCTGCGACATGCTCTGCGAGTACATTGATAAGTGTTCGGATTGTGGTCAGCCACAAAATGGCATGGATGTGAGTAGTATTCAATGAAATCAAAAACGTTCAGTGATCTGGCTAGAATTATGCTTATTTGCTGACTGCATCTCAAAGTTTATATTGAGATTCAAATTATTGTAATAAATCCATTACGAAATGCATTTGTGCATTTATCAAGCTTAAAGCTCACTTCACATTCAAATTGTTCAGCTTGGACTGCGCTTTACCAGCGAGAATCTCTTCGATTGCGTCCTGGGCATTGAAGCGCGTAGCTTTACCGATTCACCGCTGCCAGTGGCCAAGCACAACAAGGAGATGTCCGAGGATAATCGCCGTCTGGCTCTTGCTGGCGCTCTGAACGGACTCTTTCCTTGCCTGCCGCTCTGCCTGCGGCCCAAGATCATTCCGCCCTCATATGATCGCTTCTTTGGGGAACTTGTCCGTGAGGCATTTGATTTGAGGCGCTGCAAGCGACAGGAGCGCAACGATTTCATCAATCATTTGCTGGACATGCAGCGGGAGCATCAGTTGAGTGAGGCGCAGCTGGCATCGCATGCGATGACCTTCATGTTCGATGGACTGGACACCACATCCTCGACCATAGCACACTGTCTGCTACTCGTGAGTTGAGCAATTAACTAATCCTAATCCTTGCCTAAATCCTTGACCGACTTATGCGCAGCTCGGTCGCCATCCGGATTGCCAGGAGCGGCTGTGGCAAGAGATTGACAATGCCTGCTCTGGATGGGATCAGCTGCTGCCCGATTTTGAGGTGCTAAATGAGCTACCCTATTTGAGTGCTTGCTTAAATGGTGGGTTAAAACAGGGCAGGTTTATGTAAATACCTCATTTGAAACTATTATTCTTGATGAGGTTGTCCTCTCAATTACATTCGCCACTTACCCTTACCTTTCTACCCATAGCTGTGAACAAATTTCAGGATGGATTTTTCAAAAATAGAATTTCCATTGTGTTCTCTCATAGAACAATTTATAGATTAGTATTTGAAGATTTAAATATGCGCTTGACATAGTTACAAGTTTGATTTCTCAAATTAAGCTATCTGAATTTTTATTAATGAAATTCATTAAATGATTTGTAAGCATTTAAAATATAAACCAGTTATCTTTTGACCCGCAGAGAGTCTACGCATCTATCCGGCTGGCGGTTGGGCATCGAAGACCTGCACAGCGCCCTACACCTTCCATGGCAGCCAACACGATAGTCCGCTGAAAATGCTACCAGGCGATAATGTGATGATACCCATCTATGGACTGCATCACGATCCCATCTACTATCCAGAGCCGCACGCCTTTCGACCCGAACGCTTTCTCAATGGCGGCCTGAAGCGATTCCAGCAGCTGGGCGTTTTTCTCGGCTTTGGCAATGGGCCGCGTCAGTGTGTGGGAATACGGCTGGGTCTGACCCAAACCAAGGCTGCACTGGCGGCCATTGTGCGACGCTTCGAGGTGCACATCAATGGACGCACTCTCGATGGCATCGAGCTCGATCCGCTCATCTTTGTGGGTGTCCACAAGGGCGGCATTTGGCTGGACTTTGTGGCACGCTCGAGCAGACAGTAGTTCAGTGTTGAGGTTGTGAGGTGTGCACATGGCAGGGTACGTTAATCGAAATTAACGGATTTATATATAGAAGCATAACCCAAGTCCAAATTCAATTCGGTTTGATTTACTGCTTTGATACTAAGTTATTAAAATCATTGCAACGGTTCTGGGAAAGATTAAAGACTCATTTCTGTCAGAGGGTCTTCTTTTTATTTTTTATTTTATTGTCTGCACAACCTATTTTTAAGTTTTAGATGATTACAGCGCCTTGGATTGCAACGAGTGATTTCGAGAGGTGAAAGATTTGAAAAGTAAACAAGAGCCCAAATAGCAGCTAGCAGATTTACTTTGTGGAACCAATTTATCTGCTGGGATCAATGAGTACAAATAGATGGCAAAATAAACAGACTGAGACGGCAACATGCAAATACAAAAAAAGACAAAACAGTTGACAAGCAAATAAGATATAACCATCAAAATGATGACATTGCGACCATTGGCAAATGATTGGCGCGTCATTTGGGTGATGGGTGTAACCCAATTGTGTGTCACTGAGTTATATCATCGCCGCACGTTAAGCAATTTAAGGCTAGAAAGCGAATGAGGAAGATAGAGAGCGAGAGAGAGAGAGGGAAAGAGAGTAATAGAGAGAGAGAGAGAGAGAGAGAAAGAATGTTAAATCAGTTGTAATACGCTGCGATTGATTAGGTTGTCATTGAGTCTTGATTATGATTTGATTGTCATTTGTTGCGTTTTGTTCGCCAGCTTTTCATTGAATTTCCATAGTCAAACTGGCCAAATCAAGCGGCCAACTAAATCACTAAATGTGTGACTTTCACTTAAAGACCTCCCCACTCCCCTCCAAACCCATCACAAGACAAAAATATCGAGGTGAAGGTCGTCGTAGCGCATCTGGAACTACGCATACGATTTTCATCGGTATTGCTAATTAATTAAATCACAAATTATGTACATGTATGTAAATATAAGTCGATTTATTAGTTAAGAAATCGTTTAAGCAGAGTTTCAAAAAAAAAAACTTGTATAAATGTAAAATGAAGGGTGCGTTTGAAAAACAGCGCCGAAAACTGGATTCGTTGTGATGAATTTAAATAGCTAATCAGTACTACGAGGATTGTTTGATTAGATGGATTGGTGGCTATAATTGCTGATTAGTGTCTGGGCACAGGGAATAGGCGCAACGGACTCGACGACTGCCTCACAACGCGTGCCCGTGGCCGTGCCACAGTTGGTGGCAAGTAGCCGTTGGCATTACCGTTGCCATTGGCAACTGGCTGAAAATCTTGCGGCTCATCGAAGATCTTCACCGTCTGCACATGACTCTCCACATTGTTGGCATCTTGGGTGACCACGTTGACAATGTGATGCTGTCCACGCGGCTGCTCATTGCTAGTGCCGAGAATTTTGATTGTTTTCACACCGGCAGCATCGAGAGTCTCGAGCACTTTGAATGTGCGCACCGCATTCGGTTTCACAATTTGCACCGTGCGCACCTTGGAACTGCCACGTGCCACTGGGCCGGTGGCGGCAACTGCCACATTGACGGCCAATTGCATTTCACGTGGCATGAACTTTTGCAGCGACTGTTTCGCCTGCAAACTGAGCTGCTGCTGTTGCTGCTGCTGCTGCACATGATGTATGTGCTGATGGAATTGGTGAAGTTGTGTGGGCACCGCATTGCGTGTATAGGACATGGCGGGCGCATAGGAAAGTGGACGATTCGATTGTTCACGATACATGGGCGACACCTCGACAAATTGCTGTTGCACATGTTGCTGTTGCACATGTTGCTGTTGCTGCACATGTTGCTGTTGGTGCTGCAGATGCTGCTGTGGCTGTCCATAGCGTGCGTAAGGCTGCACTGTGTTCATATAGCTGCTTAATGTGTGTATATGTGAGTGTTGGGTGGGTGGTGCAGGCAGCGGCGCAGCGGCAGCCACAGCAGGCGCCTGATAAGCAACTGTTGGTGCTGCTGCTCTGGCGGTTGCTGTTGCTGTCGCTAGCGGCTGCTGTGGCTGTTGCTGATGTTTGGGCACGCCATAAATAATATTAGAGCTGGGCTGGACAACTGGTCGCTGTTGTTGCTGCTGCTGCTGCAGCTGGAACTGTTGTTGCTGCAGCTGTTGCTGTTGCTGCTGCTGTTTGAGCAATTTGGTTTGCGTTTGCAGGCTGTGCAGCTCGGCAATAGCTGCCTCAGAGTTCTCGGGCTTGGTAAACTCATAACCCTCGGGCAGCGCACCAAGATGCTGCTGTTGTGGCACCTGCAATGGCTGCTGTTGTGACACCTGCAATGGCTGCTGCTGTGGCACCTGCAATGGCTGCTGCTGTGGCACCTGCAATGGCTGCTGATAGATGTTGCCCTGTTGTTGGGGTGGCAAATAGTTGGGTGCACGGTAATCACCAACAGTTGCTGGCTGCGCAGCAGCAACTGGCTGTGCTGGCTGCACGGGAGCAACTGGCTGTGTTGGCTGCACGGGCTGCTCAATAATTTGATCGAAAGGCAACTGATTGGGATTGTTAAAATCATAGCCAGGTGGCAAATAGCCAGGTGCGCGATAATTAGCTGTTGTTGCTGGTGCAACGGGCTGCAATTGCTGTTGTACCTGTTGCTGCTGCAACTGCTGTTGCGGCAGTTGCACAACATTTGGATTGTTAAAGTCATAGCCTGGGGGCAGGTAACCTGGCGCTTGGTAATTCGAAGGAGTCGTGCTGCTGCTGCTGCTGGCGGTGCTACTGCTGCTGCTGACAATGCTGTTGCTGCTGGCGATGCTGTTGCTGCTGACGATGCTGTTGTCGCTGCTGCTGGCGAAGCTGTTGCTGTTGGCGAAGCTATTGCCGCTGCTGCTGGCGAAGCTGTTGGCGCTGCTGCTGGCGAAGCTGTTGCCACTGCTGCTGGCGACACTGTTGCTGCTGATGGGTGGCAAATAAGGTGGTGCCCGATAGACCTGTTGCTGCTGTGGCAGTTGTTGTTGTGGCAGTTGTTGTTGTGGTAGTTGTTGCTGTGGCAGTTGTTGCAGTGGCAGTTGTTGTTGTGGCAGCTTTTGCTGTGACAGTTGTTGCTGTGGCAGTTGCTGTTGCTGTGGATAGGTGGGAATTGCACCAGCCGTTGTTGTTGTGGGTGGCAGATAGTTGTTGGCTCTATAAGCGGGCTTAGACACAAGTTGCTGCTGCTGCTGCTGTTGCTGATGTGCTTGTTGCTGCAATTGTTGCTGCTGCTGTTGCTGCCCTACATTGCTGCTGGAGGGTGGCGAGAAGGCGGGCGCCTCATAGCTCGGCGGCGGTTCTGAGAAGACCTGTGGTGCCGTTGAGCTCAAAATAGAGCTTAAACTGGACTGCTGATAGTTTTGGTTGGCGTGACTGGGCGTGGCAGCTGTGGGCGGCAGATAGGCACGAACATTATAAGGGACTTGAGCTTGAGGTGTGGGTTGCTTGCGCTGGAAATCGTGCTGATAGTTGGAGGGGAAGGGCACCGGAACAGTGTGTGTAATTGGCGCTGGTACAGCAACAGTTGCTGGCACTGGCCGAGCAACAGTTGCTGGCACTGGCCGAGCAACAGTTGCTGGCACTGGCCGAGCAACAGTTGCTGGCACTGGCCGAGCAACAGTTGTTGCCACGGGCAGTGGCCGCTGCGGCTGCGGCTGCTGTGGCTGTGGCTGCAGCTGCGTTGGCTGCTGCTGCTGCTGCTGTTGCTGCACATGGCCACCATCGGCAAAGCTTAGAAAAGATACATCCAAATTGTCATCGTCAGCAGCTGTTACTGCTGCAAGATGTTGCCGATGTGGCGTTTGCTGCAGATGATGTATGTGTATCTCCTCGTGACCAGCTTGGGTGTCAACTGGCGGCAAGTAGGCGTTATTCTTGCCCTCGTAGTGATTGTGCACCTCGAAGATCTGATAGCGCGAATTGCCATATCTGCTCTCCTCGAAGCGATTCGGTTGCTTCAGCGATATATCCGCTGCACTTAATCCACATAGTGAGCAGGCGGCGGCGACTGCCAACAAAGCGCCAATTAACTTTAAGCCACAAGTAAAACGAAGAAAAAAAAAGTAGAGCAAAAGGAGTTGCACGTTAACAAAAAAAAATCAATTGAAATATGCGTCAAAATACTAAATAAATATATTTGTTATATATTTATAATTTGAATATTGTCACTGGCACTTTTTTATGATTATTATTTTATTGCTGCTGGTGGTGCTGCTGCTGTTGCACTTACATTCATCTTCACGTTGGTCGTGCTGGAGCCCTCGATGTCCAACCGTTAAATGATGAGCCAGCTTGACCCGTCCACGCATTTTATACAAGGGCGCGCATTGGTTTAACATTTGCTTCAGCCTCTGCGCAGTACCAAACCACAAAAAAAAAAAAAACAGCCTCAGTGTGTGTGTGTGTGTGTGTATTTGACTTAGAGTCATCCCAAAACCCATGGCCCAAACAGTGCGCTGGCCTTTCATTAATTCATTGGCGCCTGCGCAACATTTTTTTTTTTTTTCATTTTTTTTTTTTGCAGCTGCGTTTTAACTTTTATATTTTTTAGACGCCGTCGCTGTTGCTGTTGCTATCTCTCTTCCTCTGCCACTCGATGTTGCAGTCTGTCTCGCTTTCGGCGTGGCCCGCTTGAAATGCAAATTGTTTATTGAGTTATCACAAACATTTCATTCGTAATGCTCCAAAAGTCGACACCATGCCAATTCCACGATTGTGTGCCCAGTGCGGATGTTATTATTATGCCTGCGACAGCAGCAACAACAGCAGCAACAACAGCAACAACAGCAGCAACAACAACTACAAAAATCATAACAACAACAATTGTCATAATTCATCAAGTTTAGGCTAGGCTAGGCTAGGCCAGGCCAGGCCAGGCCGCCAACTGTTCTCTCTTTTTGCCCATCTCTCGATTTGCCACTTGCATAATCTTCAAATTTATGGAATTGATTTCTATTGATCAAATTTCAATTTCTTGTCAATATTTGCATTTTAATGCGCCGCGAAATGCTTTAATTTGATATCAACCTGCTGTGCTCAAGCTTTAAATATCTATTATGTATAATTATATTTGGGATTACTTTTTTTTTATTGATTTGTAACTTGATCTTTTTGGGGGCAAAGGGAATCTCTTTTGTTTCATATTCGCTTTTTCGTATATGTATATCTGCATATGCCGCTTATCTACTCTAATTACCTCTTACGAAAATATTTGCTAAAGTTTTCTGTCATTGCCTCATAATGCCCAGCAAAATTATTATATCATTAGCAGCAAGGAATGGCGAATGATGGTTGGGTTGGTTTGGGTGGTGGTGGTAGTTGAGAGGGGAGGTGAAGCGTGTCTTCCTTCACTGCATACTTAAATAGTTGCTGTAGGTCCATTAATTATCCACTAATAAACGTGTCGGCTCATTAGGGAAGTGATATCTATGCGTATTCGGGTCTATCAACTATCTTTGGATCGCCATCCATATTCCATTCGATTCCAAGCGGGATGTACGATCCGAATGATGGGTGTGCCCTTGCCCATCGGCCACACACTTAATAACGTCTGCATCATATGCATATATGCAAATATAAATATTAATGAAGCAGTTTCATCTGGCATATATGCATTGAGCAAAAGGCCTGGCCACTATCTAATGGGTCATAAGCAGTCAGCAGCAGCAGTCGGCAGTCGGCAGCCGTAATAATTTAATTAAATTAAATTAATATTCATTTAGGGGACATCTCAACAAATCATATTTCAACAGTCTAATCATTATTTAGCTGCTGCTAAATAACTAACAATAATCATTTTATTTTTAACAATTTTGTTGTCAAGCAAAACTTTCTTCGGCTGCTTCGAAACAACAACTTGGACAGATTCTAGTTTTCACTTTTATATTTATATATTTTTTATTTATATTTTATATATTTTATTTATTACATTTATATATAATTTTTATTCACTCATTTAGCATTTACCATTTGTAATCTATTTAATCTAATGAGTAATTTATTTCTATTAAAGGCAATAATATAAATAAACTATTAAAGCACTAAACCAACTCATAAAAGTACAAATATTCAAAGGCAATGAACAAATGTGTTAATATTTATAAAAATGAAATATTCAATAGCCGACCCAATAATAATAACTTTATTGTATATATTGTCTAACATCCTTATTAAAGAAACTTGATCAAGCTTAAATCTTTCCAGCATATCTCATTAAAATAAAAGAGCAGATAGATATTTGTATAGAGGAGCTTTGCTATTAACAAATCTGTTACGAAGCTTGACTAACGCATTTGAACTGGTTCGCGCTTAAGCCAGATCAGATTTCATTCATATATTTAAAGGTTTGACCTTTGCGTAGTATTTCGAATGTTGTGGGAATTGGATTGAAAATGGGTTTTAGGGGGAAATACCAGCGAAGATAATCACAAACACAGACACAAGCATAAGCTACTTATTTTGAATACTTTCACTTTTCATTTTCATCTTCATATACGAATCACTCAAAACGAATTCAATGTCAATCATTCGACTGGCATCGAAAATATATTTCCACTCATTTTTCCCCATATTTGGTTTGTGTATCACTTTCCTATCTGTTAACCTTGGCACATGAAGCTTAAACTGTAGTCCGGAATAAAAGCGCTAACAAGTTGGTCAACACAGTGGGCCAGACCTGACCACCCCTAAGAGACGACAACAAATGAAACTAAAACTCAAATGTGTGAAGCAAATTACATATTATTTGTTTATCTATTTGCAGTCGTAAATTATAAGAGCCGCAATCGTAATCATTTCCATTGCCATTATATTACCCAATTTGTATAGGTATTTGTATTTATTTTGATAGTAAGGCTCCAAGAACGTCTATATATGCCAATTAATATATAGTAATTTCAAAGATTTTCACAATTATTGATATGCTCGAATCTGAACTGATATATTGATATTGATGTTTTGCGATTTCAAATGTTTTTCTCATTTGCATAAACATGAATTGTATTGTCAAATCATTTATCAATTTGTAAGTGTGTGTCGCGATAATGTCATCCGTGATACTCGTAAAGCTATTGTATCTGTGAGTTTTACAACCCAATCGGGATCGGGTGGCACAAGCAACAGCCAAACAATAAAGTAGCAACAGCCAAACAATAACAGCCAACAGCCAACAACAACAATAACAACATGCATCGCACAATACCAATGTTGTTTCAACAAAAATTTGCAAAGCCACAGCTGATAATAAACAATAGCAACAAAACATAAAAAAATAAATAAATTATTATATAGCAAAAAAAAAAAACAAGAAAACAAACAGGGGAAACTGAAGTTGAAATTGGCCAGCGAGTGGCACTCAACACGATCGCTCTGCAAAAATGCAATCAATTGATCACATTGAACTTAATATTTTTGTACATTTTTTTGGTCCACTTTGGTCAAGATCGGTCTGATTCAGGCAAACTTTCTGACAGTGTATTTTTGGATGTCTTAAAAATAAAATCTAAAATATTAAAGATTTTTAAGATTTCTTTTAATAGGCATACATTTATTCTTGTTATTATTATTATTATTATTATTATTATTATTATTATTATTATTATTATTATTATTATTATTATTATTATTATTATTATTATTATTATTATTATTATTATTATTATTATTATTATTATTATTATTATTATTATTATTATTATTATTATTATTATTATTATTATTATTATTATTATTATTATTATTATTATTATTATTATTATTATTATTATTATTATATTAATGTTTATTTTTATTCAAAATGTATTTAACTAATGATGATTGAATTGGCAGATTCTTTAAAATTTGTTTTCTTTCTTCGTTAGCTTTAATCTTAGGCATTTCATTCACATTAAATTAAATTAAAAAGTGGTCACCAAACAATATAACATTATTACAAATATAAAAATTAAATGAACTCTGTGAATTAATTTGGCTGAACTGAAAGTCATTGATTGACTCTCGTAAGGCGCTTAAGCTGTCATGTCCGATCTGCCGCATTCTCTCTCTCTCTCTCTCTCTCTCTCTCTCTCTCTCTCTCTCTCTCTCTCTCTTTCTCTCTTTAGCTATCTCCCTCATTGTCTGTTCAGCATTAACTAGCTGAGTTAGCAGCCCAGCTAATTGATACATAAAGCATCAAGCGTTTGCAGCCGCGGCAGCCAAATCGGCGTCAAACTTTTGCTCAAATCATCCGTTGCTGCTTTTTGGGGCGTGTTGAGGTTGATTTTATTAATATGCTTTCTTATTGTTGTGATTTTTTTATTTATTTATTTTCTTTTCCTTTTTTGATTTGTGTTTTTTTTTTTTTTTTGGTGGAATTTGAGATTCATTGATTGGCATCATCTATTATGAGTGCTGTGGATGCAAATCGAAATGTGTGTGGAAACAGTCAAAGGCATAAATGAATGCATGAAGACTTGTTTTAAAGGGGCATGGGGTCTACCAACTGTGGGGAGCAGATTGCTGTGAGTCGTGTTGATCTTTAATGGGCTTTTAATGTGGCAAATATGTATTGACAGACAGCTTTCTGGCCACACTTCCCCGCTCTCCAATCAAGTCTCCACTGGCTGTTGCTGTACATAATTAGCATTAAACAAAATTACATCAATCAAATCGCTCCAATCGTTTAATCGCACCAATTTCAAGCCCCAAAATTCATTTACACATGTCCTTCACATCATCTGGGCCCATTCACCTGCATCTGTGCATCAAATTTCAGTCGACTTTTATTGACGTGTGTGGCCCAAAACATCAAACAAAAAAAAAGGCCAGCGGCTAAAAACGCGTGAAAAAAAAAGAGCACAGAAACACTGGCAATTTTTGTTGATTGTGGTTTTTACTAACAACTGCCAAGATTTTGCCATTTGCTAATTGCCATTTATTAACTATTTATTTATTATTAACAAATTAAGCAATCTAACAACAAAGCAATCTAACAGTTGTCATCCATCCAGCATAGAATGATCAGATAGGGAAAGTGCTCAACGAGCAGATACCCAGTATGATGTTAGCTCATCACTAATGGCTCTTTGAATGTTCATTACCAACTTTTTTATGCAATACCTTTCAAATATGTAGCTAACACTATTTCCGGCGAATTTGGCCTAATTTACCTCTAAAACACTCGGCGATATATATGCTAATCTTTTGAGGCGAGTTTAAGTAGCTCTAAAATTGTAGCATCAAATAATCTTTCACTATTTCCACGGCCAGCTCCTCTGGCAATGCCGAAAAGTTTCTCCATTTCTAGGGAGTTTCCAGGAAACTGTCGGAAATTGAACTACTTCTTCGATATCAGCAATTGGAACAGTGATATTTAATGTTCAGCAAATTACAAAATAAACTCCATTTTCTGTTTTTAAAGTACATTTTAGTTCGCTTGTTTTTCGAGTCGGTTTGTAAATTGGAAAATGTTTTATTCTCTCACTCGAAGAGTTAATTTTCTGCTTAATTTGAAATAGAGAAATCAGCAGCGGCTACAGGGTATAAATGTGTCGACCTTATAGGTTGACAACCGCTTAACCTAGCCTTACCTGACAGGGTATAAGTCAGTCGTATACTTTGGGCCTTTTGACTCCAGTGTTTTGTTTTAGTGACAAACAAAAGCTGTCGAGTCTCAAATCTTTTCGTTCAAAAACAAACAAAACGGTTTTGAACCCAGCATTTTACATACTATTATTATTTGTATTATATGCAATGAACATTTGTCAAAGATGTCAGCCAATAAATAGATTTAGTTAAAAGACAGATGGCAGCTATAAAATAACAGTTGATAATATATTTATTGATTGTCTTCAAATATGCGGTAGTCTTTTGGCCAAGTTCGGACCACAAGTTGTGCAATAACATTTAATACAAAATCTTTGCAATTTGCATTGCATAATTAAATTTCATTTTTTTGTTTACAGATGAAACGAAATGTTTTGAAACAAAAAAAAAAAACTAACAAAACAAAAAATAACATAAAAACAAATATCGCTTCAATTATTTACAATATTTACAGTTGCCTGACTTAAGTAGCTCAGGCCCAGCCACCAGATGGCTGCCAGCCACCGCCGCCGCCACCACCACCGGAGGACCAGCCACCACCGCCGCCGCCGCCACCGTGACCGCCACCACCGCCGCCGCCTAGCTTAATAATTTTGATGATCTTGGTGGCACCACCGCCGCCGCCGCCGCCATGTCCGCCACCGCCGCCGCCATGTCCGCCACCATATCCGCCACCATGTCCGCCGCATCAGCCTCCACCGCCGCCCAGACTGATGATCTTGATCAGCTTTATATCACTACCGCCGCCGCAGCCGCCGCCGCCGCAAGAAGCCCAGCCACCGCCGCCGCCGCCACCTCCAGAGGACCAACCACCGCCTCCACCGCCACCGGAAGACCAGCCGCCACCGCCGCCGCCGCCACCGCTTTCAGTGATGACTTTGATAACTTGGACATCACCGCCACCGCCACCGCCATGTCCGCCGCCGCCACCGCCGCCCGAGGACCAGCCACCGCCTCCTCCTGGCTTAGGCTTGGCCGTAACGCCGGCGACACCAATCAGCAAAAGACACACAAAGGCCTGCAAAAGGGAGAACAAAGCAAACAAAACACTTGAGCAATACCACAAAACACTTAACAACAAAAACAACAGCAAAACAAACAAAAAAACAAACAAACAAAAAAACAAATGCAAATGTTGCACGCGGCGTATGCGCAATAAGCGTTTGCTCATATATTTATCACGTATACGAGACGTGAATTCGCGTACGTACTTTCATGGCTGAAGACGTTTGAAGTTTTGTAATATTTGTTGTCGGCTTATAATCTGTTTATATCCTGTGTTGCACGCTTGGTGTGGAGCACGAATCAAGACTGACATGACCACAGCCGGCAGTTGTGACTTTTATACCCCTGGCAATTGTGCCACACGTTAACCGGAAAAATGCTTTTCCAACAACAACAAAAAAAAAAACAAAACCAAAAACAAAAAAAAAAGAAGAAAAACCCAGACAATAAAAACAACAAAACACAGTTCGCCTGCCCCGTCCCAAGTCCCAAGTCCCAGCATTTGTTGCGCTATGAGATGCCAAGCAACGCTTGTGCATCTACAATTTTTCCCGATGCTGTCATGATTACTGCCAACCGTCTGCCACGCTGTATCTATGTGTGTGTGTGTGTGTGTGTGTGTGTGTGTGTGTGTGTGTGTGCACCTTTCTTACAATATGGGCCAAATGCTGCCGCATCATTTGGCATTAGGCGAAAGTGAGACTCCAGCCAGACGGCATACCAATAGACCCTCGCTTCCCGCCCCTACGCCGGCCCCCTTTCATTATCGTACTTCTTTTTAGCCTTACTCCAGCCAGCAATTGGCAACAACTCATAACAGGCAACAAAATGCTGCTACACACTATAATTACAATATATTTTTCTATTGACTATTGTTGACATTTATTCACCTACATTTTATTATTTTGTTGTTGTACAACTTTTCTTTCCAGATACTTCCAGCTACAATGTTAAAATAAAAACAATTAGAATACTTAAGGAAAAAACACAAAACATTTATTACAGACTTCTTATACAAATAAAACCTGTTTAAATAATAAAACATATTTCCAATAAATGCATTGCTTAAATTAAAAAAAAAAAATAAATAAACTCGTTGCAAATATTTTTTACGGTGTGTTAGTCGCATCTGCATCTGCAACTGCAGTTGCCACAGCGGCAGCAGCATCTGCCAGGGTTGGGGGCGACTTGTTTGCGTTTGCATCCGCAACAACAAAAACAACAGCAACAGCAACTACAGCCGCAACCTCAGACACAGCCACACAGCCATTAAGTGCACCTTTCCCATTACATAAGCAACGGCTGCTGCTGCTGCTGCTGCTGCTGCTGCTGCTGCTATTGATGCTTCGGCCCAACTTGCAACTTGCTGCTTATTTTGCTGAACGTGTCTTGCTGTTTGCTGCTGCCATTGCTTCATTTACATTTGCCCCATTAGTGCATGCCACTTCTCGATTCTATCCGGCATATCTTGGCACACCCGCTGCGTATACGCAATATGTGCAACACGTATACGACGCATTGCTTCTGGCGTTATATAACCCTAATAGCGAAGTTAGAATTCCTTATACGTCGACTTACATACATATTCCCTGGCCAGGGATATACAGATCATCATTTGTAACCCTTGTAATTTTATTATTAGAGTAACCAAATATTGAAGGTTGATTCTCAAATTTCAGTCCACTGCTAACCGAGTATTCCCCAGTCGGTTAATACCCACTTCAGTTGCTTTATTTTGTGCGTTTATTCACTTAACAATAAACGTTCAACACAATTACCATGCACTCCGCGGGGTCACGCGTGGGGGTCGGGATTGGATAAGGCGTTCAGCTAAGCAAGTCTCGTCGAATTGGCCATGAAGGAAATTAATGGTGGCTTAAGTTTGATTTATAAAAAGTAAAAACTCTTATTATAATAATTATTAATAATAATAATTTGATAATTAAGCCAACGAATAATATATCTAACTAGAATCAAGCCAATAATAATAATAGGCTTGCTGATATCAGATTGTTCAATATGAAATATTCGACATTCATGAAATTTTTACAGTTCATCTATAATGAGTCAATTACTTTTAATAAATAAACAAATAAAACAAAGTATATAAAATAAATAAATAATAATAAAATCAAACTGTGGCACACAACAACTTATATTTAAAATAAGAAGTCTGTAGCTCTTATAGCCTCTGCCTCTGTTATACTATACTACTTCTCTACTTTATGGGATCGGAGATGCTACCTCTTGCCAGTTAAATATATATACCCGCTTTCAAATTTTGAAGGGCATACAAACTGGATTTTCCGAGTTTCAGGGGCGCAGGGGCGTGTCTGAGTATTTTATATTTCAATTTTTCAAGATGTTTCACCAGCAATCTGCTTTTAATCAATCTTGATGCAAAATTGTGGAAGATGTTTGATTTTATAGATATGCTATTATCAATATTCAACCTTCGGTATCATTGTGTAAATATATAAACACAATTTAATTGTGTAGTTTTTGTATTTTTAAATAGTCCGTAATTTAAGTAAGTGCCACACAATCATTATAATTATGATAAGGCAGACAGTTGCAGATAAGAAACCCGTTGGCCTCAACTGAACTATGAAGTAATCGAAGTGTAAGCAAAAATTGGTCGAACAATTTAAATGAACACAAATTGAATAAGAAAATCTGCCTATTGAATCGATCTGCAATGGAGTATAAAGTTGATACTCTTTATTCATTATTCATTCATTTAAAGGAAAGGAAAACAGCTTTATGCTTCCGACAGCCTTTTACAAACAACTTGATGAAAACACACACATTTAATAAGGAAATCTGTCTTTGAGTGCTTGTGAATGGCAGAGTAGAAACAATCCTTTACAGGCAAATACACTCTGAAAAAAAGAAAATGAACAAATATATATGACTGGCTGTTACATCAACTTGCACAAGTTGATGGCACACTTTCTATCCCTTTTGCAATGGGTGTTGGGTATAATTACGGACAATAGTTTATTAAGACAAAAAAAAAAGAAGCAAAACTCATAAATAGTTTTCGAAATGAAATGCGTATAAAAAAAGATCATAATAATCAATAAGCGACAATTACACAATGTTATAGCTATGAAAATAAAGAAGGGGCCGAAGAAAAACATGAGGAAAATCGCAAATTGCAGCGTTGCTAAACAAAATATTGCCGGTCGTAAGACAACGGTAAAAGTCAAGTGAACACCGCTTTTCACCGCCCCCCGCCTAGATGCAGCAGATGAAAAAAACAAAACAAAAAAAAAACCAAATCAAATGAAAAAAGCTCAACAGAAAAATGCAGTTAAATCTTTTGTCTCGTAACAGGCAACATTGTGTCCAATAATCCCCCATCGACAAAATTAGGGAATCAGCATTATATGTTGGATGTAAACGTTAATACGACAAAATTGACGCCACGCCCATCTTATTTCACATGCCAAAATAATATTGCCAATACTTCATTTCAAAACTTAAAAATAATGTTAAGCTGAGTCAAGTAAAATAAAAACGGCAAAATTGCAATATTCAACTTGAAATACTCTCACACAAGTTTTAACTTTCTTATTTCTTAAAAATAATCGATTGTTTCAATTGTTTCCTGTTTCCTTTGGCTGGCTCCAGGACAAGTGTTTTTTATTTTTAATTTTACCTATATATATACATATATATATATACGAGTATTTATATATTTCGAAGCCAAGTCGGTATTCCTCCTGAAACACATCTTTTTATTCTTGTAATTGCGCTGTGTCGATTGATAGTAGTCTACATAAAATAAATAATTCATTCAATTCAAGTAGCTACATCTATGCACTGATATAGCTGATATCTGATATATATTTTTCTATATATATATATATATATATATATATATATAGAAATGTTAACGATTGTATGGAAATTACTGCAACTTCACTGCTTGAATAATGCTAAAGCAGGAGGAGCAAGAGGAGCTGTGCCAGGGGTACTTAAAGCAAGTTGCTCTGGATAAAATCGATTTAGTCTTCTTCCAAAACGTGACTTTATTTGTGCCATATTTCTTGAGCAAATGACTTAGAATGGTGTTCAATTTTAACAAACGAGTTGCTTGAAATTCAATTGCGTCCATTAGGTGTTTTAATAAGAAGGTTTCCAAGTATAATTCGCCTTCTGACTAAGAGATGGTTTCCATTCTTTAGAAAGTAAGAAAGTGTTTTAATTTTGAGTTTTCACAGTGAATGACTTGTCAAGAATGAATAACTAATTAATTAACTAATAACGCCAAGGTTGTGTTATGGTATTATAATTATGAAATATTAAACTAAATATTTAATTTGTTGTGCCAATTATGAATGCCTAGCTGTAAAAGGCTGCACAGCGACTGCGACTGTTAATTGGAAAATAAACGTTTTTAGCCTACTTTCTGATTGAAAATTGATTGAATTAAGATCGCGCCACAATAGCAATTAAGTACCAAATCTTAAAGCTCAATTAAAAGTTGCCAAGAGTATTTAGGTGTCTGAAAAAGTTTTTTTTTCTGTTTTCTTTTCCTTTTCTTTTTTTTCTTTTTCTTTTGTCGTTTGAGCTGGAAACGAGGAAGCAGCATCCGAAATCGCGACAACCTCGACCTATGTTAAAGGCACTTGCATGCACGTGTCTCTGTCTGTGTGTGTGTGTCTCTCTCTCTCTCTCTCTGTGTGTGTGTCTGTGATGACGTCGCTGCTTTCTGCTCTTTGGTGTAGTGGAACAGCAGGTCTCTCAGGCAGCAGCTCAAGTTGCTGCTGTTGTGCGCCTCATTTAAATGAACGCCGTCATCGCAGTTGCCGCAATTGTTATTGTTGTTGCTGCTGCTGCTGTTGTCGCTGGAGCCAAACGTGTTTTTGTTGTTTGCTTTCGTACAAATTGCGCCGACTGCCGACTGCCTGTCGCTTGCTTGAACTGTGAGCCCCGACAATATTGCCGCATCGAATTCGCCGTCGCGGCTACGGTTCAGTCATGCTAAGCATATATATATATATCTATATATATATATATACATTTTTTTACTTGTGCGAACTTCCCTCTCTCCGTGCAACTTCTTTGATTATACAGTTGTTGTCAAGCTATCACAATTTTTTTTTGTTTTGTTTTATTTTTTTGTGGATTTGGGCCGCTTTGCCCTGTGGCAGTGAACGAGCCAAAAAGCACTTTTGATCAAAATATGATGATTTTGAGTGCAAAATGCCACGGTGCCAACCAACAAATAGCAGCCAGCTGTAATAGTTGCTATCGTTTTCAGTTATATGAGTTGAGCTTCGCGAATTTCCGCCTGTTTCGTAATTCTCTTGCTTCCTGCAAGCAGCAACTGCTGCATGGCGGCGGCAACAACAACAACAACAACATTCTGTCTGTGCCACAACAAGCTAATATAATTGATGGCAACCATTTGTGGCGCCATTCCCTACACCCATCTTCACAACAACAAAAAAGGAAACGAAATTGTTATTGGCAAAAAAAGGACAAACGCAGCATTTTACATTGTTTTTTGTTTAATGTGTTTTTTTTTGCTGTTGTTTTTTTTTATCGCTTCTTTATATTTTAGGCAAAAAAATAGCATTCTGCTCTGGTTTTTTTTTGGGTTCGTGGCTAAAAAAAAAAAAAAACAATTATCGATAGATGACCAGGGGGGGAATGGAATACATGTGAGGAGCTAGCCCAAGAAGATCGTATTTGTGTATGTAAATTTATATGTATGGTTTGAAGAGATAGTTCTGCATCCTGTTTTTTTAATGTTTGTGTGTGTCCTGCATTCTGTGTGTATTCTCCTTCAGATTCATCCTTAACTATTCTAGAGGCGTGCATATTGCGTCTGGCTGGGCTTGCGATCCGTAAAGAAATTGCGCAACACCAAAATTTGCAGCAGTCCAATGAGGACAACGGCCGCCGTTTCCACCGATGACCAAAGCATGACACGCTGATTAAGATCCTCGGCCCGTTTGCGTCCCTGCGCCTCCCTCAAGCGATGATGCGTCTGCGCATCAAGGATATCGTTGAGCGCCTTGTGTATCGCCTGCGATGACGTCTCCATTTGTGTCAGCACCGTCGCATGCTCATCGACGCCGGGCAGCGCTGGCTCCTCGCCCACCTGAAAGTCCACGTAGACGATTTTGTGCGAAAACGCTGAAAATTTATTGCTAAAGCATGCCGTATACACGCCCTTCATCTCCGCCGTAAACTGATGGCTATCGAAGGTCGCTCGATCCATCGAATAGATGATCTGATTATTTGGATCCTTCAACACAACATCCACATCCAGTTGGCCGCCGGCGGAGACTTGAAATTCAAAATAGGCGCTTGTATTCCGATTGATCTCCTCGTAGAAACAATCCTCGGCATTGTCCGCCAAATCGAATGTAAATTCAACGGCTTCGCTGCACGACACCAAAAATGATAGCGACAACGACAAACACATCAATGTTGTCCATTTGTTGTTGCGGCTGCTGTTGCGGCTGCTGTTGCTGCTGCTGCTGCTGGTGTTGCAGTTTTTGCTTTGGTTGTCGCGCATTTTTTTTTTTTTGTTATTGCTTGTTGACTATTTGGTATTCGGCTAGTTTATAATTAAAAGCGTATGTGTGTGTGTGTGTGTGTATTTGGGTGCTGTGTGTTTGCTGCCACGCTGCAGCATCCGACGACAAACAGGCCCTCAAATCCCCGTTATTCGTCAATATCGGCTTTTCTCAGCTTCTTCTTCTTCTCCTTCGGCTACTTCAGCTGCAAAATACATCCAGACAAGACACACACACGCACACACACACAGGCAATATTATTACATCGAATAACAAAGGCGCGTATGTTCAACAATATTCACCTGTTCAATTAACCCGTTTCGTCTTGATTCTTGTGACTCGCTTGCTGGCTAAAAATAATTTGTTTTTTTTTTTGTTAAAAATTAAGTTCTCATAAGGCACTTGCCAAATGTTCTGTCAACGTGTCAACACTCTTTTTGGTGTGTATTGTGCAGCACTGGACGGGCAGAGTTGCAAAGAACACGTATGCCAACTTTGCTAACAGATGGGCAAAGTAACAATGGCTGTGCTGTAATGACACTTGCTGTTATTTATTTATTAATTATTTTTCTCAATATATTTGAGGTAATCAATTTGGCGCTTATTCGAAAATAATTTGCATATTGTTTGCAGCTGTAAATACCAAACTCATTGTTGCGCTAACTAATGCATTTGAAATGTTTGTTTACAGCTGAGTCGGTAGAGCGCTGCCACCTTGTTAATATTTTAATTACAACTTATGTTAACTTATGAGGCTTATGAAATTGTTCAAGAAACTAATATAAGAATTCATGTATTATCAATTACATAGCAAGCATAGCAAATTCATTCCTAGAATGAGCTACAGAAAAGTCATCCTTGCATAGTATGTTAACAGAGTACTTTACACCGTTTTGCAACACTGCACTGGCAAAATTGAAATTCGAGCAACTTTGTGTTTGTATTCGTAAAACTATTTATTTAAAATTTATCTGCTTTAGTAAGGTGGAAATCGGAGCAGCATGTCGACGGTGGTGGACCTTAATGTTGACCGCAACCTGCTCTGTCCCAAATTCGATGGCTACAAACTCTCCTTCGATGCGGTGCCGGTGCTGCGACAAAGCTTCGATCGCGATCCGTTTCGATTGAAGCCGCACGCAAATCAATACTCGTTGCTGCACGTTGAGCTCTTCGCCCGCCACAATTTGCTGCAGAGCGATCCGTGGGCGCGTCACAGCAGCTACTACGTCAACGATTGCCATCAGATCGTACTGTGCTCATACGATGAGCTCCATGGGCAGCCGCGTGAGCAGCGCATCGTTTACACGCTGCAGCGTGAGAATCATGGCGATGGCTTCGCGCATCTTGCCGGCGATTACAATTATACGCTGCGCTTCATCTCGGAGAAGTATTGTGTGCTGTGCGATGGTATGCTGGCGCTGCACCTGCTCGAGACTGGAGATCGCAGGCGTGACTCGTCCACGTGGCAATTGGTGAGCATGGCGCCCATTAATGTGGCTGACCAGCAACGGGGATTTGTACTCTTGGATGCTCGTTTGGATATGATGCATGAGCGCAAACAAATCTCCATTGCGGCGGGTCATGTACAGCGTATGGAATCGGGTCATGCATGGCAGCTGATCTGGTCACGTTGGACACTGGACGCATTGCCCGATTCGACATGGATGTACAACATTTGCGAGCGACTGCAGACGACGGGTTCCCTTTACTATTGTGCCTTTGAGCCGCGTGCCGAATCCTTGGTGCTCTGCTCCAATCACGAAATCCAAACAAAAGCCGAAGCGGAAGCCGTTGCTGCCCGGCTTTTGAGGCAGGAGAAAGGTGTAGACGGAGCCGAAACTGCATACAGCTGGTCGCAGACCAACGATGATATCGTTGTCCGCTTCCCCCTACCCAGCAACGTCAATCGCAATGATTTACACATACAGTGCACACAGGATCATGTCTTGGTGGAGATGCAGGAACAGGCGGCGCTGCTCGATGGGGGCCTCTTTGCCAGCGTGGCGGAGGAGCTGACCACGTGGACGGTGGAGGGGCAGTCGTTGCAATTGACGCTCGTCAAGCGAGTGGAGCAGCTTTGGCCACAACTTTTGCTAGACGCCGAACCGGCGACTCTGCCAGCTGAGCAGCATCCGGCGGCGACAGAAGAATCGTCGGACTCAGACTCGGAGCCAGCTCAGCTCCCCATACCGAATCTGGAGGATCCTATTGAAGAATGCGATTTTCCGCTGGGCGACAGCGACGCTGACATTAAAATGGGTGAGCAGAAAACCAAAAAAAAAAGAAATTAGAAAAAGAATTAAGGATGATTTCAGATAAGATTCTAATACGACATTTTAGTAGACAAATTTCAAATTGCATTTTTTGGGATACATTTTTATTTGCATTTAACAATTTTAGTCATGATTCCAATTCTAAATTTGAATAGGCAAATTTCAAAGAGTTTTCAACTAATTAAAAAAAAACTGACGGTTTAAACTTTTTTGAAATGTGACTGTTGAAAAAATAAAGGAAAAATTTGAAATTTTCCCTTCGTTTGCAGTTCGATTCAACTTATCCGCCTCAAGGATAACGCACACAATATTATTGGGGGCAGCGCCTCCGTTGTTTGCGACCACGTTGCGCGCCGGCTATCCGGCGGCATTTGCGACACGTCAGGGTGTGGATGCATCGATCTGGCTGCAACAATTTCAGCCGGCACGACCGGACGAGTGGGGTGTGCGGCACGAGGGGAATCTGCATGCGTTTGGCTATGTGCAGGCATCGAAGAGGAAGCGCAAATTCATCGACTGCTGCCCGGAACTGGACTATGCGGTCATAACGGAGGACTATCGCCATGTGTATATCTATAAGCCGCGCTACGATTCCGCCGGAGGCCTTCGCAATCGAAACGGGCCGCAGGTGGTCATCGGCAAGCAGAATTTAGTCACACTCGACCATGATGTGGGCGAGGTGATGGGCTTGGCCACAGCTCCGAATGTCATCACTATTCTCACCGAAAATGCTTTACTCTATTTACAAGTATAGAACATGTGATTCCAACAGCTGCGTTTTTCCTCTTTTTTTTTTTGTTTGTTTCAAATACATTCAATGTAAAAGTCAATGCGTTTTTGAATTTGAGCGCCCATCTTGAGCACAAACAGCTGTTTGTGCTGCCATATGCACCGCATGTATAAGAGAATTTGCATTGTCTGGCAGCACTCGCCACGAAATACGTACAACATTTTTTTTACATAAATAGCCGCGCGCAGTGGCAGGTTTTATAGTTATTTTTTTTTGGAATTTGTGTTGAATATCGTTGTCGTTATAACGCTGGAAATTCAATTTGAGTCACTAATTACAGCAACATAAAAAAAAGTTAAAACAAAGTAATTCAACGCCGCCGCTTTATTGAGATTTCGAGTGAAACTTCTAGTAAATAACAGTGTGCATTTTTTGTGGAATTGTGAAATTGTTGGTGCGGCGACATCAGGCATTGATCGGAAAGCAAATAAGCAGTAAGCAATTGGATCGCACCAGCACCCCCACACACACACACACACATGCCAAACAGCAGCGCGTCTTCTAATGAGAACTTGGTCACACACATACACATAGGCATACAAACATACATATCCATGCATGTACATATATTTCACATGCGACAAATAAAAAAAAGACACTTTAGTTGTTGTTACTTAGTACATGTGCAAAGGCTTTTGTTTTTTTTTTTTTGTGTGTGTGGGTGAACAGCGTCTATTATTAACAAATATTAGCAAATCGCCAGCCAGCGCTGACGTCGTCGCCAGCTGTAAGGGGAGTTACAAAAAAATATGAAGAAAAAAATAAGAAACACGCGGCCAGCACATTTTGTTGTTTTCTCAAACATGCACACACCACGCACACATACACATACAAATTTTCACACACATGCATGCATGCACATATGTATATACACTTAGCAGATGATACTAAATGTAAATGTTTGTACAGTGGTCCATCGCAATAAAAATCTAAGTTAAAATATGTATCCTCATTTTTTAAATATTTGGGAGGAACACAAATTTGATGGTAAAAGGTACATTTTGAATTAAATTTAAATGAATTTACAGAAACACCTTTCGAGACGAAAGCGTTTCAATTATCGAGCGACGACTGTAGTTACATATATTAATTTCTTTTGTTTATTAAGCAAATTGTGAACATCGCGGCAATACAATTAAGCAAAAATACAAATATAATTAAAAACACAAGTGGAACAACAATAACAAGAGTCGATAAATCGGACAAATCTGAGAGCATTTTTTGGTAAATTAACGCTGGTCACTTGGATTACACAACAAACAACAATAGTAAAAGGCAGCAACAACAGCAGACATTCTGAATCGGCATTTGAAATCAGAAACAAAACGTGAACAGAAAAGAAAGAAAAAAAAAAGCAGCAGCACGCGGTCACACAGATATAATATATACACACACACACATACGCCGCACATGCAAGCATAGTGCCGCTGTATGTAAGCGAGAGAGTGAGCAAAAGAGACAGCAAGCACAGCTCTAACAGTGAGAGCGAGGACAGCAGCACCAACAACAAACAGGTCATTTTTGTTCTGTGTTCCCGGCGTTGACGTCGTTAGTTTTTCAACAACCGGCAGGGAGAGCAACAGCTGAGCAGCTTCCAACAAAACAAAAAAAAAAACACCAGCAACAACAATAAGAAAAAGTCCTATTGGAGCACAAGCGTTTCTTGTTTTTCTTTTGTTGTTTCTTCTTCATCTGCATTTGCCGGTAAGTGTTGTTGTTATTTGTATAACCTGTATTAGCACACACACATTTAAAAATATATATGTATATTACGGAATCATATATATGTATATATATATATGTATGTATTTATGTATGTGCTTATATATCAGTAACTTTTTTTTAATATTCAATTTTTTGCTCTGAAACCTCGACGAAAATTTTTTAAGTGCGTAGTTTTATTATTCTCAGGAATTGGTTTTTTTTTCCTTTTCTTTCAATATTGATTTTCGTTTCTGTTCGTAAATTACAAGACAATTAGATTTTTTTCAATTCGCTTTGGTGTTATTTCTATTGCCGCTATGTATGTGTGTCTAGGTCCAGGCCGGGCATAACCTTGACATTCGTTTTCCATACAAATTTATGTGCATGCCAATCGCTGGTGTGTGTGCGTGTGTATATGCGTGTGTAAGACAGTGCGAGTTGAGTGAGCATGCAGCCAGCCGGCTTACACATTGTTCAATTGGACTGGACTGAAAGTTTCAAGTCACTCAAGGCCATTGAGTGTTTGGTCTGGAAGCTTCTTATTTAATTTTTTTTGGAAATCAGTTTGAAACTAATCAGAAATGAAGTACATAGAGTACATCATAATACACACATACATACAAACTATTTTATATCGCAATCTATTTATTAACTGTCCACATTTATGTGGAGTCATTCACACAGTGCCAATTTTAACTTGTTTGCTGATCAGTCAAATTAATAAAGTCAAAAAACACAGCGCAACACAAACGAAAAAGAACAAAGCATAACTATAATCAAAGTGTGCTGCTGCCGCTGTTGTGACGTCACTTTCGCATTACGCATGCAATAGTCGCGTGTGAAAACCACACTTGAAAACGAGTTAATGCAGTAGTATGGGATAAAGGGGATGAGGAGCGGCCAGTTGTGGGCAAGTGGAAGTATGAGGTTCAAGGCACTCTCGTAAGCAAAACGAAAAGACAGAGAGAGAGACTGGGAGAGAGCGAGTGTGATCGAGATACACTTACATTGATATCTGTTATGCATGTGCGTGTAACGCATATACATATTGTATGTAAGTATATGTAGGAGCTGCAATTTCACCACCAGACAAACAAGCAGCAAAAAAGAGATAGCATAACAGAATAATAGCAAATACTAGAACAATTTGAGAATTAGCATATCATGTTCTAACATCTATCTCATCATGACGCAGCAAACTCACGAATGACTCACGATAGGGCACGACGCGACACAACACGACACGGCACGCTATGCAGTTGGCCTCGCACATATGACCATTCTCGGACTCACTTGTTCTGCACACGATCGATTGTTATTGGAATCATATCGCTTGTCATGTTATTTTTTTTATCAACAGTTAAGTACACATGCACACATACATAAGTTCGTGCGCATAGATAACTATTTATTATTGTGCGTTTGTATCACTTGTGTGTGTGTGTGTGTGAGATATTTGACCTTGCATTTATTAACTCATTAAAATCGACCTCAATCGGCCCCTGGTGCCAAACGGCGCCGTTCTTGGACTAATCGCAATGCCAAATAACAACGCAAAAAGGAAAGATTGAAAAAAAAGATAAATAAATGAACGGCAAACTGAAGCAAACGATTGCAGTCTTAAAATATTTTCTATTTGTCATTTGCTTTGTTTTTATTTATTTTGAAATTCGCAATTGATTTCATAATCAATTGTGGGAAAATCGCAGTCTCTTTAAGATGTCGTTATACAACACTCAAAACTGTTATTGACAAATATTCTAGCAAATGCAAATACCATCTGGTATCTAAATACCTCCCATTTGATTTGTCAAGCTCTATTCTCAATTCAGTTGTGCAATTATTATTGCTTTGGAGTACAAAAGCTTAATTTCTCCATTGCGTCATCGTCATTAGCGTCATTTTTAGAGTAATGATGTTTCATTTGTTCTGAAATATTTTGCAGTGCGTCATTCTAAGGGCTGCTATTTGGTTTGTAGTGTTTAGTTAATTATTTGCTCGCTCAATTTACGCAATCAAAAATATAAATGACTCCCTGTATTTATATATGTATGTATATATTGCTGCCTGCCAGTCTGATCTCGGAAATTATACAAAGCTATCAATTTTTGTATTTGTGGATCTTATACTTAAGCAGATTAAGTGTGATTCATATTTAGGCAATTCCCTTTGCCTTTGTATAAAATCCAAACAAATGACAATTGAATAAAAAAAATATATATATTTATTTTAATTTTTAAAATTATATTTAAAAAACTTTTTGAATCTATATTAAGTAGGAGCGACAAAAATTCAATATATTTTTTCCTTCAAATCCCAAAGATCTTTCTTCTTGGAATAAAAAACGGGGTATCTCGTAGTCGGGCCTAGTCCGTGCTGCGACCAGTCGACGTGTTTTATAATTTAAAAGCTGTTCACACAAATGTTCCACAGAAAATTTTAACTAAGAAATATAAATTAAAGTTGTATCTTCGTTTGTATTTGCACAAATGCTTGGAAAAACGACATATCAGTTTCAATTCTTCTGGCTATATAAACAAATGTGAAATAAAAATAAAACACGGGCCAACAACACGCGTCGCTGTCAATTATATGGGGGGATTTTGTTTGCCTTGCGTCGAAAATATCTTCAAATATAAATCAAGCAAATAGAATTCAGTCTGAAACAAAGAAAAGCTTTACGAAATGCAATTATAGTCAGAGCAATATCAACTTTTTCCATAAATACCTAAACAAGCAAATTTTACAGACGATAATAAATCGGATTGTGTGTTTAAAGTGAATGCAATCTGTATTCCATGTTTGACCATATCATTATTCAGCCACTTGATGCCCATTGGAAACATAGTATATATTTGTATTTTTATTCATTTATTTTTGGAATGAACCTGGAGTTCATATTAAAATTCAAAATGTAATTTCATATTTAAATTGAAAAATGTATATAATACATTTGAAATTTAAATTTAAAAAAATTAAATTAAAAATTAATTAATTCAAATGTCAAATGCTTAAATATTTATTGCAAGAATTTGTGAAACCCAAAAGGAATGCTCCTCATTTCTATGTAATTGAGCAATCTTCGGAAGTCATTCTCAGGCTTGTTATCGTTATAATCACTATTTGTCTCTATTATATACGAGCAACATTTGAGAATTGCTGTTGCCCTTGTCTGGTCATTTGTAAATAATTTCTAGGAAATAGCGTATTGGTTTGGCGAAGAGCCACACTTGACAAAAAAAAAAAGTGTTAGATAGAAAAGTGAAACTTTAACGTATTTATTTAGAACAAATCGCATACAGATAAGTGTAAAATGTCGCCCAAATTAAGTTTGACTGCATAAGAAACAAATGCAAATGACAAATTCGTGGAATTGACAGCTGCCAAATTCAGAGACCCATTTTCAGGCGAGCTACATGCAAATATATACATATTGTTTGTATGTGTGTGTGTGTGTGTGTGTCTACGGCTACATACAACTGCTTATCTGCGGAATGAAACCCATTCATCTCTCTCTCTCTCTTAGACAGAGCGTCTCTATCGCTCTCTTTTTTTCAGACAGAGCGTCTCTATCCCTCTCTCTCTCTCTCTCTAGACGGCTCTTACATTTCAATTACGTCGCAGTATTATTTTGTGTCGGCCGACATTTTATTTCGTGCACCCCTTTGCACTCCACCCGGCTTTGTCTGAGTCAGCGTCTTCTTTATAATTATTATGCTTGTATTATATA